GCGTATAAAACAAGAACGAATAGATTTTATCAAAATATTTTTTCACATTATAGTTGGCCTTGACAAACTCCACATTTGGTGTCATTCAACCGACCTCGTATCTCTTACCGTTAAAAAGATACCCATGGTGAGCATGGTAAGTGGGGCACACTGTATATCCAAGTTCAGTCTCACAGTAATTGAGTGGGTATAGAATGTATAAAATGTAGATAATTTTGAATGTATGTACCTAATTCCATTTTTGATTGTAGAAATTTATATATTTTGTTATATACCTAGGTACTCAGAGAGTTAAAGTCACACTTTTGATCCCAGTTTACTTCTAGTTTGGTAGGTGGACTGTGCCAATCCAATATTCAATATTCGAGTTCGAGTCATTCTCAGTCTTACTGGTATATCAAAAAATGCGTTTCTGTTATCCTTATATTTCCTTGAATAACATTTATTTTCATTAAAGTTGACATTGAAGAAGTTCATGAAAATTTCACGTGATCTATTCATGTCGATTTGCGCACACGAAAATATTTAGTTTTTAAATTTTTTCAGTCTTCCAAAAATACCAGTTGAGTAATACAGATAAGTAAGCAATAAATAAAATAATTGACCTCAATCACATTACTCAAAAGTTAATGATAATAAGGAAAGAACCAAAGATCAACCAGTTGATTCGTTGAACATTCTCGAATGTGATCAAAAGATTTTAGGTTCTCACAGCGTACATACATTAGACCGCTGGTTCTCACGGAAACATGAGAAAAATGGTTATCCTAAACGTCTTGGTATCCTCCTTGTTTTCTACAATATTGATCAAATTTGACTTGTGTCGAAATAGAATTAGAAATATTTAAATCATCTGTTATCTACTGATGAAATAACAGCAAAATACGTGGCGTAGCTTTGAAAATTCGTTTTGTTGAGTTCATTATATTTTCCATTGGGTTTGTACTCAAATTCGCTATCTCACTCAAGTTTGTCATCTATAATCTACATCTACTAATACCTATAGCTGGAAATATGAGAATGGGCAAATTCTCTCTCAAGAAAAAAGGAGTAAATAATAACCGATTGAATCGTTACCAAAATTTGTATGTTAGGTACCATCAAACTACACTAGAAAATTCGGCCCTCTGTGGTAGTCCTGGCGAAATATATAAAGAGAGGGCCAGTAAAATGAATCTGCATGTGAGATTGAATGATTCGAGAAACGAGAAAATACTCAAATGATGAATATATCAACCCAATTCTTCTTCTTAACTCACACAAGTCTCTGACTTTCGAGGGTTGCTTTGCAACTAAGCTGGCGGTTAAAAACACTTTAAACACTTTAATTCGGTAGGACAATTAAATGATTTAAATCACATTATTATTGTTGATATATAGATTTTTCAGTATCTCTTCTTCAAATCGGGACATTTCCAAAGATTATAAACTATTCTGACAACGCAAGATTCAGGAAGAATTACATAAAATCCATCAAAGATTCGTTCACAATATTCTTTTTGGTTGTCATGGTTTCAAATATTAGGTTCCGTTTTGCCGCTGGAAAACTATAAGGCAAAGTTAGGGCAAACTAGAGTCACTGGATGGTATTAGTTTGATAAGAGTTCGGACACAGAGATGACAACAATTAGGGTTTTTGAATGTTTGGATTTATTGAGTTACACACCTTGCATTGTGACAAGAGCACGACCATAGTCGTCCCGCGCTTTTTCATTCAAAATTGTTCGAATTTGACAATTAATTTTATTAACGTCATAATTGGAATAAAATTTCATAATTATACATTCGAGATAAAAGCGGCTATGGAAATTACTTGCTGTGTAATAAATTGTGCCAATTCTGAAAAAAATGGATATCATTTATTCAATTTTCCTAAAGAAATATCAACCATTCGCTTATGGAAGGAAGATATGAAATGGCCTGGGTGCAAAATCAATTTGAAGACGAGCAAAATTTGTGAGGTACTCATTCAAATTCTCTTTTTATAACAGCATCTGATCAGAATGAAACTATATTTTAGGCCCATTCTCAAACAGACAGATTTCAAAATCTGTTTGTGAGAATCTGCTGTTCCATCAATTTACGAAGCAGGCGATTTCGAGAACAAAATTCCATTATTATCATCACAAAAATACAAAACAAAATAATCATGGAAGAGAGGAAATGATCGCAAAATTATATAATGAAATTGAGAATTTGAAAACGAAACTAAGAAAAGAAAGTAAACTGCAAAGTGATATATTATTGAATGGCGTTTTTGGTACCGACCAAATTTAAAATTTAACAGTGAAAAGTGAATAGTTATTTATGTATCAAGAGAATCATTATAAGGGCCTTATTACGCTGGACGTTTTCGTTTTGGAGATATTTTCTATATCGATCCATGTTACTTAGCTCCTAGGGCGCTAAGTGGAGTTGCTGAGAACTTTACAAAACCAAGTATTTGGTAGGTCTCGCCATAATAAACTACTTTTTTTCTATTAAATATGTATATCGAAAAATGATTTGTTCTCTGTATTTCAGCACCCTGTATCATCGAAATGAAGCATTTCCGGACACAAAAGCTCATATAGACTTTATTTTTTATAATTGTCTCAGGAATACTTCACTTGAAAGTACTTACGTTACTTCCTGTATATTGAGATTACCTTAATTCAATATAAATAACTTCACGTTTTATGTGAATATTTTCTAATATTAAAATGTTGTTACATGCATTCTTTTCATTTATATAACAGTTGTTCTGCTAGAAGTGTATCACTATAAATTGAAGTGGGTGTTTGTACCCTATACCCATTGTCCATCTACGGCTATGATTGATTTGACAGAAAATATAACCTCTAAAATCGTATCTGACAATCAGGCGCTACTAGGGAAATTGAAAAGACGAAGAGCAGAATATAATTATGTCTTATTCTTTTATTCACTCAAACCATTGTATTATAGAAAATAGAAAAGAACAAAAGTTCAGCTGTGTCCGAACTCTTATCAAACTAATACCATCCAGTGACTCTAGGGCAAACTTTTTTCCCTGTCATAATGACAAAATCACGCGACTTGTGGGATTTTTCATACATGAATTGAATCGTCGCAGTCATAATGACAAAATCACAGCTGTTTATGGGGTTTTTATATATGAGTTAAATTGTCTACGAAAAGAGATGAAGCACTTCAATATAGTGGTTTGGAGGGAATTCACCTACCAGTAAAATTGTATGGCAAATTTTATTTTGAGCTGCTTCTTGTTGGGACCAAACTTACCATCAACCAGAAAAATCAATTAATTTTATATTCTATTATTTCGATTTATTGCTGGCTGATTTTGGCGTTGGACTAGCGATGAAAAAAATCTCACAGGTACGTTATCTTCATGAATGAATTTATGTACAAATTCTGTCTGTACGTTATAGATTAAAATCATTAGAAAGAGACGATAACAACCACAAAAGAATCAAAGAATCTGCTTGATATATTCTTCTTAAATAACATTTTGCTTCCTGTTTGATTGATCATAGTCAATTATAATCACATTTCTCTGACAATTTAAGTTGTCAGAGGAATGTGATGTGTGATTTGACAGAATTCTGTCACTGAGGAGAGTCATAAACGAGAAAATCATCAGCTTCAAGAATGTTTTTCCAAAGTTGGAAACGGAATCAGAATCGTTCCCGAGATTTCCAATTATAAGCTGCTCTTCTGAAATATCGACAATTGTTCCTCCCTTGACAGTCCCCACGAGATTAACCCGTTGAGTTGAGGCTTCGCACTCCTTCGTGGTCATTTTGGAGACCTGCAAAACATCTCCTTCCAAAGATTCGTTCATCCAACGATTAGCGAGGCTCTGGAACACATTACCAAGGGAGGTGTTCCCCGAGGCATATAACCTCCAGAAATTTAAGAAGAACACCAACTCCTACCTTATTTCCCTTGGTCCTCACGATGTTCTCTGAACATTACAGGATATCCCTTTTCGTGGAAACCAGAACATAGAAAAAAAATTGTGAAAATTCAATATGTATTCGATATACTATGATATACTTATATTCCTCCTCAATTATTTTTCGAAAGAAAGTTGGTCTTGACTATCGATTGAATTTCTATTTTTCGGGATTTCTGATTGTGAGCATTTTTTAAAACAGTGACATTTTGGGCATTGATTTGTTTTTACGTGAAATAATATTATATTTGCAATTATAGAATCGAGGAGATGAAATATAAAAAAAAAACAGAGAAAAGAATATTATGAATTTTGGAAGTCCATGGTGAACACACTTAGACATTATTATAGCATTGTTCGACCTCAAGTTAAAAATATCAGATCAGTGTGTTGAGAATCATAAATATAACAAAAAATAGTTATTTGTTTAACTAGGCAGCAAAGTAGTAGATTGACTGCCGTGGCTGAATTCATAGCCGAGCGTAGCGAGGCTAGGAATCCAGCTAAGGCAGTCAATCTACTTTGCTGCCGAGTTGAACATATAATTATTTCTCCGATTGTTCATAATGATATGGGAGAATATTGTATTTGCGAATTAATACAATTCCCACAATCTCTTTATTCTTCCTGTATAGTGTTCAATTAAAATAAAATTTGATAGAAATCGCAGTTGTTGGTTTGACAATTCATGAAATTTCTGATAGTTGTGCGAAAAAATATCGGTATATTTAAATTATTATATAATGGACAGTGATAGCACGTGATAGCGACCTGGAAGTATACTTACACCTCCATTAATAAGGGAGGTGGCAAAAAATATAGAGTTGAATTTGTTGCCGGAGAAGTCTGGGATGAAATATGAAGGAAATTATAAACGATTTATGGATTTTTAATTTTGCTGATACATATCAATCAGCAAAGTACCCACTTTGCTGCCTAGGCAGGAAAAGTAATACTTTGCTGATTGATATGTGTCAGCAAAATTAATATTTGCTGCCAATCGGAGGAAAACTTATTTTCTGGGATCGGAATTTAAATAAGTAGTTCACAAAAATAAAATCACGTTCAAAGTATAATTATTTGAATTTCAACTGATTATAAACTTCGTTCCGGTGAAAATTATTGACATGATCCTCAATTTTTGTTATTATATTTCTTGAATAATTCATACATTGGTTTATTCACCAGTTCATTGATGCTTCTGCCTGTAATGAAGTCTATGTGTGAGAAATCTTCGCTAGGAACTTCGTAAGCTACTTCAACCCTTGGCAGCGCCTTGGCTAGTTGTTGGACACCCTATAAATAATATTTCCATCAACGATAAGTATTTTGTTACATTGAGGATGAGTTCAATATACTATCCTTCCCAAGTCATTTCTATATTATGAGAAATAGGCAGGCAAAAAACTATAATAAATTAACGGTGTTATTTCTTTTATGACTGAGAAGTCACGTTGGAAGGGAAATCGGAGAATATCTTCAACATAGTGCGATGAAGTGGAAAACATTTTTTTTCTATTTTGAATTGTATGTTTCATGATTGTGAAAGAAACAGGAACTTATTGATTATAGGTAATATATTATGGTCATAATATAATAAACACGAGCACAAATGACATGGACAAGGGTTACACTTGCTCACAACTCGGCTGCTATCAGCCGAATACTATATGACACACGACTGTCATAGGCTCTGATCTGAGCACATTCCAGTGAACAGTGGCGCATCTAGTTGCTAGATGCTAACAATAGGTAATATAATAACAATAACTTTGCTTGTTTTTTACTTTATCGCACTAGTTAAACATTTACCTTTATGGGTACAAGTGTGTCGGACGGTGCATAAAATAAACTAACAGGAGATAATACATTCGACAAATTATATAATGGAGCTTCTCTGGAACCATACATTCTCATATTTCCTTGTACACCGTAGTCATACTGTTTGAAATCACCTGAAAATCAGCATATTTTGGAAACTGTTCTAAAACTGTCAAATAAAACTTGCAGAACATATTAGTTACTAGTGCAATTATCTTTACACAAAAAGTTAACTTCATCTGAGTATACAGGTTGTCCCGTGAGCCATGCATCATGCTCTAGCTGGTGATAAACAAGTGCATAACCTACAGGGCCTATTTTTGATTCAGTTGGGTCCAAGGCCCGAGCTACATTTCGGGCCCCCAATTTCGTATACTGTGACTTTCCAAAAACGATTTTCCAGCTTATATTTGGCAACTTCAGTTTCTTGTTGTTGCATGATGAAAACAAAAATTTTGATGACAGTTTGATTTTAAATGCATTAAGTAATTGATAAATGAATGAATCTCGACAGAGCATAGACTTTCAACTCAAAACATGAGTATACAGTATTTTAATCTTCGAGATTCATTTTTGTTTCCTAATAAACAGTGCAGCGTCTAAGGTGGCGTATGGAGTCAGTACCTACAAACCTACAAATAACACACATGTACTGAAGGACCTGTCGTGAGGTAAGGAAAAAATCAATTCCCCATGCTAGAAGAACCACGAATTCATGAATAAGGGTAATTATTATTGTTGTATTTCCTTACTAACTCAAAAATTTCCCATCAGTAATTTCTCTCGGAAAACTGATTTTTTTTCGTATCAGTTTTCCTCGTTGAATTACTGATTGGCAAATGTATTTCGATAGGAAAAAAAAATTATCCGTTGAAAATTATGCTCTTGTGTTTACTGTTGACAAAACAGATCCTAACTTCCGAAACCATGACAACCATAATTTATTGTGAACGAATCTGTGATGGTGTTTGTCCATCTTTCTCAATGTTGCGCAATCTTGTGGTATGTAATTTGTAGAAACTTCGCGATTTGGAGTGGAGAAATGGAAAAATCCATCAACAATGATGTGATCACGAATTCATTAAATTGTCTTATCTAATTATACTCGAGCATATTTTGGGTCAAAATGAATTAAACATTAATAATTCGAGTTTTGTTGCCTTCAAGAAGGTTACCTCAAGAAACTGCCAGTCCTACGGACTCGTAATTTTTTCGAATGCCATTTTTTTCGTTTAATTTCCAGGCCATAAAATTCTCATTGAAATGTCAAGTTAACTTCGATATGATAATACGAAAGGGCAACCTTCTTTATCGATGTCAAAATGACTCATATCATCATCAAATTCGCGAGATTCACGAAGTGGGCGACATCTAGGTGACATAATACGAACTTCAAACTGGGGGAAAACAGACTGTTGTCTATGGATAAAGTGCATAGACTACATTGCATTCAGCTTGCTGTAGCTGTAGTCAAACTTGCCAATTACATAAAGTGTTGGCACTGTTGGTAGTGATGATGGTTGAGTTGGTTAATTTTTTCACATTATTACATTTTCATTAGTTCAAGTGAACAGTGAGCGGGTAAAGAATTGGAGATAGTTCAAACAATTCAAACTAATTATAATGAACAAATCAATTGACATATAAAAGAACAGCTACATGTTTACAATACCCAGATTGTCCTGCTTTGCATGAACAAATACAAATCCATTGTTCTAAAGGAGTTCTTCTGGAAACCAACTTCAATTTTACTTCATGTGGGGAAGATTTCATCGTCGAAGTTTGTAGACAAAGTGCAAAAACGTACCTTTTGTTGAAGTCATCTACCTCACACAAAATCACATGATTAGCACGGAGAACTGTTTCTCCTTTCACTACTGGTCGGCTTTTTCCGTCTGAATAGAGCAAGATATCTGCCAACAGTACATCTACAACAGGCATTATTAGCGTTTTCGATTGAATATTGACAATTAATGTCAAGAAATTTAAAAACTTACCACTCTTATCAGTACACAGTACACAAGCTAATGGCACTAATGGGATTGAGTGAGGATTGAGTTTGTTTTCTCCCAGTTTTGACGTGGCTTTGACATGAAACGATAAAATCCGAGCTCCACCTGGTGACATTGATTCCCGCGAATAGCGTTTTCTGTGGAGGAGTTGATTTATCGAAAATAAAAATAACATGAAAATAGGATTTTTAAATAAAAGTTCCAATTTCTCGAAAACCGTGAGGTTTTTACTGAGGTCCAGTTTTGGTTTATTCTTGATGTGTTAAGAACTTGTTTATCACCAGCTAGAGTATGATGGTATGATCCATGGTTTACTGGACATCCTGTACATACAGTGTGTAACACCCTCCTAATTTGGATCTTGTCGACCTATTTTCAAATACAAAAATTTCATCATATAGTACTACAACGAGCTCGAACCTATTCGGAAATGTGGACAAATCTGAAATATTCAGATTTTCAAGGCCTACGACTTTCAATTATGGAAGGGTCAAAATTTCGAAAACGACTATTAGGCAATTTTTTGTTCAAACAGTGACTAGCCTTTTCCATTCAGGCATATCTTGAATACCGCCATATGGAATTTGAACGCAAAATCTCATATTCGCGAGATCCAAGTGGACGACATCTAGGTTACATAATACGAACTTCAAACTGGGGGAAAACAAACTATTGTCTATGGATGAAGTGCATAGACTACATTGCATACATCTTGCTGTAGCTGTAGTTGTCAAACTTGTCAATGATATAAAGTGTTATCACTCTCATCAGTACACAGTACACAAGCTAATGGCACTAATGGGATTGAGTGAGGATTGAGTTTGTTTTTCCCCAGTTTAGACGTGGCTTGAACATGGAACGATGAAAACCGAGCACCATCTGGTGGCAAATTTGGATATTTTTGATTCTTCGATTCACCCCGTATCAAAATCTGAGGAGTTGATATAACTGGTGAAGTAGTCATTCAATGGATAAACACATCAAAAACTTGGATACGAAGTTTCATCGCTTTAGCTTCTTCAGGAAGATCTCTCCAGTTCAACCAAAAATCAATAAAACTAAAGTTGAGGTTCACCATTTTGAATCATCAAGCAAACCGTTTTTCACACACTCCACAACATAATAACTTTGAAAATGGTCTCGATTGATAAAGAACTGTCGAATATAATAAAAATAGAATGACAGAGGACAGACGAACACTCCAAAGACTGCAAGGAGACTTACTGAAACTTAAATTGATCATAATATTATACCAATGTTGGCGAAATGGAAGGGAAATTGAGATGACAATGGAAATTGTAATATATAGAGAATATTCCCTCGAATTAGTTACCATTATTTATTTTCCTAGCAAAAAAATATGGATCATAATAAAGAATTGTTCAACATCAATTTCATTGATTTTTGGCCCAGTGAGATCTTCCTGTAGAAGATACAACGATGATAGATAAAGTATTCGACGTGTTCCTCCATTGAATGACAACTTCACCGGTTAGATCAACTCCTCAGATTTTGATACTGGGTTAATCGAAAAATCAAAAGTATTAAAATTTGCCACTGAATAACTAACACCCTATATAAAATTTTGCGTTTGGATTTCGTATGGGAGTATTCCAACTATGCTTGAATCGAATATGCTAGTAAAATTTTCGATAAGAAATTGCCTAATGGTCGTTTTTGAAATTTTGACCCCTTCAACAAACAAAAGTAGGCTTTGGAAATCAGAATCTCTAAAATTTTTCCACATTCTCGAATAGAACTCGTTTAGTAATATATTATGAAATCTTTGCTTTCGTAAATCGATTGACGGGTTAAAATTAAGAAGGGTGTTGCGAGTTGAAATCGCACACACTGTATAGTCAATCTTTAAGTGCTTTCGTAAGGGCACGGGGAACCCCTTTTTGAAAAAACCCGTTAATTTATGATGTTGTCAAAACAAACCTTTTGGCAATACCCTCCATATACCATTTTGGTATATAAAATTTCAATGAAAATAATAGTTTTCGCTCTCATATATTGAGAACCCGTTTTTTCATTAAAAATTTGAATTCTTAAATATGGGAATCGACAACAATTCAAGAAACGGTTGCATCAAACATTTTTTCAAGTCCAAGTAAGTCAAGCACAAATTAGGTAATTCTTTCACTTCAACTTATATTTTGTTTTTGTATTGTAAAACTTTCAACTCACACTGGTCTAGCACGTTTCCATCGAAATATATTCTTAATCATTCTCATCTATTCAATCATGACTCTTATTGGTAGTTGTTGAGTTTGACATTCTTACCTGTGTGTACTATCTGAAAGTAATGTAATAGTTCTTTGATAGAACATCGCGCTGGAGATGACTCAAAAAGGTGTTGGAGAACGATCTGAAAAATAACGCAGTACAAATTACTTACCAAAGATTTCACATCATGTCAGTGTTACTTACTGGCTCAGTTTCTATATTTTTGGCTATGCTTGCGAAGTAAATGATGACATAACATAGGTCTATCAATATAGTCGTTTCGGCGCATATATTTTTCAACAGCAGATTCACAATATCATTGTAGCCATTGGGAAAGAGTTCGTAGATATTGAAAGACTCGAATATACTCTGGAAGTAAAGGGATATTAATACCGAAATTTATACGAATTGCCTGGTTTTGGGTTTTTCAACATAATTGGAAGGATATAATAACTTTCCGAATTTGAACAAGTTATCCATCATGATGACACGTTATAGTCCAAGAGCCGGCTGCAAATTTCGACCATCATCTGATGAAATACAGGGTGTCCCTGAAACGTATGTAAAAATTCTCACCACTTACACTCAGTTCCAAAAAAAAGTGACGCACTTGATATTTGACTTATCTTCTCAAAAACAAATAGTAGGCCGATTTTTATTTTTTTTATTTGTTGGTAGGTAATGCATTTGTCTTTAAAATAAACCCACCCTGTGTGTTGATTGAGTAATGGCATAGAAAGTGCTTGCACCCTATACGAAAGAGGCTTCTTTTGCGAGCATTATGTTCTTCCATTCATTGATTTATCTCTAAAATTTTCCGAATTACAGTTTTTTTTGCTGAATCCTTGCAGATTACCAACTTTTGGAATTTTCTAATGAAATAAACTGATACCAATAATTTTAGAAAACATTTTTATTGAACACAAAATTATAAATTGAGATGACTGCTTAATACCGTGTATTGCTTCCTCTAGCAACTCTGAGAACTTCTAATCTACGAGGCATACTGGAAATTAAGTTGCTTATCGTTTCCATTGGTATACGATCCCATTCTTCCACTAATGCATCTGCCATTTCTGCGAGACTTTCCGGGGACCTCTCACGAGAACGTACCCTTCTTCCTAATTCATCCCACAAATGTTCTATAGGATTTATATCGGGGCTTTTCGCAGGCCATTGTAATGTGGTAAAACCAGTAGCTTCTAAGAAGTTTCACACTATTGCTGCGGTGTGTGGTCGGGCATTATCCTGCATCAATATAAAATTATTGCCCACTAACTCTGCATAAGGTATGACATACTGCTCTAAAATGTCAATGTAAATTTGGGCATTCATCAACTGCCTCACCGGAAAAACATGAAGGGGTGTCTTTCCATTCATTGAAATCCCTCCCCACACCATAACGGATCCACCATTAAAACTTTCGCATTCTGTTATTAAATTTTGATTAAACCATTCACCAGTTCTTCTCCACACTCTTTTTCTTCCATCCACCATGTTAAGGCAAAACCTTGATTCATCCGTAAACAAGACATTAGACCATTCAGGAATATTCCAATGTCCATAATTTTCAACAGAATTTCTTTTAGCAGCACGATGTTCGGGCAATAATTTGGGACCTTTTGCAGGTCTCCTAGCTTTTAAATCAACTTATTTTAGACGTCTATTCACCGTCTGCTTACTTACTGCAACATCACGAATTTGGCGAAGAACTTGCTGAACATTTACCGCAGTATTTGATCGATTCCGTAAAATCCGCAATCTCAAGAAGCGATCATCTCTTGGAGAAGTTTTTCGGAGGCGACCAGAACCGACCCTCCGAGCGGTGCTTCCTGTTTGTTCGTACTTGCAGATTGCTCTACGAGCAGTTGCTACATGAACTCCCACTGCACGAGCGGCGTAACGTTCACTACGCCCATCGCTTACTAACGCCACTAATCTTGCTACTTGTTCAGGATTTATTTGAGGCATTTTATGTAATTTTTGTCAATAAAACAACACACTTGATTAATGACACATCGACAAATGGTCAAATATGGAGGCATACAACAAATTAGTTGCGATGACAACGGCAAGACAATGTGATCCTACCAGAGTACAACCCAATCAATTTTGAGTACTCTGATCCTTCAATAAATTTAATTTGTGGAATAAGCGTAAGGTATCAGCAAAAAAGCTGTAATTCGGGAAATTTTAGAGATAAATCAATGAATCAAAAAACAAAATGCTCGCAAAAGAAGCCTCTTTCGTATAGGGTGCAAGCACTTCGTATACCATTACTCAATTTACACACAGGGTGAGTCAAAAATTAAGAATAGATCATGGTTTGAGTTATTCCACCACCATCAAGGAGGCTTTGAAAAAATTGTCACCTTTTTATTTTTTTCAAAGACAAATGCATTACCTTCCAACAAATAAAAAAAAATTAAAATCGGCCTACTATTTTTTTCAAGAAGATTGGTCGAATATCAAGTGCGTCACTTTCTTTAGAACTGAGTGTATTCCTGAGGTCAAAATAAGCCGATTCGAAGTAACTTACCTCTGTCCTATATTGCGCCATTTCCGAGATACAGGGTGGTGAAGTGAAAAGATGAGAATTGAATTTTTCATACTGTATCAATATTTTTGAAATTATCACTTCAAAAATTGATAGCTAAGGGCTTTTTGGGATGCGAAACCCGAATACGATCACCCTTTCACTGTGGCCATTAGAGGGCGCTTACAAATTCACTTCTGACGGTTTGGAATGGCAATAACTTTCTTCTTAGCTCAGATTCTCACTGTTGTCTCAGAGAATATATTTTTCTGAATATTGTCAAGCATAATATGTGCTTTTGTACAAATTCACCAAATTGAGCCGTTTTCGAGATATTCCGTTTTTTTGCGTTCGACGCCGAACCGGAATATTTGAATAATTGTCAATAGAAGATGTTTGATTTTATTATCGTGAATATAATTTGGTCATTGAATGAGCAGTGCAAAAATGAATTTTTTCAAAATTGTGCTCGCTGATGGACCAGTGTAAGGCTAAACATATGGATTAGAATACTTGTTGGGTGAGCACCACATGAGTTTCACACTGGGCCATCGGATATTATCTTTCGACGAGGACGAAATATTCATGGAAATATTGAATCTCTGCCACTAACTCAGATCAGTGCGTATCGCGGTACGTTCGAATATTCGCAAAGGGGGTATGTTCTCCTTTCATTTGCTCTTTGTTTCATCTCGTTATCACATGACGGAAGTATGTCTAAAATAATAGCAGCAAATAAATCGCTGTACCGTGAATTTGGCTCAGAGTGAGCGGTGGCACAGATAGGTTTCTGAGATCTACCATTAAATTGGTATCGAATGGCGTAGTTCTCAACTTGTTATCAAATGCGAAATCTAGTGCGAATTTTCGCACAGGAAAGTGCAATTTTTCAATGATTTTGCTCAAGATAGTGATAGGCACAGGTGTCGTTCGATGAACTACAATGTTTTTGGTTCTCTTTGGGATATATACCATTTCGTATCAGATTACGGTAGAAATCTGCTGCCGGCTCTCCTAACTTCAATATTAAAGAAACAATTCGATGTTTCTAACCTTTGGAACGATATTTTAGTTTAAGTGAGCTCAACCAGATCAATGAATTATACGCTTCAAGCAACTGATGAAAACAGTGATGAGGATGATTGTCACTGAGAAGGATATAATCCATTTCATTATAGGTGAATATACTATTTTATGCACTTCAGGGATTCAAATGGTACGTTCATTCCCTATTTTCGGGAAAGAAAGTGGTACTTTAAATCCCTAGGGATTTGAAGTTATTCCTTTGCAGTAAAAGCTAAATTTAGAAATGTATTTTCAAAATTTCTGTTGCAATTGTGACTTTTGTCATCGCATATACGCTCCACAATGACGATGCTCTAAGCATTTCTGACTTTGCTAACATTTGCTAGCAGTACCTTCTGTACATTTTTCTACTTCCCGTTCTCTGAACCATTTGAAAAACTCAGATAACTGTTTTTTATATTGTTCTCCAGATTTTCTTGGTAATAATTGGCCTTCAGCTTCTTGAGCTGCTTTTTCCATTTGTTCCATCGCGATCAACGTCTTTCAGTCGGTGTGGCGTGTTTGATTAATATTTATTCATTTATGTTTCACTCAGTTACTTGTCAAAACACACCAAGATGTTCAGTTGCCGATGAAAATCATAATCTGGATCACCTTAGTTACTGAGGTCGTTGATATAGTAACAATCAGCCCCTTCGATGATGTTTTAGAAATTCGTTATTTTTTCTTTAACGTTTTGCCTATCCTGAAGTGCATAAAATAGTATATACACCTCGAGACTACTAGATTGTTATTAAATCCCTCGACAAATTATAGCCCGAACAACGGGAGGGTTATTAACTTTTTGCGTAAGGATTCAAAATACCACTTTATTCCCTAGGTATATAATGTACTACTCAAATGTATAACCTGTATCAATGAAGCATGTTTACCCAGAATTCTGACAACTGTTCGGGTATCTCCTAGCAATACGGATGGGGCCATCTGAACTGACATCCTGACTTTGTCGTTATATTCGGGTTTTTCTGCCAAGAAAGCCATGTAGGAGGTGGTTCCTTGGGAATGCCCAATGTAGTACACCTGAGAGGCTTTTGTGTGATCGAGGACGTAATCTATTAGAGCTGGGGTGTCATAAACTGCCACCTCGTGCCATCTACAGAAAACATTGATGAAAATGAAAGATATACACTATTAGTATAGTAATTTTCCTAACAAGCCATTGACCCGAACGACGCGAAGCAAAGTTCGGACAAGCAGTCGAGTGCGGGAAAGACACTTTCAGCATGAGTTAGGAACAATATTTCTTTCACAAGCGTAGGAAATTGTTTGATTTGTTCAATCAATTATTCCTGCAAGTAGGAACAACTAATAATAGTGATATATTGTCTATCTTCTAGTAATTAGTGATATATCTATTGTGTGTACCGTTTGAAGCATTATACAGGGTGAGTCATGAGGAACTGTACATGCTCCTACTACGAATAGAGGCATCTGAGGGGAATACCAAATGACCATCAGAAAGTGTCTCCGCCTCTTCTAAAATAATCTATAGGGTGATTAATGAGATATGGCAAAAACTTCTTTCAATCATAACTTTCCAACAGTTCTTTCGATTTCTTTCATTTTTCCATGGATTATCATGCTGTCACTCAGCAATCAACTGACATATTCAGAATCGTGAAAATCCAGGACCGGTCTTGAGAAATTCTGCCAATTTGGTCCATATAAAAAATTTCACCCTGTATGAGGTTTTAGTAAACTGTGATATGGAATTTCTGAAGTTGATGAACAGGCAACTAAAATGAAGTATTTCAAATTTTCCTCACAATTTCATTGAATTTCTTAAAAAATGATTAATTTAAACTACACACGAAACATGGGCAATAAATGTATTAATTTGAAAATTAATACTTCGCAACGCATGAATTTCACGAATGAAAGTAGGGATAATATCATTCTCAATTCTTCAGCTCAACAATAATCAACATTCTTCCATTTCCAGGGTTGGATTCAGTAATTTTTTAGTAGAGAGTAATAATCACCAAAATTACACCCTGTATATGGTTTTAGTAACCTGTGATATGGAATTGTCAGAGTTGATGAACTGGGAACCAAAATTAAGTATTTCAAATTTTCCTCAGAGTTTCACAGAATTTCTTAGAGTACGATCAATTTTCACTACACGTGAAACTTTCGCAACAAATGTATTAATTTGAAAATGAATACTTCGCACCGCTAGAATTTCACGAATAGAAGCAAGAATAACATCATTTCCTATTCTTCAGTTCACTGAAAATCAACATTCATCTATATCCAGGGATGGATTCAGTAAATTTTTGGTACATGGTAATAATCACCAAAAATTGCACCCTGTATATGATTTTAATAAACTGTGACATGAAATGTTCGGAGTTGACAAACAAGAATCAGGAATAATTTTACCCTTACTTTTATTCGTGAAATTCATGCATTGCGAAGTATTAATTTTGAAATTAATACATTTGTTGCCCAAGTTTCGTGTGTAGTTTAAATTAATCATTTTCTAAGGAATTCAATGAAATTGTGAGGAAAATTTGAAATACTTCATTTTGGTTGCCTGTTCATCAACTTTAGAAATTCCATATCACAGTTTACTAAAACCTCATACAGGGTGAAATTTTTTGTATGGACCAAATTGGCAGAATTTCTCAAGACCGGTCCTGGATTTTCACGATTCTGAATATGTCAGTTGATTGCTGAGTGACAGCATGATGATCCAAGAAAAAATGAAAGGAATCGAAAGAACTGTTGGAAAGTTATGATTGACAGAAGTTTTGGCCATATCCCATAAATCACCCTATAGATCATTTTAGAAGAGGCGGAGACACTTTCTGATGGTCATTTGGTATTCCCCTCAGCTGCCTCTATTCGTAGTAGGAGCATGTACAGTTCCTCATGACTCACCCTGTATAGGTAAGCTTATTGCGGAAGCCAGCATGCCCATGGTGTTTGGCCTCTAGGTTTCAGACAATTCTAGGAAATGAGCCGAAAATACTTCTTTATTTGGTGTTTTCACTTCTTCACTATCGCACCATTCAATGAATCCCGTTTATCGCATCTGTAGCTGGAAGTTTTTCATTGCAATTCCACTGAATCGAAAAGAATAGTAACGCTCTGTCTGTCACTCTGAGAATTACACTGATTTGTGTTTTGATTGACATGACAAGAATTGTTCCCCACATCAGATCAATTAAAGGCTATGAAGGGATTTGTATAACAACCAATTCTTCTTTTTCAATATTTCATTTTCACAATAAATAGTACAATTTGATAGATGATTTTGTACAAATTTATCAAATACTGCAAAAAAAAACCTAAAATTTTCATATAGTGTTACCTTATATGTAGGAAATCTTTCCCGCACTACTGCGGGAAAATTATACTTCCCAAACTAAATTGCGTTCGGCTATAGGGTGAATCATGCATGCTTGTAGGAAAAAACTATTAGGTACATTATATAGTAATGTTGGTAGATGTGAAAGCTTTTCAGTACTTCTTGTTCAATAAACGGTTCTTGCACCAACTGTATACAGCGTGTCTAACTTCAAACGGCCTCCCTCTATATCTCAGCTATTATTGGTACGAGTGGCTGTCAAATTTGTACTGGTATAAATAACCATCAATATGATAAATGTTTCAGAGACACACACCATTTTGGACGTTGCCGTTGAAATAAAAAGAGGTCGGTTCTTCATGCAATCATATAGGCATTTTTTTCATTCGTGAATTTGTATGTAATTTCTATAGAGGGTTTCAAAAAAATGCCAAAAATGAAAAAACAAAGCCTATCCTGGTAATTTCGAATGAGTCGAATAAGGATCCTACAAAAAATGGCTAATAAAATTTAGTAAAGAATCTCTTCATTCATATAAAAACGTACGGCATTGACTGACTGACTATTCCTATAGGTACTTTTTCAGAAAGTCAAAAGGAAAATAAAGATATTCATCTCCATATGTAAGCACTCTCATGCTCATTACTCTTCAAGACTGCACTAATCACTTACTAAATATAATATTAGGACATTGATGTAATTTTTGATGTTGAGGCTGATGATGGACATATATATGTCAGAAACATGTACCAAGTTAAATTGATGTTTTAATCATATTATATGTCGTGGATATGACTTTGTGTATCATTTAGTATTTGATACTTGACTCCACTTTAAGAAACCATGGACTTCTACCAGGGATTGTTGTAGTATCTTTCAACATTCGAACATCTCGGTTGGTGGTCGAGAGCACAGAGGCGCTGAGGAGAAAATGAAAGATATTTACCCAAAATCACAAAATATCTTGTCATTGTTAGGGTTCAAAGTGACATGTTCTCTTGCATGCATGTTCCCTCTAGTGTTAAACAGCCAAACGTCTGTTCAACGTGGGAATGCAATTGAAACAAATATTTACCCGAAATCCCAAAATCTCTTGTCATTGTTAGGGTTCAAAGTGACATGTCCTCTTGCATGCCTGTTCCCTCTAGTGTTAAATAGAGTCACTGGATGGTATTAGTTTGATAAGAGTTCGGACACAGCTGAACTTTTGTCCTTTTCTATTTTCTATAATACAATGGTTTAAGTGAATAAAAGAATAAGACATATATTCTGCTCTTTGTCTTTTCAATTTCCCTAGTAGCGCCTGATTGTCAGATACGATTTTAGAGGTTATATTTTCTGTCAAATCAATCATAGCCGTAGATGGACAATGGATATAGGGTACAATCACCCACTTCAATTTATAGTGATACACTTCTAGCAGAACAACTGTTATAAAAATGAAAAGAATGCATGTAACAACATTTTAATATTAGAAAATATACACATATGAATGAACTTATAGCTATAATTCCTTATTGTATGTGAAACTGTACTCCAGTGATGAGTATAAAACATGAAGTTATCAATATTAAATTAAAGGTAGGTATTCTCAATATACAGGAAGTAACATAAGTACGTTCAAGTGAAGTATTCCTGAGACAATTTTAAGAAATAAAGTCTATATAAGCTTGTGTCCGGAAATGCTTCATTTCGGAGATACAGGATGTTGAAATACAGGAAACAAATCATTTTTCGATAAACATCTCATAGGAAAAAAGTAGTTTATTCTGACGAGACCTACCAAATACTTGGTTTTATGGTTTTGTAAAGTTCTCAGCAACTTCACTTAGCGCCCTAGGAGCTAAGTAACATGGATCGATATAGAAAATATCTCCAAAACGATAACCTCCAGCGTAAATAACTATTCACTTTTCACTGTTAAATTTTGAATTTGGTCGGCACCAAATACGCCATTCAATAATATATCACGTTGTAGTTTACTTGCTTATCTTAGTTTCGTTTTCAAATTTTAAATTTCATTATGTAATTTTGCGATCCTTTCCTCTTTTCCCTTGATTATTTTGTTTTGTATTTTGTGTGATGATAATAACGGAATTTTGTTCTTGAAATCGTCTGCTTTGTAAATTGATGGAACAGCAGATTCTCTCAAACAGATTTTGAAATCTTCTGTTTGAAAATGGGCCTAAAATATAGTTTCATTCTAATCAGATGCTGTTATAAGAAGTGAATTTCAATGAGTACCTTACAAATTTCGCTCGTCTTCAAATTGGTTTTCCGCCCAGGCCGTTTCATATCTTCCTTCCACAAGCGAATGGTTGATATTTGTTGGGAAATTGAATAAATGATATCCATTTTTTTCAGAATTGGCACAATTTATTACACAGCAAGTGATTTCCATAGCTGCTTTTATCTCGAAAGTATAATAATTATGAAATTTTATTTCAATTCTGACGTTCATAAAACGAATTGTCAAATTCAAAAAATTTTGAATAAAAAAGCGCGGGACGACCATGGTGCTCTTGTCACAATGCAAGGTGTGTAACTTAATAAATCTAAACACTCAAAAACCCTAACCGTTGTCATTTCTGTGTCCGAACTCTTATCGTGTTAAACAGCCAAACGTCTGTTCAACGTGGAAATGCAGTTGAAACAAATATTTACCCGAAATCCCAAAATCTCTTGTCATTGTTAGGGTTCAAAGTGACATGTCTTCTTGCATGTCTGTTGCCTCTGGTGTTCAACAGCCAAACGTCGAAGCCTCTGTCTGCCAGAAAATACGGCGTTGCCTTGTTCGGTCCTGCCACGATGAAATTTTCTGAGCAGCCGCAGGTTCCGGGCACCATCAGCACCGGGTATTTCTGAGTCGCGTTTCTGTTCCTGCCGTGCGGTACCCGGTAGAAGGTGATGATGTATCCGTCTGAGGTGGTGACATGGTGAGTTTCGACTGGGTAGCCATGCTTCCTGATGATTTGAACCTGAAAAGGCAGGGTCAAAACTTGTGATGAAATATTAATACGACCTGTGAGTACAGGAATGGCGAATCCAAGGTAATCTAACCAGATATTCTAATCAATCTTGAACTTGTCTCGTATGGTATCCTCTTAGCTCTTCAATGTTTCCTCTCTGCCTCTCTTGGAAAATTCTTCTTCTTTCGTTGTTGCCAAAAGACCAACCTCACCATGATGCGGAAAAAACAAGCCTCGACAGAGGGATCATTTTGTGGACATCATTGATCTGATCACTCATATGGGACAGTTTAGTGAACATATATGTGTGCAAAGATGAGACAATTTGTGAACATCTGCTCATGTGGCCGTCGAGTTGTGTGAAGAATGGCACCGATGTTATATTATGGTGTCGATAACGGGACCTCTGAGAAATATGATAACATCTTCCCCTATTACTCGTAGTAGAAGTGACACTTTTGGCCTTCTTCATGAACGAGATATCAGGGCTGGGATATAAGAACCATTGGTCGTGTAGGGTAGATAGAATGGGCCAATAGGCCTAAGTGTTATCGCATATTTTGGTCAGACGAACCTTGGAAAGGACTCTCACATTACCAAGAAAGGAATGGTTTTTGGTGGTGTCCAAGAAGAATTTTGGCCACTTCTGAAAGAAAATGGCCGATTGTAGCCCAACATTCCATGCAACACTCACTATTTGGTGTTCTGGCGACAGCGAGAGGAAGGGTATGGAACATGTCCAGATAATGATATGTGATTGAATGATGGGTACCTACCTGTACCGAATGACCGCTTGTAGCTCTCATTTTCAACGTTTCATGATATGCTTTCTGGTTTCACGTTTTATGATCTCTTGAGGCTGAATGAAGTGGTCTAATTGACCCCTTGAAATAGTCAAAAAACTATACATCCCAATAGAATAATAGTTATTTATTATACAAGGGAAAAAGCTAAAATTTTTCCCGTGTATAATACACTATTTTTTTCTGTGACAGAAGAAAAGACGAATCAATATTGAGAAGATATTACATTATTTTGAAATCTGAAAATTTTCGAGGTGAAATTTTAAGTTTTTAACAGATGGGACACCTGCATTGTAGGCATCTTTATCATTCTTTTGAGGTAATCAAATATCTGATGTCACTTCTGTCAGTCTGATTCTGTGATTTGATTTCAAAAAATTGCGAATCTAGTGGTTGTTTAATAATATACGTAACCGCGATGTCGAATGGAAGATAAAAGGACTTGCAGTTCTTTCTCGGAGACGGAGACGGTATTATTGACTCATTTTTCGGAACTATAGCACAACCAGAGCCATCAACAGAGTATATATATGTGATATATATTCGGGAAAAAAGTACTCACTTTTTTCCCACTGGAAAAAAGTAATTTATGAAAGTGACATTTTATAACCTGCCAACAGAGTTGAAATGCCAAACTTTTGTCCCGTCACAGAAAAAAAAATTATTTATCATCTAGTTATTGAAAATGTGTTATCTCCTCTTGTGATCGATCAATCTTGGGCTGCGGGAATGGAATACATTAAAAAATGGTCCAAATAGTTTTTGCTTTTAGTTGAAAGCATGTTACTTTTTCAATTAGAGAAACATTTGATCAAAATATTATTTGAATGTGAGTTGGATTTGAACAGAAAAAAATTTGCCCAAATTATATCTGGAGAGAAAAAAGTAAAACGATGAGAACCATGGTCAGAAATGATCCAGATTTAGTTGAGATTTTGAGTTTCAATGTCCCTATGGCTCCGCCGTCACTACTGAATATTTGATCAATATGTGAAAAACTATACAAAAGATAAGAATTCCTCAAAGTTCTCAATAACATAGTAATTTCAACTAGTCAAATACTTAGATACAATCAATCAACTTATCCAATATTATTAGTTAACTCTTTATGCTGGAAATTATGCTCAACATCTACATTACAATTTGGTGTGACGGAAGGCGTGATGCAAATATCACCTACTTAGCAATTACATTCAAAGGTGGTAAATTATTAGGGGATCCCTATAATGTTCGAGAAACATCGTGCGTACCCACGGAGGATAGGGAGAGGGGGTAGGCATTAAATTTTTTTTCGAAATTTTGGAGATTTTCAGTTCTTGGGAATACTTCCTTATGCAACAAATTCCAGAGATTTGACGTTCTATAGACAAACTAGTGTTGATAAAGAGCAACATATTTTGAGGTTGACAACGAAAGAATGTGCTGACTGGGCTTGTTCGTCTGACTGGTATTGCTAGTGATGATGAATGATAGCAGAAACATTTCTCGTGGAAGTACCTATAGAAAAGTGAAAGGTCGCCGCCTTTTCTATGGTGTTTGTTTCCTTCTTCAAGGAACTTACATGATGTTCGTGAATGCAGTGGTTAAAAGTTCTGCCTGTCTGACCAATATATACCTTAGGACATGATTTTTCGAATTGAGCAGTTTTGTTTGTATCGTTTTTGGTAAATCTTCCTAACCTGTCATTATGTTGTATATAAGCAACCTCTCAAATACTGTTTATGTAGAATTTAAGCAAAGTTTTCGACTGAAGATCCACAAGCATCATTTGAGCATATACTTACGATACTTAAATCACGATCTGGATGAAATTTGAACTGTAGTGTGTCACCATAGAGTACACTCAAAGACAAAATTATGGCACAGATTCTTAGGCATTGCAACATCATCGGAGTTTTCATATTGAATGATACTAATGATCATCAACCACGACCATTTTTTATTTTAGTTATCGTATTCTACCAGTTTCATTAATAATTACGATAATTTATATTAGAATTGTACATAATTGAAAAAACATGTTTCTTTACTCAAGTAGTTAACCATCACAGTACATATAAATGATCCTTGACATTTTATTATTTCGTTATCGATATTGCATATCTTTGCTGATACAACTTACACCTTTTGGTGCAGATGACGACAAATGCAATTTTAGGAGGAACTTTGAACGAATTAATAACAAAAATATTACCATTGTTTTGATCTTCTAACAAAACATATTTAAATATTTGATGGTAGTTCATGCTCAAATTGGAGGTGATGAGATAATCTAGAGAAAAACTTGAAGCCTCCCTGCCAAGCCAAGTAAATTTCAATAAATTCCCTACGTTTTTCGACTCCTACAAGTCTACTTTAGGCTTGTTGGGTAGGAGGGAAACACATTTTTAAAGAGATTTTTGAAATTTGCAGCTGAATATGCCTTAAAGAACTATCTCTTCTTCTCTTCTCCAAGGTATATAACCTCCATAAATTGAAGAAAAACACCAATTCCTACCTTATTTCCTTTGGTTCTCACGATGTTCTCTGAACATTACAGGATATCCCTTTCCGTGGGAACCATGACATGAAAGAAGTTCTCAATTTCAGTTTTGCCTTCCCCTCTTCAACAAGCCTGATGATGAATTCTAGGAGTCGAAACATGTAGCATGACATAAGAACATGAGAACAAATTTTTGAAAAGATTTTTGGAATATGCAGCTGAATATGACTTAGTGAACTATGTTCTCAATTTCAGTTTTGTCTCCTCCTACCCAACAAGCCTGATGATGACTTCTGGGAGTCAAAACAAGTAGCAAATTCAATAAAATTCACTTGGAGTGAGATTTTGTGTTTTTCTCTTGATTAAAACATAGTTGTCAGGGAAAAATCGAAAATACAGTTTCAATCAGTTAAATCTAGTGGGATGGGAAATATATCAGTGGTATTTCTGATTCCTAGTATACAGGGCTTTCATTTCAAAACTTACTACCCTGCATATCTTTTGATCAGCATCGATAACAATTTTCAGGAAAAATATCTCGTCATCCTTATTGAATCACCTGGTACAATAAGAGATAGTGAATATGGCCTTGACCTCTTTTTACAACTATCCTTTACTAGGCATGGGCGCAAGATAATTTAATTGTTAATGAATCGGAAACGCCCAAAAAAATTCCAATACCTACCTCCTGTTCCTATCCTCCCTAGGAACGCACGATGTTCTTTGAACATTATAGGGATTCCCTTTCGTGCGCTCCAAGCGATAAAAAAAAATATCCAATGGGATATGCAACCTCTGTTTCGGAACTTATGGTTTCCTATATATAACTATTTCTGACTTTTATTGTATACGCGAGCTTACATTGAAGGGAAAAGTGTCGAATTTGATGGAAATGATTATTTTTGTATTTCTTTATATATAGATGGAATATTGAAACTTTTCCTATTCAAACTTCAACTCCCTATATTCAAGCTATCGGATATCTCTGTCATCTCTTAAAATCGATGAACAAAAATCAGGGCTACACTAATATTATAGGTACTGCCTTCTTATTCCAAATGCCAACGATCGAGAGTCAGCAGTGATATTTTTTTTGTCTCATCTGTAGATGGCATTATTTCAACTGAAAATGTCACCACATCTAAGTGATTGGAAAACAGTGAATGAGATTTAAGAGTCAAAATACACTATTGAAAGGGGTTTTTAAAAGTTTATCAATATGAATGATTTTACAAAAAAACATTACATCCTGTAGAATATCAGGTTAGAGTGTCCCACTGTAGCTATGACGCTCGAGCGTTTCGCTACTTCAAATAAACGAATTTTTCCCTCTGAGAGTGAAAAATGAAGAAGTTCACATAAACAGGAAAGATACTTTTGTTTGGACTTCCAGAGAGTAATGAGTTGATTTTTTTTTATGAAATTGAATTGTCCTACGGCCTCTTCTTGAATTGGTCATAATATATTATGTTGTTTTAAGTTACTGTTACTTTTATCTCGCCGACGTTCGATTCATAATATTATATACAAATATGACCAGCTGATAATAAATATGTCGTATTGTGCCTGTGACATTTTGACGTCATTATTATTATAGGGTCTTTCAGAAGTCGTTTTAGGATGTTCCCTTCCTTATTTTGTGACAAAAATGAAACCAATCAGACGTCACTCTGCTACCTGGGCAGTCAATAGAAAATAAAACAATAACAGTTCAGCAGTTTTTAATTTTGTTAGGGATATCCTGTTATCCATTATACAAATATATTCGCTTTCTGATATTGGATTCTTCACAAGTTTAGTCTTTCTCCTGACATTTTTCCGCTTGTGGGTTATAGGACGGCAATATTCCATTATCAAAATCTTTGAATAACTGTATTGTTTTCTGGTATACCAATTCGGATGCGTTCCATCCGAACAAGAAATCCAAGTGATTGAAATGCTCGTAATCTACCTTCTCAAACAAAACCACATTGGGGAGGCTTTTCATCGTTGCAATCGCACCCTGAAATCAATATATTAATCAATCAATCAATCAGTCCATTATTCCTTAGAAACAATGATATTTGATAATGACAGAGCATATTCGGTAAGTTTTTTAGCACACATACAGGGCTCGTCTAAAGTTCGTCCCCTCTACTAATTTTCAAACCACCTGGAAATTTGGAGGGCTGAAATAGGACATGAAAATCTACTTTTTATGGACAATCACTCATGTATGAAGAATCCCATAAGCCAATGTGAATTTCTCATTATGACAGCGAATAAACTTTGCACTAAGTTTTCCAGCCACCAAACGGAACCTAACTGTTGAAACCATGACAACCAGGATTGTGAACGGATCTTTGATGGCATTTATGTCAATCTTTCCCAAACTTCGCAATCACTCAATCAGAATAAAAACTAATCTGTAGAACTGTCGCGGTTTGGAGTAGAGAAATTGAAAAATCCATCAACAATTATGTGATTCACGCATTCATTAAATTGTCACTCAAGCATATTTTGGGTCGATATAAACATTAAATTCATAATCCGAGTGTTCTTGCCTTTAGGAAATTGAAGTCAAAAAACTGACAGAAAAAAAATACTCGTCTTACGGACTCGTGAATGTTTCGAAGGCATTTTTTTTTGTTCAATTTCCAGGCAACAATTTTTTTTTTGAAATGTCAAGTTTACTTCGACAAAGAAAGCTCTCGTGGAAGTGAAAAATGACAGCTTGAAGTATCAAAATGACATCTTCCATTTTTGAAATCTTTTCTTTATTCTCAACAGTTTTATCCCAAAACTTTACTCCTGAATTCGATAGTATTCAAAATCTTGACGTTCGAAAAATAACATCTTGATTATGCCAATCCCGACCAAAAACTCTAATGGTGCTTTCAATCAAATTGATTTGTATAGCAACCAACTTGTCACCGCGAAAACGATTTTTGTCCAAAGCAAACTTGGTTGGAATCAACATTCAGGTTTCTGGATGCGTTTGAAGTGACCAAGATGCCACTTTTCAAACGTTAATATTTCAAAAACTATAAAATTTGGAAGTGAATTATGTTTGTTGAAACAATTGAGAATTATCAGAAGATTTTGAAAATAGAATACGTCTTCTGAGACTCGTAACTCTCGGATTATTCAGATGATGAAATGAAAATGACAAATATCTAACCGAACATCAGGTGAGCACTTCGAAGGCGCAAAATACTTACTGCATAGGAGATACCCTTCAGATTTTTTGCTATTCTGTGACTTGACCACGAATTGACGTTTTAGTCTTCTGCGCAACCAAAATTCTCGTATGCAATACTACCTGAATTGATTCATCTAATGACAGGCCGCAACAAATAATCCATGGGAAAGCAATACAGGAATTCAATACTACACGAAACGGTCCACCGTGTCATAATGTTGCGATGCAGCAATATTGATCCACGTGGTGAGGATTATCCTCCCCCAAAAAATCTGTTTTGTACATGAACTCGCTTGCTTGATGAGCCAACGGTACCGGGTTCGAATCCCGTACTCCACCAATCTTTTTTTTTTCGAAATGATTCATTGAAAATAATACTGTTGGAGCCGATAGTGATTCGCTATTTCCTTGCTATTTCAATGGTTTTTTTTTCAGGATCTCTCTCAGAAGCTCTCGGCCTGATACTGTCTGTTATTTAGTTGTAGTAAATAAATCATGTTTTCAGTTCTTGAAATTTCATTGTATGTAGTAATTTTCAGATACTGAATCACATTGATTTATTTCTGTTGGAATGTAATATATCGGTAAAACCTCTGAGGAACAAAATTAATGAGACATTTCAACTAAGTTCTGAAAACTAATGTATCGAGGAAAGGTTTCATTCTTTGCAGTTATTGTTGTAAGTAGTAGAAATTTTTACATTACCTTTGGACTAACTAGATCATCTTTTGGACCGTAGTAGAGAGCTACCGGAGCTGTGGATTTTTTCAGATCGTACGCTGGTGGGGTTTCATTTCCATAAATTTTCAGATTGTTTCTCCAGCCATGGTCATATTGCTTGAATTGGCCTCAAATGAAAAAAATAAATAGTCTCTCGCTGTAAGTATGCAAATCACAGAAGCCAGAACTCTGGCGTGATATTTAATTATTGATCATCAACATTTTAGGAAAGAAACCAGCAGTTCAGACACAGATCATCAGTACCTACCAGCACCAATAATGTTTTTGACGACGAATAAATTATATTTCTGTATTTTCATTGATGTTCAAACAACAGAGAACTATTTGTCCAGGATTATCTTCAATTACCCTGCGAAACAGAGATAATCGAACATAAACCTAATATGGTTTTCGACAATGGGAAAGAATACCTAACATTGTAAGAGGTTAATGGATTTGAGAAAATAAAACAAATAATCCTTTTGTAGGGTTATTTCCTCTTCTTGAGGAACGAATATTGATATGAGGCATTTTTATTTGTATTGCTGAACTCGCTAAAGTTGATTTTTCCCATAGTTGTCTCTATTCATGGTATGATGTAAACAGAGAAAGTCATAGAAATAAATCAATTCCAGCAGGTACAGCAAGCACAAACGAACAGGCATTAGAAAAAAAAGTGATCTGAGAAGACACTTATCAAGAGACGTAGAAAACAGACACATCTAACTAGCTCAATAACGCTAAGAAAGAGATATATCTGTAGGGATATAATATTATATTTTTCTAGCGAAGTCCATGTGAAAAATTGATTTGGACAATCCGAACTAGGTAGGGTATTCCTTAAACTGTGGTAAGGTTAGGTTCAAAGTGAGTGGGTCTAGACACAAAGTAGATGCTCTGCTGTTTTATCATCCTCAAGATTATGATTCAGACGACAGTGACCTGTAATTGGGCCTGTTAGAGAGTGTAGGTCAATCCCTGCTGTAGTCTAACATTTCTTAGGTGACATTGTTCGAAGAATGGTAGGAATACCTTGGAATAAGCCAGATTGGCCAGCGTGGTCACCTGATCTCTCTCCGCTGGATTATTATTTATTGGAAACTATGCAAGATTTGCTTTTCAAAACTGTACCGATCGATATTGATGAGCTGAGAAGAACCATAATCACCACTTTCAGGACTATGATGAGAAGACGGGACATCTCGCGAGCGATTCAGAATCTGAGCAAACGCGTAGAATCGTGTTTAGAAGTGGAAGGTGGAGTATTCGAACATCTTTTATAACTTTGTTGTTTTGTTTTGTTTTGCGAAGAATAAACTTCTAGCTCATCACGTCATTCCTAATCCGAAACCATAGTTTTTAAGTAGACGAGCTTGACGAAAATGTGAACGTTCTAGATCCAAATTCAGATAAACTGTCGAAATTCAGCTTGTTAAACAAAACTGTTCTTTCCAAAGCAAATGTTTTTTTCCAATTTCGATCAACAGAAAATATTTGATCATATCATGTGATACATCATTGTAATCAGAAATTTCAAAAATGCAAAAATTCAATATGGCACCTATAAGAAAAAACAAAGTTGTGTATTGTAACTTTGCATTCAAGAACGTCATGAAGAATACAATGACAGATTCAGATTCCTCGTAAAAGAGTGCCCTGAGAGTGTTCTAGTCAGAAACGTCTATGTCTTTTGGTTTCTGCTTGAAAACATAACATCGAAAATTATTAATTTTCGTGTTCTTCCAATAATTCGAAAACTAAAAATGGCACATCAAAATGTTCAGCATAAAAATGCGCAACTTTGCCTTTTTAAACGACCTCGTACCTGTCTCTTATAATAACTGAGATCGCCATGGTGGAGCTTGAATAACGGACACCCTGTATATTGGGTAGTGTCAATTTTGGCTAATCAATACCAATTGAGAGATTTCAATTGTTTCATGTGAGAGGTTGATATTCTCCGAACTATCTTCATTTCTCTTCATGGAAAACAAATATGACTAACTTTGGGAAATAAACAAGGTAGGTATATCTACATATTGCCCCAGTATGTAAACTTTGGCAATATATGGTTTATAACATCTATGCTGAAGAAGGATCAGCTATACTATGGATTTCGAATCAATTACCTGTTTTCGTAATTTGCATGTAGTGAAACAATTGTCTGGCAGATGCCCTTCCTATATTACTACTGGTTAATACTGGTGCCATATCCTAAAAATGAAAATATTCAAATATTTCAATCCAAACCATGTTTGTTCCAACATGCAATTCATAAAGAAATATTGAAAACTCTTAAAAAACCCAATAAAAAGGTTATGAAAATCAAAGATTCAGATAGGTGATTCGATTTATTCGGATACCCTTATAATATTCCTGATATATTTCCCACCTTATCCATGATTTTGGATTCATGAGATCCAATGACGTATATGACTTTGTTGCAGAACTCCAAGAAGTATGTCTGTTCTCTACATAATCTTTTACTAATATCCAGACCAATCTTGGAAAATGGGATTATTTCACGTAAGTCTAGTAACCTATAGATAGCCTGAAAAAAATTAATACTATCTCAAATTCACATTGATACGGTTTGTATAGGATGATAAATTAGTGTTGATTTTCAGCAGTGATATCACGATGTTCTGAATATTCGAGATAATTCTGTCGCTATGTTGTTCACGAAAATTGCTGTGTTGTTCACGAAAATTGCTGTACGGAAACACAATTGAGTTGAAAATGAAATACAGAATAATGAGAAGATATTCAGGAAATAGATTCACGGAATTTTGCTAGAATCAGCTATAGTCTCGATATTGTAGCTTTTTCATAGCTCGGATAATGTTAATCACGCCCTTTTTCGACTAGGTCTCAGAAACTCACATTTAGGTAATTTGAATTTCAGCAATATCTTAAAATTTCCGATATCAAGATGGATATCTGGTTATGAACGGATTTCATGAGCTGAAGCAGGGATTCTCAAGGTAAGAAAATTCAGGTACAAAATCACAGATTTCATTTCAGATGATATTGCATAAACCATGTGAAGAAGAATCACTTCGGGTACCAGTATGTTGAAATATGGTAAGGCTACGTATGTGACGTCACTGCCAAGTTGATTTCATAACTTGACTATCACGTCATCAACACGACTTCAATTATACCTCATTTATTGGAATATTGGAAACGGTTCCTCTAAGACGTTCTAGTTACGTATTGATGACGTCTAAATATTACGTCGGTGTGAGGTACTAATTTGGTGGTGTTCGTTATTCAGATGATTTGTCAATAATGTTCTATTTGATATCCTGTTCAGTGACTAACAAAACCTGAATATACGTTTCTTAACAAAATAAAATTACATAAGCCAATATTCATTGGAATTCTAACAGTTTTCGTTTGATAGGTTCGCGGAGAATCTATCTATTTACATCATTAAAATGTAACTTATTCACGTCATTCCACATTCCATATAACGTGTGAACTCATAACATCACTTTAGTCATCTACTGACATGAGAAAAACCTCAATAAAACCACATCTTAGTTGCCTGGGATATGATTTGGAACTAAGAATAATACAAATCCTATTAGATTTACTGGTATTTACCTCTAAAACTTCGACAAGATGGACAAATAAATTCGCAAATGGTATGTCCATGTGGTGTAACCGAAGAGATGGAGCGTAGGAAACACCTATTTTGATTTTCTCGTTGTACTCTGGCCTTTCGCTTGTAGTGATGAAGTAACAAGTGTTTCCTTGGGAATGACCGATAGTAAACACCTTTTGTCCGGTCTTTTTCATGATGAAATCTATATTAGTTGGTATATCGTATATTGCTATTTCGTGGAAGCTAAAATAATAATCAACCAATTGACAATTTCATAATACGAAATATAATAATAGTATAAAGGTGAACTTCCAATGATCCTGTATAGTTCAATAAACGAACGCCAAAAAAGGTCGAATTGATGAAAAAATCGTGTAGACGCAAATTTCCCGACAGTGGCAAAGAGAAGTGCTATGAAGTATGAACAACATACTAGAAGTTCTGATCCGTGGGATATGAGCGAGGTGGTAGGGAAGCGTTTTTAGGTCATTTTTTGAAGTTATTCTTGAATAACCAATGAAAATCAGTATAGTATTTCGTGCAAAATAATTTATTCAAATTTATTACTCGTAGCAGAGCGCTTTCGACTGTTAAGTCATCATCAGTGTATACCTGTAAGTAAGTAATCTGCTTTGAGCTATTGAAGAACTTTGGAGGACATTGGAAAAATTGGAATTTTTTTTTTTAATTTTTATAAAGAATTTTTGAAAAAAATTAAATTCAAATTTGAGACTAGTTACTTGTTAATCAACTCTTGATACGAAAAAAGACATTATCATGAAATCGAAAATTGGAAATAGTTGAATACGAATTTGGAAATCAATAAAAGTTAGTTTACTTACTCGTCAGATTAACAAGGAAGTATATCCATATGAAAATATCTCTGGTCCAGTTTAAAAATAACGACATTATGGTTAAATATGGTACAAACAGATTAAAATTTGTATCCCAAAAAGGGATAAAATACCGATTGAATTTTCTCAAGCAGAAACCAACTTCTGTCACTCATCAAGTTCACTTTAAAACGACATGTCGCAGCGACAATGGCTGCTTAAGCATCACCTACGGATCAGGACTTTCAGTATGTTGCTTATGGTACTTCCTCCTATCGCTCTAGGAAAATTGCGACAACCCGATGTTTTCTCCTATTTTTTGTTCTTTTACTGAACTATTAGTATAGTAGTATAACATTACATTTGCTTGATTGATAAATATCGTGACATTTCAAGGGCTACCCAACAATATTTGCATTTGCAGTTTTTTCCCACAAATAGACGTTGGTCACAAAGAGAGAAACTCAAAGTCATTAGTCATTATCACAATTGTTCATAAAATGAACGAAAATGGTAGATGACGAGAGAAAAAGAACTGACCCAACAAGAACGCATCTCAGCATTTGAGGAGCAACTGAGCAAAATGCATTAATTCCAATTTTAACATTTTTCAAGTGAATATTACTGAAGTAATACATTTTGGTCAATACACAATCCATAATGTTCACTTCGAGCAAAACGCTTCAGATCCATTTAAACTTGCCATATCGAAAATGGAGATTCGAGCAAAATGCGTTAAATCCTATGAATGATTGAAATTGAACAAACTGGCATAAATTCATCGGCTGGTTGTCACTGAAATGAATCCACAGGAAAGTTTTCTGTGAATGATTTCGTTCTCAAGGAATTTATCTGTGAATGTTTTCGTTTAGTTGAGTAAATTATCTAGAGATGGCCATCTTGATTGAAGAAATATTGAGAATTTTTTTTTGTCTGAGCAGAGTGCGATAAATCCAAAAACTAATCGAGCAAAACGAAATAAATCCATTGATATTTGAGCAAAATGCTATAAATCCACACATTGATTGAGCAAACTGGCATAAATCCAACAAAAAAAGTTGAATAAATGCATATATACTGATGTTGAGTTTGGAGAATATCACCATCCAACCTTTCCGAGATTGTTATTCATTTCGATTTGTAACCGAATTGAAATCTGTTTTTGATTATATCTGATTCAAGCAGTTCTTCATCTTTTACTCGAAATCATATATTATGGATTTAAACCGTTTTGATCAGTTGCTCCTCATTTATACCCCACGAGGCGTTCAACGTCCGCGAAATGAACACGAACACCGAACGCCACCTGGCAAGTATTTGACTTTTCCCTAGTTGGAAATAGACATTGATTTGATTGATTCTCATTCCACTTACTCGAAATTCCAATAATCTAAATCCTTATCGATATCATAATACTTATGTCTCTGAGACAGCTCCGTTCCCCTAGAGCTCAAGAACCACACATCGAACCCGCTATCGGCCAGATTGTAGGCCAAGGCCCTGCCTTTCCCCAACATGACGAACATTTCGGGGGTTCCCCCCATGCCGTGGAGGAGCAAAACGGGACTCCTTCCTGTCTTGTTTTTCGATTGCACTCCGTGGGGGATCCTGACAGTCGTCAGGATGTAATTGTCTTCGGTGGTCAACTCGTACATCTCCAGAGGATATCCGTCATGCCTGATTTTTTCAATCTGGAAGTTACGAAGGTCTCACCGATTTCCTGTACTGGTATATCATAATGATAGAAGGTACAGTTGTGCGCATATAAGTAGTACAAGGTTTGTATGGTGTATACCTGCCTATCATGTTCCATATATTTCATTAAAAAGTAGTAGGTACATGCATACATTCGCGTGTTACTGACAAAAATAGCTTGAATTTTGACACTACTTGTCAAAGTCGATAAGAAGATTAATCAAGATTGACAAGCCTGACTCACAATAGAGTTTATCCCTAACAACACAGGGATGCCCTAGGTCGTCCCTTTTTTGTCCCGCGGTACAAGGACATGATTGGGGCATCCAGGGGATGTCCCGCAGTGGTTGTCCAGTGGACATCCCGCCCGGTACATCCCTAGGATATCCTATTCGTGTCCCTGGAATATCTGATATCCATTCACATCAGAGTCATTGAATTTCATCAAACTAGTGAGTTGAATTTATTTGAAAATGTTTGTTTTTCTTCCGGAAAATAATTGTAATGAAAATAAAGAATAAAGTCTCAGAACTACTAAAGAAATGACCATTTTTCGCAAACAGAAATCGTACATGCATATTGCCCCTCATTTTTAAACACCCAAGAATGATAATAATTATATCCAAATCCTAACAAAGTTGTATTTATTCAGGTTTCTATAGTTAAGTTCTGTTTATAAATCTGTTCAGTACATAAATCTTCAGGAGGCATAATAGCCAATGGAGTAAGGTGCGAGCCTGATAAGCTAAAGGTCCCGGGGTCAATCCCTACTCGACCTTTTTTTTTTTTTTTGTCGAAGGGATATCCCTGGGATGTCCTTGGGACGTCCTACGGATATCTATTTGTTTTATCTAAGTTTTAGATGCCAGAAGAAGGAAGTATCTTCACTATGATCATGTTTCTCTTTTCAAATGAGTTATATGTATATAACTGTGAAAAGTCGTGAAAATGCGCTGATATATGAGAATGAAAGAATTTTCATAAAGTGGTTGAATGATTAGCATTATTTCAATACTATATACGATGATATTGAAAAATAAAAAGATACTCATGTCAAGATCATCTTCATCAATTCAAAAGTTGAATGATTGGCATTATAATATCACATGATGATATCATAAACATGAAAGGATACTAACTAATATCAATATTACTTGCATTCAATGAGGAGGCTGATTCACTGAAAGAGAAGAAGCGAGAAAGATCCTTATGAACAGAACCGTTTTGCGGTGTAGGAAAAACTATATTGAGGAATATTTTTTCAAAAAAGAGTTTCCAGTTTTGTTGAGGATTATCTCCAGAATTATCCAATTGAGTTGATGTTTTCAGCAGGAGAAAATGAAAATAGTACCTACTTCTACTACTTTCAGTTTGGTTTGATCATTTAGATTTCATCAAAAATTGACAGAAAACAGCTCATCTTTCCTAAGATAAGGTTCACAATTATATCAAAATGGTTAATAACTGTGCTAATAGAATTCACTATTGACCTTGAGCTGAAATAAGTTGACAGAACGTGAAATCTTCAATGCTGGAAATGATGGATTGCAATCCACAAATATCTTGGAGTGAAACCTCTTAAATCACGACAGACTTGAAATATATCAAGTTAATGAACTATAGGTGTATGTTATAGGAGTCTTTTGAGATAAATATGTTCTCTCATTCGTCCGAAAGAATACTTTCAATCGATGTTCGATTGACTGTTGATGCTGTTTCAAATCTCAAAAATTATTCCTACCAAATAATCAATATAGAATACTTGAAAAAATCTCCGTTTGAAAATGCATGCGAATAAATAGGAACTTCAAAACAACCAAGTTTGTTTGTTAGACGTTTTCAAGCTTCGGCTCGGTGGTCGAGAGCGTGATGGCGCTTAGTTCGTATGGGGACTCCCACCGAGACATAGGTTCGAATCCTAGTTAGGCCATAGATGTTTGTGTTTGATTGTTTACCTAACCCCGCACAAGTTTCGACTTATGGGGCGTTTGGTCCCAGTGCTGGGACCAACGAGGTATGCAATTGCAAAAAAAATACCCTCGAATTTACTTGAATTCGTTAAATTCCGAGAATTTCCTTTCTTAGTGAGACAAAAACAGGCATCAAAATATGGATGCAAAATAATGCTCAGAGATTGTGGAACAACTTTTCCGAAATGAGCATGAATGGAAAAACATCATATAATATCTACTATGCCAAAAAAACAGAAAAACTATGATAGAAATAGGTAGTGAAATCTATCGTAGATAAGTACCTAGTATTAGTGTGCAAGTTTAACTACCAATGCAGAGATGTATAGAAATTTAACTGGTGCGCTTGCTCCCTATTGAAGGTCGTTTGCAAGTTTCTCGATGGCTCCTACTCTGATAAACCTTTGATGAACATACTTGACGTGGGTAAATCTCGCTAAGCTCATACTGGTTACAATCCATATTTACAGGAAACATATTACCGACCGATGAATATTTGGATATGTAGGTATATGATTTGGATCAGAGCAGTGAACTGATTCCTGATCAAAGGATTGAAACGTCAATATGTCGAAAATATTCTTGAGCTGAAAAAATGGTTATTTCTGAGATTGGGGTCTAGTGTTCCTTAGAGACGTTTTCCGTAGTTTCTAAATTTTGTGTATAATACCTAATCCACCATAGAAAATAGAAAATATCTGTTCTACAACAGTATTATTTCAGTGATTTGAAATATTAGCGTGAACTGGTGTGAATAATTTCTAAGGTGAGTACCAGTTACCATATCTGCCTAATGATTGCTTCAATTTCAAATTGAAATTTGAATGGAGATGTTGAGCACAGTATTTATTCGACCACAGAACAATGATGGAAATAGATTCATCCCTCACAGAACCAAGGTTTTGAACGATTTTCCGATTATGGCGCCTCTATCGCAAATACCTGAACCCCACGTCCAAAACTCGCTTACAATTGTTCCATATCGAGAGTTAGTCTGACGAAACAATTGAAGAGTGAGCCCACCAGCTAAATTTCTATACATCTCTATCAATGTCATATTATGTCATTCTACTTACGAAGCTCAAATCGGCATAAGGATAATCTTTGAATATCCACGATGTTACTAGCTGAGAGCATGTTGAAAGCAATATCAAACATTCCAATCTGGTCATCACCTCTCTGATAAAAAATAAAAGGTTGAATTTGTTTTCAAAAATTCTCTTCTGGTCGGTGAACTATGAATGGAAGTGAAAACTGATTTTCAGGTGTAGGCAAAAACGTTATCAGTTCAGGTCCAGGCTGTGTTTTAAGTGCAAGGTTCAAATGTGATTTATCAATAATTAACATCATTATAAACACAAACATAAAAGGTTTCACTTGTAGGTGAATGTAATCATGAAAAGCATGTTCTAATGATTCGAACAAAAACTGTTGAATTGAATGCACTAATTCAGAAAAGTAATATGTGAATCATTCATTTCCGAAAGAAATGCAAAACTTGATAAAACATTTCTTGAAAAACAACAAAGTAGGTACCAAATTCAAGAGTACTCTGTATTTTTCACTATTATTATACCACACATTGTTTTTCTATAAATTATCGGTACAATGCCCATTTGACTTCGAGCATTGACATTTTGATTGTCCTGTCCTGGCAAAAATTTAATATCAGCAAATATTTTGGGACTGAATCAGTTTTCGAGATACCCTCCTATATATGAATATCATATCAACCTGAATCTGGTGGGAAACAAAAAGTCACTAGTCGAAATTGTGACCAATTTATTGAAACCGAATTTGTTGTGGAATGCATATATTTGTCAAAAAAATACATCGGATGTCTTATTGCCGAATGAATCCGTTTAGTGTTCTCAACAGATTGTGATGAACGTAAATATTGAGATCTCTACCCCAAAGAAAATCCACATGGGTCCATGTCTCGTAGGGTACTCTGTATACTTCCGAAATGTTGGGTAGAGTGTCCTCTAGAAACTGCACAGTCTGAAAAATATTCAAAACCATTCTATTTAGGAATAAAATCAAGGTATGTTGGAGTAAGAAAATATCACATAAATAAATTATGTATCGCACATCATGATATCGCCTGATGCTTCCTGATACAATACATATAATATACTATACTACTGAGTATGGATAGGTATATCAAAAATAATGAAATTGTTGAGAATTTACAAAAATAAACTGAAAACGCGGCAAGATTGGCAATAACATTCGCAAATCCACCATAGTTCAAAATCACCCTGAACAAATATTTGAAAAAATCCAACAAACGAATACCGATAAATTTACTTTTGGTTGCATACTTTTGCCCATTACTATAGGGCGTGCAAGATGACCGACCCTGGAGGTAAAATATTGGCAACCTCACTCTTCTGTGAATTATTGAAACACAACCTCACTTTTTTATTTGGTTACAAAGGAATTAAAGGATTGAAATAGTTTTTCACATTATTATGGAAAACGAATCGTGTTTTTGTACTATTCATTAATTCAAGCATGCCTTCGCATTGTGCTGTTGTACAATGCACAAAAAATGCAGCAATAAGAAACGAAGGAATATGATTTTTCAGGTAAATAGTAATAGTTATCATTATATGAAATGTTGTCATTGCTTATTAAAATTCCTTCTGCCACTCTGCAATACAAGCTAATACTGCTAATAGATTGAAAATGTCTACAACACACACGATCATATTTCGTCAGCATGTCAGACCAGTCCTCCCGTTTAATTGCATGAATCCAATCTTCTTGCATTATTTCAGAAATTTCATGTGTATTTCTATTAGCTCCTATTGCAGAAGGAATTCTGATGAGAAATCAGAGAAATTACCAAATTTCAAAAATGAAAACTATATGTGAGGTGCTTACTTTTAAATCATAATGTACCAACAGGATTCCTTCGTCTTCTGCTGCAGTTTTTGTGCATTGTACAACAGCACAATGTGATGGCATGAGCGAATTAATGAATAGCCGAAAAATACGATTCCTATGAAAAAATAATTGTGAAAAACTATTTCAATCACTTATAAACAAGTAAGAAAAGTGAGGTTGTGTTTCAATGTTGTTCCTCCAGGGTCGGTCATCTGACAGTTCTTGCACGCAACCCATTACTATACCTAACCTAACCTGATATGACATGTGAGTATGTATATGAAATCCTTACCTGATTAGATACGAATACATCATTTGGTGCTACATATAAAGCAACTTTGAAACTGATATTCGTCACATTATATTCAACGGGTTTTTCTGAACCATATCGTCGTAGATTCTCCTTGGCGTTTCCCCAGTCAAATGTTGTGAATTTTTCTTGAATTAAAATTCGTAAGTTAATAAATACAAAAGTTAGTGCCACAAAAGTCGAATTCAGAATTGTCTGAATTAATGAGCTCATTGTTGACTACTCATTGATTGCGAATGTTTGGATTGAGGAATGATGGAAATAAGTAGATGATGGTGTATCTACTGATGCGCTTTTGTTTCAGAAAGTCTTCTCGACTTCCTGAGATCAATGTTTTCGAAGGTTTTCGGATAGATGGCGATATTGCACAATTATGATGAATTTCAATTTGCCGCAGATGTTTCGAATTTAGAGTGAAATAAACCCACTGTTACATATGTTCCGCGTACCTAAAATGCCATTTGCCATTTTATTTTTACTCGTCACAGCAGCAATAGCAGCATCACAATCTAGTGGAAAGATGTAGATCCAACGTCTCGCTCGATATGACGTACAGAAATCACAGTAGGTGATACGCAAAAATGCCCAGGTACGCTCATCTTCTACTTATTTCCATCATTGGTTGAGGCAATGTGAGCTATGTAGACTTCAATAGTGACAGACATGGCGAAATATCACAGAACTAAAACACAGGGGAGAAGGGAATAACAAATCCTAGTCGTGTTCCCAATAGTAAGTCAAATATGGCGGAGATATCCCCTTGACACGTCAGCGCACTGACTCGTGGTCATAGACGGCGTCATTTAAATTGTTGCCCACAGCAATTGTTGAAATCTGAATTTGCTCCAACTCAAATTATGGTAATAGAAACACAATCACAGTTTTTTTCTGGATAAAGAAAATTAAATCGAAATTATAACACAACACAGCACAACATTCCTACATTTCTTTTTCAACCTTTTTGAATTTTTTTCAACTGAAAGAGAGTAGGTACCAACTCAAATAGTCAAATATAAACTTGATGTACATTTTATTCGAATAATTAACATTGACACAAAGTTCCATGATTCATCATCATCTATGGACTTTTTTTTGGTTCCATATCTTTCTTCAAGTGTAGAAAAATTGTTTTTTCATGAATCCAACACCAAGTTAGTACATATTTAGAAAGTAATGAACAAATCTGTATATTTGAAATCTGTTAATCAGCTTCATATTTTTCTCAGGGGTATGTTTTCAATCCAGCACTATCTGAGCTATGCTATCCACTTCTTCATTATTTTGGTAGGAATCAATGGTTCGAAGACACATCCACTCTTCATTGTTGGAGGATGATTAGTACCAGTATTTTTACTTATGAATTGGACAGGTTGTTTCTATTCCAATGCATGATATGTGACCGATAAAAAAGACTCCAGCAGAATGTTTAGTTTGTTTTTGTTTTCATGGTACTTCAGTAAACAGGAGTACCAAGTACCTATCATTATTTCGAAAACTTGGTGCCATTCTATAAAACAAATAATCTGAAGATTCCATAGATATTGCTGAAACTTACAATAACAAATCTGTCAACTTTTTTATTTTGGAGTCGAAGAGGAGGACTCTCTGTTGATTTTCTTTTGCTTATAGAATATTAGGGAACAGCATTCTGCCACTTTGCGCTCAGGAAACACAACTCTGATGCCTCGAAATGCTTGGAAAAACAATATTTCTAGGAGTTATGTACGTGTCAGGTATCCCCAAGGCTGCACAATCGATCAAGTCATAGTTTTTTCCTGAAACAAAAACTAAAATGGTGAAAAATAAATTCAAGCATGTTCTGAATTGATCTAAAAATTTTCAAGACTGGCCTGTTCACTAACCTAAAAAAAACATTACTTACCGAAAATAGTAAATATTTGTAAATATGCCACTACTGCCGAAGAATCGAATGAGTCATATTGAAGGCATAACGAAAACTCATCGAAAACTTAGAAAAAATGCAGAAAACGGGAAATTGTGAATAAACATCGAATAGACACAAGAGCTGAAAGATGACATTCAGTAATGCGCAGACTCGCCAAGGGACAACCGGCGCCATATTGGTTCTCCTTGCTGGAACAAAATCATAACACAGTTGTTCCCTTCTCCTCTGTGTTTTAGTTCTGTGGGAAATATGGCTATATAATTCATCAAAATTGTCTTACTATCCATCATGTTTTGTCCATAATGTATCAGCTGATGGAAGGAACTCGATGAAGGTGTTAAAGGTGCTGTTATCGGGAAAATTCGCTGAAACAGATTACCTAAATTAACTGTGTCATTCAGATTTGAAGAACTTCACTTAATATACATTGTCTCGAAGAATAAAGTTCGTCAATGATACAACATTCTGTTCAACAAATAATTGGAAATTCAAGTACACTTACTGAAAAAACAAACATTTTTCATTTTTTTCCTTATTCTAATGGAAAAGTTCCCATTCATAAATCCACCGTTAAAATGAAAAATGATAAAGAATTCATTGAGTTGGTATCGAAATATCGCCCTTTTAGGATTTCAGTAGATAATTGCATAATCACCACTACAACTATGATTTCAACCTCAAAAGTAGCATTTGATTGATTTCCAATACTCAATATAAATATGGACCGTGGAGTTTCACACCGAGAGAAATATCTATTAGCTGTTATACGAAACTGTATAACCTTCTGAAGATTTCTGAATTGAATAGACACCAGCAAAGCTGTAATCAAGTCCATCATTTCAAAAAAATCATATAACTCTGTGAAACAACACTTATATTAGAATGAAATGACGCTCATATAGGGGTGAAATGATGAGCGTTTCAATATTAAATAGTGATATTATAAAAATGAAATATTACTTATATCAATATAATTTGTTTTCAATTTAATATTCTAATGATTGGCATTCAAGTATTGGGGTGATTAATTTTTTTTTTCAGAAAAATTAAGTGGATTGCAGATCGCTGAGAAATATTGAAGACATATCTACTTATAGTATAAATATACATTTTTTTCCGATAGGCAGCAAATATTAATTTTGCTGACACATATCAATCAGCAAAGTATTACTTTTCCTGCCTAGGCAGCAAAGTGGGTACTTTGCTGCCTAGGCAGCAAAGGGGTTACTTTGCTGATTGATATGTATCAGCAAAATTAATATGCCATAAATCGTTTATGATTTCCTTCAGATTTTATCCGAGACTTCTCCGGCAACAAATTCAACTCTATATTTTTTGCCACCTCCCTTATTTCTGGAGGTTTAAGTCCTTCCAGGTCGCTTTTACTGTCCATTATATAATAATTTAAATATACCGATATTTTTTCGCCCAACTGTCAGAAATTTCATGAATTGTCAAACTATTATTATTATGGACATTTCCATAGCAACCAACCATTCCAACAACTGCGCTTTCCATCAAATTTTATTTTAATTGAACACTACAGGAAAAATAAAGAGATATATATCATTATGAAAAATCGGAGAAAAAATTATATATTCAGCCTCGGCAGTCAATCTACTACTTTGCTGCCTAGTTAAACAAATAACTATACCCCCAAGTGGAGTTTTTTATTGATACTACAGGGCATTGAAGTGCATCACAAGGGCGAGATACTCAGTACACAATATCTCAATTTGCCTACGATAAAAATGCTTCCAATTTGCAGTATTATATCTTCTGATGAGTTGTTGGCTAGAATCCTTGTGAATTTTGAAACAGCAAATGAAATTATATGAATCAAATAAATACATATACACCGTGTCCAAGATAAGGATACGAAGACATCGTTATCTTGGAAATACTCTGTATACACAATACAATCTATCACCGATATAATTCTGTGAATCTAAGATTCACCACTTCAGTGAATAGTGAGGTAGTTTAAAAATACAAAATTTTATCCAAATCGGAAAAATTTCCGATACATTACCGATTTATCGTGAAAACATTATAACGCCCTGATGCAGTTCAACTTCCTGTAGTTCCTCAAAACATCCCATACTAAGGGGTCATATGAACAAATATGCCCCTAAAACTTTTAGAAGAACTTTCAACCACTTCACTTTTTCGAAAAAAAAATTATTACTCTGTAAGAAGGGTGCACGAGCTGCTGCGGGCTAATATGTCCTTACATATCAGTTTTCCGTGGACGACTAACGATTCTGATGGAACACGTGTTCATAAGTGAGTGGGATGACTCATTGTGGTAAACTAGTATGACAAAGATGGTTGATGATGAAGAAGAGATGGAACTTAAAAGATACTTGTATAACTGTGAAATGGCATCTTTTAGGATTTGAATGATTATCTTTCAATTTCCATCTTTCAACTATAATCTTGTTCTATTTCAAATATACAAGGTGATCTTTTCGAAACAAAAAAAGTTATCTGAAAAGGTGCGATCTGTTTTATTGTTGACTTTTCACGTTCATTAGATGACATTTCATGGTTAAAATGTTTCATTTAGCAGTTATAGGATGTCTTTGAATAAAGACTTGTATAACTAGATTTTTCTTGGTGCATGATGATGTTTGCATCTTACCGGATCAAATTGGTCATCGTTTGGTCCAACCAATATGGATACCAAAAATGTACAAAGCCATCTAGGGCTGAACTTTAACCCGCAGAGGAATCGATTCATGGCATGCATTTGCCGATTGCTAAGGAATGGCGGAAACTTCTGGATATCTAGGACTTTTCCAATAGCCTAGAAAAAAAACCCTGACAAAATCACCACTCCCTATGAACAGAAAGTGTGTGCGATTTCAACCCGCAACACGCTCCCAATTCGGATCCCGTCGACCGATTTTCAGAAACAAAAATTCCATAATATGCTACTCAACGAGCTCTACTCAACTAATATTCAGATTTTCAAGGCCTCCTTTGTTTGTTGAGGGGGTCAAAATGTTTTTTCGAAACAGTGAGTTTTTTATTCGATTCAAGCATAGCTGAAATACCTCTATGCGAAATTTGAACGCAAAATCTAATATAGGGTGTTAGTTATTCAATGGCGAATTTTGATATTTTTGATTTTTCGATTCACCCTGTATCAAAATTCAAGGAGTTGATATAACCAGTGAAGTGGTTATTCAATACAGGAACACATGAGTTTCATCGTTGTAACTTCTACAGGAAGATCTCTCTAGATCAACCAAAAATTAATAAAACTTAAGTTGGGATTCACTTTTTTTTTTTTTTTTTTTTTTTTTTTTTCGAATTGACTCGGCCGCCGTTGAACTGTGGAGTTCATTGTACCAGTATATCCCCTGACGAAGCTACTGTGTTAGCGAAACATGTCGTGTATTTGAGAATTTTGTGAAAATCTTATCGTTTGTGAAGTTTTTACATTTGGAATTCACTATTCTGAAAACTCAAGTAAACCGTATTTCACACACTACACCACACAGTCACTTTGAAATTCGTCTTGTTTGATAAAGAGCTGTCGAACATGACACAAATATAATGACAGACAAATACTCTTTGAAGATTGCTAGGAGATATACTGATGTTCGATGTGATTTATAATAATATACCAATTTTGGCGAAATGGAATGAAAATTTGAGATGACAATGAAAATTTTCATGTATAGAGAATATTGTCCCAGATAGGTCACCATCATCTATCTCCTACAAAGAAGGTTATGGATCCAAAAAAAAAATTCGATTTCAATTTCATTAATTATTGGTTGACCTAGAGAGATCTTCCTGTAGAAGTTACAGCGACGAAACTTCGTACCTATGTATTCGATACATATCAAAAATATCAAAATTCGCCATTGAATAACTAACACACTATATGAGATTTTGCGTTCAAATTTTGTATAGGGGTATTTCAGCTATGCCGGAATCGAATAGGCAAGTCACTATTCCCAAAGAAATGCTTAATAGTCGTTTTTGAAATTTTGACCCTTTCAACAAACAAGTAGGCCTTGAAAATCTGAATATTTCAAATTTGTCCATATTTTCGAATAGAGCTCGTTGAGTGCCATATTATGGAATTTTTGTTTTTGAAAATCGGTCGAAGGGTTCCAAATTAGGAGGGTGTTGCGGGTTGAAATCGCACACACTGTATAATAGAATAGAAATGCATTGAACTATGCTACACATATCCTATTATGTTTGTAGCAGGTCTGTTTTCAAGTATTAAAAGGCTTACATGTGAAACATCAAGAGCAAAGATTACAAACTCAAAAATCTCAAAATAAAAACCTATTTTACGGCTTAGTGAATCAAGGAGATGTGCGAAAAAATGTGTTCTTATAAGTAATCGACACAGGTAGACGCACTCAATAAGTACTTTTTGAATATTTTTTTGAAAGAATTCACACTGAGGATTTTGCGATCACCTGGCAGTCCTGGCAAGAATAATCTAGGGATTTTTTCAGAGATAATTGAAGACGATATCGGTTTAGTCTGATCTGATGACCCCTAACAAACTGAAAACTAAATCCAGTTTGTTTGATCCCTATGCACCCACCAATCCACATCCTACCTTTTCCAATCAGCATGCCGTTGGCATTACGAATTGTTGAAAATGGGGTTTTTCACTTTCATTTTCCACATGAACAAAATGAGAAATTTGAGAATGCAGTCTGTGAACATTTGAATTCCCGCCCGTCAGGAGCAGCTCATCTGAAATTCATTATGAAAAGGACTTGGGGTGGATTCATGCAACATCAACTAAATTATAATGAATTCAAGATTTGAAGGAATTTGAAATTAAAAATATATGGGTATACGGCTTACATGTCCCTATCTTACCTTTCGATTCATCATCTACTGACACTTAATTGGAACAAATACAGGGTGGTTGAAAATTCAAGATTCAAAAGTTCATTTAGGCCGAGTTACGCATATTTGGTCTATTTTCATGTTGCTCTAGCTGCTCGCCCGTTAGTCCTACATTCATGAGCAGCAATTAAACATGAAAAAATTCATGTCCGTCCACCTTAGCAATTTGATCTTCCTGTTGAAGCGTATCAGTACCAGAGATTTCGAATTATAGCCTTCCATCACGCCATACACTGGCCCAGGTGGTGGTATGACATTCTATTATAATAGATGCAGTTAATGCATCAATGGATTCTTTTAGCCTATTAATTGGTGATTTCTACCCAATTGAAGTGACACAAAATCACTTTTAGGTCGTCAATATATTATTCTGTCATTAAAACGTTATAAAACAATTGCGCGAATTAATGAATAGTCGAAAAATACGACTCGTTGGCCAAAATAATCGTGAAAAACTATTTCAATCACTTGTAAACAAATAAGAAAAGTGAGGTTGTGTTTCAATGTTGTGCCTCCAGGGTGGGTCATCTGACAGTTCTTGCAAGCAACCCATTCCAAATTCCAACCATAACCAATAGATGGACACTTGATACCTTCAATCAGAACCAGTTGAATCTCTTCCTCACCTTGAACAGTTTGTAATGTGGTGCTACTAGCCTAATGAATATTTCTTCGGGATTGAGTATGACAGACATGGGGCCCATAGCGACCAATCCATTTATTTTTTCGTTATATTCTGGTCTAACAGCGCCCATGACGAATATAGTGGTTGTTCCTTGCGAATGTCCGATGAAGGATATATTTTGGGCACCTGTGTTTTTCAGAATATAATCTATAGTAGCGGGTATGTCATAGATCCCCATTTCATGCCAACTGAAATCATAATGTACAGGTTGTAATAATCTTTTGAAAATGATGAAACGGAACCATAATCCAATTTTTATTTAGTTATTCATCCTCTATTGATTACACATTGTGGAGATTATGTTGAGCATGTAGGTACTTCCTTAATCGTTACTATTTCTATTAGATAAACGATAATGGACGATTTTTTTAAATACAAACAGGGGTCATGTGACACCTCGTTTGAAAGGTCCACTGATCGTCTATTCAACAGTCATGTTGTCAAATGTTGCATGGGAAGATTGAAATCAAAATCATGTGATTAACTGAATCTTGCAGAGGTCTGCTTCTGAGAATTGAACATCGAAGGGTCGTCTAGTTAACAAAATACGTCGAAAAACTCTAGTTTTTGGTTTTTTTTTCGAAAGTCGTCTCGTTTTGAAATGAATTTATTCCATACATTTGCATCATACTGAATACAAAATTTTATGCACTAGTGGTTCATTTTCTGACTCAAAAGTATTGACTATATAGAATTCGATAAACTTATATTCCCCCGAATTGAATTTGTTACGTATAAATTCAGTAATCAAGAGGAGCATAATGTTCATGGATGATTTACATATGAAAATTATTTTACGAATATTGCAATTATTGTAATAGTGAAACTCTTTGATCTCTAGAAGAGATTCATTCTTCAGAATTTTACAATATGCATACCCAGTATACATACCTAACTAATTTTGACGTTGTCAATCAAGCTGATGGTTGTTGTCTATATCAATACATCCAATGAACGAGGTGAATTGTCATTCTTTGAATGAAATGTAAAAGATAGTGATAATAATAATAGCGATAGATATGGAATCGGATAAAGAAGAAGTTTATGATATATTAGAATCTAGGAAAATGATCATAGGTTTTTCATTAATTGATATATGTATGTAAGGTAATTGAGAACAGCGGGCGGTAAAGTGCACTTTACGGCCCGGTAGTATATATATAAATATATATATAAATATATTTTTCGAACTTATCATAAGATTGAGAATTATAATACTTCAAGTAATACTATTTCTCTTTCTGGGGTACAGATCTTTGATGCTGCCTTAGATGCTCGATGACTGATAATTCGTTACATTGAATAACACCACTGCATACACATACATAACATACACAGAAAAAAATGTATCATCATTTGAACGCCTCACCCTTCGACCTACACTAACATATGATGCATGCACCATTCTGAGAGAGGGAAATAGTATTTCTGTGGCGTATTCAAAATAATGAAAATACACAGGTTAGTATCAAATTAGGTTCAATAATAAAACTGAAAAGAATAAGAATGTTTCTGATCATTCAAATTTGACCAAGTGGAGTGGACTGGCTGAAGCAGATTAACCCAGCCCAACTTCCACATAATTATAAAAACAATAATGATAACAATCATAGATGTCTTCATTACCAGTGAGTTAAAGATATAATTGAATTTTGTTAGTGTATAGTTAGGACGAGAATCAGTTTGAATGTATTGAAAAAAAAGGAGAAAGGGTGAAATAGTTTAGCCAGAGATTGTACACTCCCCCCTCCTGGTTTAGCACTTTAATAATTAACGTTTCAATCTGAAAATCTTAATTGTTGGTCAGATGAATTGTAGTCAAAAGTAGTGGTGAGGCAAGTGAAGTCTAAACCGAAGTTATTGAGGCTGTTAGCAATACAGTAAGAAAACGATCGTTCGAATTACTCAGTTTGGTGACGAGGTATAGTAAGACTATTTCTATGCCTCAAATTAACGGAATGTACATCGGTTCTGAATGTAATTTTATGATACAGATATGGTGGAGGGTGTTCCTTTACTAACTCAATATAAACCATGGTAGAATAAAATTCTCGACGACTTTTCATTCGAACCATTCAGTAATTCTGAATGTATGACTGATATGTTCAAATTTGCAAATACCAAAACTTAGTCTTTGGCATGAGTTTTGTAATTTTTGTATTCTATTTACATCTGATGAATTCAAACAGGAATTATAAATAATGTCACAGGAATTTAATCTAGATGATACAAGTGACTCACACAGTAGGATTTTAACTGATCTATCAAACACATGGCGAGATGGAAATATGAGTTTCAGAGCTCCATAGGCTTTTTGTAAGCAGTTACTAATTCATCTCATCAAACCAAACTGTGCAGTTTTGTGTCTAGGATAGATCATACTTACGTGAATCTCCAGTAGGCATCATCTTTGTCGGGATCCAGAGTTTTGTGCTTGACCGAATGCCAAGACCCGCGTACGTTCATTACCCATACGTCATAACCATGGTCGGCTAACATATACCCAATCGACTGATTCAGCCAGATGAAATTCTCTCCACATCCGAACAGCCCATGCTGCATCAAAACTGGATATCGGTTTGGGGTCCCATTGCCAACCGAATTTTTGCCGTATGGGATTCGGTATACGTTCAGGAGGTATCCATCTTCGGTTTCTACTTCGTGTGTTTCGATGGGATATCCTCTACTCTCCACCAATTCGATCTGGAGAAAAGATCTTCAATTGTTATTCATTTTTACGTAAGGAGGCTACATCAGGAGGTTTTTGTGGGGGTGATTCATAGTGCCTAAAGATGGCGTTACCAGATCTACATACTCAGGGACAACTGGTCGAACGCAAAGAACACTGTTTTTGGATACATACCCCATGCAACTTTGGGAAAATTAAAGTTCCCATTTCTGTGGTATATGATTTCTGTCATCGAATTTCGAAAGATTCCTGTCTAAATTCAGGAAGCCAACTTATTCATATAACCTACCTTTTTATATTCTTATCGCTTGGAGCGCACGAAAGGAAATCCCTATAATGTTCAAAGAGTATCGTGCGTTCCTACTGAGGATAGGGACAGGAGGTAGGTATTGGAATTTTTTTTTAACTTCTGGAGATTGTATGTTGTTGGGAATACTTCCTCAGGCGATGAATCCCAGAGCCTAGCCGTTCTATGGATGAAGCAGTTTTGATAAAGTGCTGTTCGACATCTTTAGAGGTTGACAACGAAAGGATGTGCTGACTGTGCTTGTCTAGTTCGTCTGACTGGCATTGCTAGTGAAGGGATGATAAGTAATCAAATAAACAAAACAAACAAAGTTTTGCAATATTGTCACAATAAAAGGAGTTGGTTTCCACCATGTCACGATATAATAGATGGTTGGTCCATCCATATCGATTTATAAGGGGTAATGCTTTTACATATGGGAATGCTTTGAAACACTCATGCAACTGGGAAAGGGTAACAAAGTCACACTTATGTGGGTTGCAAAAAAAGGTGCAGCATCTGCACTTTTTGGTCCTGAGCCTTTTTGTGGGATAAGCAAATGTCACCTAAAGGGAGAACTCGGGAAATGGGAAGAAATTGAAAAGTCCAACCCCAGGTCAACGACAAGCGAAAAGGTTCATCAACCATTCGCAGAACCTAGCTACTCAGCTTCAGCAAACCAGAGCTAAAGCTTATCACAGGCTTTCTCACAGGACACGGCCCTCTGAGGTACCACCTCAAAAAGATGGGTCTGGCGGAGACTGACATTTGCCGCTTTTGTAACAATGCGACCGAAACCGCGGAACACATACTTTGCTCATGTGAAGTATTAGTCCGCCAAAGGCTGAACCACCTAGAACAGGTCTATCTCACCCCTGCTGAAGTGGAAAAGTCAACCGTCAGGAAAATCGTAGGCTTCATCAGAAGTCTAGGGTTAGAGGACCAAAACTAGATAGGGGTAATCACAATAGATCTAGGTCGCAGTGATCGAGAGGCCTCTCAGCCTATACGACCCATCTACAATCTACAATCTACAATGGGTAATGCTTGGCTTAATATTTTGCGAGAGGTAATATTTATATAGGCACTAATAGTTTAGGGGTAGCTGAAAGTTCGATACTATATTCAAACATAACAATATTTATTGCAGCATGAAACATTATGGGTAGTGATGATAGATATGAATAAACAACAATGAATATAAAGACCTAATAACAACTTACATTATAATGACCATAACGACGAGCTCTTGTCAAGTCAAGAGTAGCCCCAGACCAGACTAACTTCGGAACCCTCACATCCAATATTTATGAACAAAATTTTATTAGATATGCACGTTTCTCATGAGAGTTCCTTGGTCAGTTTTTATAGTTCAATGTCAATGGATGATTTGATTAATTTTATGTTTATAAAACCCTCATGGTTCCAAATTAATAATATACTGTATGTTCTACTCGTGACAATATTTTCGTGCTCTTCAAGAGATAAAAAAATACTCACATATATTTCAGAATTTTCGATTCCTCCTATAAGTAATATGGTACTGAATGAAAATATCAATGGAACAAATAACCAACTGTATGCGACCATTGTTTCAACTCATTTACTGAGTGTTGCTGTTGAATTATCTACTCCGTATTCGTTATGTCGATTTGCGCGATAAAGATAATAATTTTAATAAGCCACTACAAAGTAAATTTGGTGAGATATTTGGTTGTCAGTTTATACAAAATACGAGATAATTTAAATGAAATTTAAGTTTTCACAAGTTAGACAAAGTAATTGGCATTATGTTTATGAATTCATGAAAATAACATAATGATATTCAAAAAATATACCTATTCGTGTTTCAGTAATCCTACTAATTGCTCAAATAGAGGACATAGTTCAATTAGAGTTTTTTTAATTGTCCAGTTTCTCATTCCATGACATCTGCTGGAATTTCTGGAAATCAAAACTTCATAAATATTTCAATATCGTCAAATTCCAAAAAAACCAACAAGTATTTTTGCTGATGGATACCTACATGAAAAATAATAAATCAGACTCCATATCAGTTTGGAGCTATTATCTCCTTTTTCAAGCTGACGATTCCAGTTATCCCTTTATTGTATGTATCTCCAAATATCCATTATTCTGATATGACTGATTCTTCAAATTTCGATTAAAAAATTCTATTAATTGGGTGATTATACATTAAAATTTCAAAAACAGCCTGAATAACTTATGCAGGTGTCTGCTTGTATCCCTAAATATTCTAAATCATGGCATAATATCCATTTTACCTACAACTAGGTACTATCCATAAATTTGAATTTTCCAACATCGTTCATGATAAGACAAAAAGAATTGGCTATCACCAGTCATGACATCCAAGTTAATGGGCAATAGACATATTCATTATCTGTTATAGGAGTCCATATTAGTAACTACAGTTCTCAACACACTAAATAGACCACTCATAATTTGACTCTATTTCGAAGACATGTATTTTTTGAAAAAATTGACCGATCTTCATGCGGTTTTCGATATCAGATGTGATGTTCCATCGGCTACAAAAAGAGCTAGAACACTCTGAAATAGTCCGCAGCACAAAACTTACACAGTTTGTAAAGTGGATCCACTACACTATGGTCTACATTTACAATGCTGCCAGAAGTTTTTTCTGATCAAAAGTCAGTCATATTATGATACACTGGGACCTCAACTCGGGACGTTTTCGTGATTTCCCCTTGATTGGCCATTGGAACAAAAATTCGATTTCTTTTCGAAAGACTTGCATTTCTTGAATTTTTTCTCTAGAACTCCACTTGAGCTGACTATTGGGAAGAACTTTCTCATGTTTTGTGGAGGACAATGGAAGACGAAAAAAGCACTATTGTGGAATACACAGGATGATGAAAAAATTTCATTTTAGTGAAAAAAAATCAAAACTGCTGACTAAAACCATATGGCCCATTCGATTCAGCATAATATTCAGAAACGGCCTTCTCGATATCCATTATTCATATTTGACTATTAACTCGCGACGTTTTCGAAAATTCGCTTCTAATTGAAATACAGGATGAAAATTTTCAATTGATATCGATGATTCTTATCAGCTGATATCCAATATTCATTGCCAAGTATGAGATACAGAGTATTGTTGTTCAATAAACTGAGTGTTTCACAACTTATCTAACAAATTACGAACTCTAGAAAACAATAATGTCAGAAGAATGTGGTGACCAGCATCATCTCCAGATCTGAATTTCATTGAACATGTGTGGAGCCGAATGAACCTCAACCTATCGAGAAGGCGAGAGGCACCCCAAAATAATGACAACCTTATCCAAGCTGTATCAGAAGAATGGGAGGTGTACACACTCAGTATTTGGTTATAATCCTGTGAGTGTATGTTTCTATATCGCACTTGCTTTTGCAGTCACGAGGTCTACAATACAAATGGAGATGGGTACAAATTGAATAATAATTGAAGTTCTAAACATTTTCTATTTGTAATCAGGCTTAACCTATTAACCTATTTTTATGCCTAGGCCGTGGAATTACGGCCAGGACAAGATAATTTTGAGGTCGCGGCCATGGTATACACACTATTTTTCGTACTATTGTCAAAATTATTGAAATAGATATCAACAATAGTTCAGGATGATGAAGAGAAAAGCGGCTTACGTGGATGTTCCATCGAAACATTTCACATCTTGGTCGTTTTGTTGATTTTCTTTTATTAATATTGTTAAATGTTTTGATATTATTTCATTTTGAATATACCAGGTGCTTTCAGAAATAGAAGAAAGAAAAATTTCAAAGTCACAGCTCTGGTATAGAAATTGAATGTTTGAATGTATACAAAATATATACAAAATATGTATACAGAATATTTTGACAGATCTTCACGTAACGAAAATATGATCTGACCATGATCTAACAATGATAATAACCTTGCTATTGTTATATTCAATGAATATATGGATATAATCAGAATACACTGTAATCCTTTTGAGTGACTGCAAATTTGGTAGTGAGTTAATCTACTGAGTGAAATTTTGTCAGAATAACTGAAATAAGACCACTATCGGACTAGAATTAGGGCAATTCCACCTAATTGTTTCTAAGGTGTTGGGGTATATATATTCTGATACTGTTTGGCTGATGAGTTATAATGGTTTTCATGAGGAATAACAAAACAACTTAAAATTCACTAGATGTTTATTGCTATTTGAACTTTCCCATCACTCTCAATACATCGTTGTTCAGTAGTGTTTTGATGTCTCTTGCCCAGATATAATCATTGTCCGTCCAATCTTCGTAAGGTACCATGTAGGATTGCACGATGTTTGGTAGAACTTGCTTGTAGGATTCTATATCCTACGAAACAAAATCATCCGTCAACAAAGATTGACATTGAAACAATGTTTCGATATCGCGCTATAATATATTCGCGTCAAAGCGATGGCTTTCTACTATGAGAAAAATATGTTATAATTAGATGTTTCATGAGTGAAGAGCCAATTGAAAAATTATTTCAATCGCCACTTCCGTTTCAATTCCATTCATTCAATAAAAACATATTGACCAAACAAGGTGTATAAATAAAAATCTTCTAAAGGGGATGGTGGGCATGGTGAAAATGTATGACATACAATGTAGAACACTTAGGTTATGTTAGGTTATTGTGGCTGACCCCTAGAGATTACAGTTCACTGTACAATCAATTTCTTTCTCCGAAGTCCATGGTTGAATGAGGTGAGAATTGTCTAACATCGATAAGTTCCAAATTGGTAAAGCCAAATATGTCGAACCTCAGAATGGTGACAGGATCTCCTTGGTATATTCGGAATAAACAGATCGCCAGGGATCTGAAACTCCCTTCAATTGTGTCAGTCATTAGAGAACGAAACATCAAGACTTTCGAAAAAGCTGAGGTTCATGAGAATCAGCTTCTTCGAAATGCACTTGATTATGACCCAGGTGATCAATCAAAGTTCAAAAGACCGATATTGTCCATATACTAAAGAAAATATCAACATTTTGACCAAATTCACTATTCTCAAGTTTTTGATATTTATTTGCTCCCTTCGATCTTTTTCAATTCTCAGAATGTATTTCTGAAACTTATTTGGGGCAGAAGGGCTGTTCGCATCAAACTTCAATACCGTTTTTTTTTGTTTTTTTTTGTTTCATGATAGATATCAGGATAAGAGGGACTCTTCCCTGGTCGAAATCGAATAAAAGATAGATCCAAAAAAAAAGTTTACCTACCTCAAATCATGAACTTATCACCTCCAAAAGTTCAAAAAAAATTGCAACACCTACCTCCTCTCCCTATCCTGCCTAGGTACGCACGATGTTTCACGAACATTACAGGAATTTCCTTTCGTGCGCCCCAAGAGATAAAAAAAGGACGGTAGGTACAACTTTGCCTGGGATCATATATGAGCTAGTGATAATTGATATCAAAAATTATTATTCTTCTTTAGGATAAATAACTGATATCTAGGGTGACGTTCAAAAATATTGCACCTTATATACGAGAGAGATTTATTGAAATGGAGCCTTTTTCGGTTTTTTCAGTGCAAGGCTAATAATATCTTAAAAACATAATGTGCAATTGACCAATTCTGATCGGATACATCACAGAATGTGGAAATCGAAATATTGTCACTTCATATTATAATGATTCCACTCGGGTTTATCATGTTCAGAACTTTCACACCCACAAGGTTTAGAACTTTGAGATGATTTTATGACTGTGTATTTGGGTCCAGACAATGCACCAACTTTCACGAATGATATATGTACTTTTCTGAGAACTGCATATTCACAATTTTTTTTCCACTCGATGTAATGATTTCGAACCTCATAAAATTACTTCACCTTCAAGGAAATGAACAAATCCTTTTCTCCATAGTAGAGGGCCACAGGAAAAGTGGCCTTCTCGATTTGATATCTCCCTGGTATTTTTGAACCATACTTCTCCAGATTTAAGGCTTCTCCCCAATCGTATCTGCCAAATTCATCTATAAAAAATCCCAATAGCGAAAAAAATATATCTCGATTGACTCTTATAAAATATCTTAAAATAAAATGGTGGCTATAAAAATGCGATAAAAAAATAACTTTTCACACGCAGAATGATTGCCATATTTGGATTCTGCGAAAGAGTAGAAACTAACAACAGTAAAAACACAAGAGCTTTTCTTTATCTGATAAATTTCTCTTCATAACGAATGAAATAAAATTGTTGAGTTAGTAAGGAATTTCATTCGATCAAGAAAAACAGTTCGAGTGTTCCTTGGCAAGATGAATCAACTTCAATATTGTTGTAAAATTTTTGTTATTACTACTATACTCGATGGAAGGAACAGGCAGTTTTACAGCGATAAAAAAGGTGCATCCTTTTTTATCGATGTCATAATAATTATTCACGTCATCGTCAACAATCATCGTCAAATCAACAATAAATCTACTTACGTGATTTTACAACCTGTGCATAATGATACAATTGGTGTACTGACAATCCTGCTGGAAAAGCAGAGGTGAAAATTCCAGATAATTCCTGCAACAACCACACATGTTTCAAATAATACTGTGACCAATGGAAAAAAATCGAAGCAGTTCGATATAAATCATACGCCTTTGACTCAGTCTACTCAAGCACAGCACATGCCAAGAACATGTCGAGGTTGGATGTTGTTAGCGCTCTTATTGCAGAATGACTAAAAATGTGACATGTTTTTTGCATGTGACGTACTATATGTGACCCTCAGGGGTCAGTTACAGGTCCAATTCACTTCTTGATTTATATCAACGATATGGTTAGTCTAGATATTCCTGGGCACCAAACTTCATTTGAGATGATACCACGATTCTCTGGCATAACGAAGATCGAGCTAGTTTGGCTCAGTCTATTTCAGTGGACGTTGAAAAAATTAAAAGTTGGTAAGAAGCTAATATGCTAACTCTAAACGTTTCTAAAACGAATTTGGTAACATTCAAGTTTGAGGTTGAACAACTTACGCTAGCTGATCAACTCTCTCACGAAATTCCTTGGTGTTCACATAGCATAGCATAGCAATTTGAAGTTTGACCATCATATATCAGCTTTAAAAAAAAATATCCTCCGGTTGCTTCGCAATCAATATGATATACCGTGGACTCGGATTGCAAGCTTCAATATCGGCATACTACTCACTTATTGAATCGCATCTGAGGTATGGAATTTCATTCTGGAGATGTAGCTGTCATGGTCTCTTCAATAGTGTTTTCGTCCTTCAAAAACGAGCTCTGAGATTTGTATTAAAACTCAAGAAACGTGACTTATGCAGGCCAATATTTCGCAATAATCAGATACTGACGATCTTTGAAACTTTTGTTTCAGAAACAGTCTGTTTGCTTCACAAATATAAAGGAAATTTCATGAACACAAACATAGATAAGAATACGCGCAATAAAAGAAACCTTGCTCTTCCTCTGCCTAATTCATTTTTCACGAGACAATCCTTAATTTATAGGAGTGGAAAGATTCACAATCATTTACCAGACTATATAGCTATAATCAATGATCTGAAACACTTCCGGAAATCTGTCGAAGATATATTAGTGGGAAAATGCTTGTATAGTTTAGAGTGTTTAGACAAATACTCAACCTACAAATTCTGCTAGACCTTTTATGATATGTGAGAATTATTAGAGATTTGATGAGAAATCTTCTTTGTAGTAATCGAGATACTTGTTCTATGTTATTTTATATATATTTCTGTTCTATGTTATTTTTATATATAGGTATATTCCCCTTCTATTCTATTTTATTTATTTATATCTTGCAATCAATGTATCAAAAGATATTGACTTTGTCGACAAAATGTGTTCATTTTAGACAATAATTCTGATTTATCTATCTATCTATCTATCTGTCTTGCATCCTGCTTACTCATTTGTTCGTTCATGATAAATGACTAATTCAATATGCACAGTGTTTATAGGTAGGTTTTGTTGAATGTAGCACCTTTTTTCCATGATATTTCTTTTCATTGATCCCACAGAGGTGATCCTATAGTTATTAATGTGCCAAGTGCGTTATATGGATCCTAACGCGCGGAGGGTTAAATTCAACATTCACCCAACCTTTGGCCCGAGGGATGAATGCTGCCCAATGGGCTTTAGGATCTAGTAACGCTCGTGGTGCTTACCAGACTTTATTTTTCACGAAAAAAATATCTTATCATAATGAAAAATCGATTTTGAAAAAGCGGTTCATTGTTCCTAGCAATTTCTTTCCACTTTTCTTCTCATGGTAGGCATGGCATTTGATGATATTTTGAAGTTTGTTGAATATTGCTGTCGTTATTTAATTAGGTGAATGTCATTGCTGCTTTCTTTGTTTAGTGTTATAGAAATAATGGAAATTGATAGGAATTACCCAAGAATATCATAAAAGATGCAGACAAGGCTTCGATTAAATCATTGCCGGCGGAGAAATCCAGACTCGTGTATATACGACAAGGATTATGAAGTATTTAATCATTGGAAGTTGAAAAATGAAATTATTGGCGTATATACTATCAAGAATTGGTATGTAATTTTATAATCTACCGGAAAGAAAAGCATCTAGCGGGCGTTATCATTAATGCCCTCCATAATACCCCGGGCGTTATGGGTCTGTTAATAGAAACCGTTTCCAAGGTATTATAAAGCAGTAATGGACAAGTGAAAATTAATGATACATTATACATCAAGGGACAGAAATGCAAAATAGTTTCCAAGGTGCGATTTGAAGCTCGAGGGCGAAGCCCGAAATATCGGAGCACCGAGGGAAAAATAGCATTATGTCCTGAGGTGTATATACTATATTTCACGCTTGCGAAAACACAAAAATTGAGAGAGAATAAAAATGTGGTCAAAGTGTTTTGTGATAATTAGTAGTAGTATATTCATTTTACTTGATTTTTTGGGATTTTTTCTCCTCGTTTCAATAAAATGAAAATATTCGAATTATTTCATTATATTTGTAGTGGGACAAATGAGATGATTTGCCCCTGTCACTGCGTTTAACAAATTTTTCTATCAGGGAGCCTGAAAGAAAAATCCAGTAGCTTGTCAGGGACATTTTGTTTGAAAAAATGTTTGAAGGAAAGAAAAATAGAAAAATAGATATATTTGAAAAATATCGAATTTTTACTTATCTTTGGACGTTTCGGGAACGAATCTGCTCCCGTTCTCAACAAGAAAGCGCAGAGCTATGCGGAAAATGTAAAGTTGGTAGAAACTCCCTAGGGAGTAAATATGTCACTTTATCTCCCTAGGGAATAATACGAGACTTCTGCCCCTCTTCTGTTACCAGAGAAACTAACTTCTACTCCCGCCGGCGAAAAAAGTAAATTTCGATTTCAATTTGTTGATATTCACATTTTATTCACATTTTCTGCATACCTACGTTGACTGATCATCATTCGGTACTCACTGTTATTAGTGAATAGCAAAGGAATAATCAACAATGTCTTGCCGTTACCATCGAGTGTATTCACGTGGGTAACGGTCTTGCACACATTGGTGGAGTCTGTGTTAGTTATCTGATTGATATTTTTCTTCTTTATCATGATTTGAGTTCTCAATTTTTCATCACAAAAACATTTATGAGAACAGTAGTGGCCCTTCAATTCACATCCAATAACAGTGTTATATTTCATTGTGGTTGGTATTTGATGAATCACTAGTTACCGATCGATATCGAGAGTAAATGTGATCCGGAATGAAATGTAACGAATTTCAAGTTGAAGTTCTGATATTAGTGAGATATCATGACAAAAATAGGCTTCGTCTTTTCCCCGCCCCTATTTTAATAGTATCTGTATACATACCTCTATGAATTGTTCTTGTTCAATTCCAGCTACGCTGAACAGGATATATTTGCAGATGAAATTCGGGGTGAACCTACAAAATTCCCGAAATACTGCAATGAAAGTGGAAGTGGATATGTAAGGTGGAATTTTGTAGATCAATAAAGCGTTGGTAAGTGCCTGAAAAAAATACAAGATAACAACTTCACAGCAATATTAGATTTTGGTGTCACTATAATAGTTGAGAATCATGTATAGGTATTCATCTATATATATCAAACCAATCAAGAGAAACAAAAGTACCATTTTTTCTTCTTAATGTACTCATGGTGGCTATGAATCTGATGCATTTTTCAAACTATCACTTCGCCTTTGAAACATATCATATGAGTAAATAATGGAGAGGTGTCAGATTGAATGACCTAAACTGGACAACTGGACCATAATTTCCAATCAGAGTAATACAAAAATGATACGATTGATATGTGATTGTTTACTGCTAGAATCGTTGCTGATTTAAGAAAAACTAATGAAAATGAGTGCTGTATATCTTGGAATTTAAAACATCAAGTAGGTGAATTAGGTATATATCTTACGATGTGAAATTAGTTCTCCAGTTCAGGTCGGACAACAAATTTTAAATCGTGCAGTGTTTTAAAGTCCAACTATGATGTGCATTAGCTGTTTTCCATGTAACCACTCAAGTTAGTAAGTTTTTTCAATTTTCATACAAGATACCATACTTATAATGAGTCTTTGTATTTTCAGATGTCTTGATAATGAAAATAAAATTTTTCGAAAGCTCGACAATTTAACAAAGAGTCTTTTCTCTACATTGGCCATTCCCTTTGACTGCAACCTCAAGGAAAATATAGATTTTAGCTGTTTTCCTAACACATAGTTTTCTTCAACTAGTCCATGAGACTACCCTTTCACTATATATATATATATATATATATATATATCCATTTTTTCGGTTCATAAATATATCTGAGAATATTCCTTTCCAATACACCAAATTTCAGTTCATATTTTCAACATGAAATGTTACAGAGAGGAAAATATGAGCCTATACTATTCAAGTATAGAAGAATGTTTTCTTTGCCGGGATCTATTATAATCTGGAAATCGATTTAACACATGTCACGTGATAACTGGTATCGCGGTTAATTGAAAAAAGAAATGACTGAAGAAACAAAAATTAGGGTTAAATGGCACGTCATGGGAAAAAGTTATTTGAAGAAGTTGCATAGAATTTCAGGTTAGCTTCAGGTAGTTTTGGGCTATTGAACATGTGTAATAGATACCTACCCAAGGATAGTAGTTTTTACACTATAAATAACTAACTAACTTCAGACAATGGGTCCCGTGGAATAATGTGTATATTAAATTTATTTCACCACTAGCAATATGATACTTAGTTCTGTGAAACTGAAATATGGACTGATTGTCACATTGAAAGCACTACTTTCCAATTTTAATTGAAATCTAGTAGCCATGACCATGACAGCACAATATGACAAGTCGTTATTGATAAATACCTATACTAGATTTGACTGCCATGTCGGCGAATCTTGCATCAGAACAGTGAATTCGGGTTTATTTCAACAGTGGTGGCTAGGTCTTCATTAACTAGTAGTTCATAAAATGACGAAAACTACCTCGATAGTAAAAACACACTTTACGCCTTGAAAAGGAGTGAGTAATGGTAGGTTCTATAGCTAGTGGTGGAATAACGATATCACCTTGCTGTAGTATAGATGATTTCACTGAATTTTGAATTCTACAAGAGGATTATTGGTTGTCAGCATGATATCGCTCAATGGTATTTCAATTTTCAAATTAACTTCACAACAGCATGAACTGTTGAAAACTGATTCAATAATGGTTGAAGAACAAACAACAACAAACCCACCCGAAGAATTTCGTAGATTGGTATCACTAGACGTATAGGATGCTTTATTTCATGAAGGAGAGCAGACGGTGCTAAAGCTACCATGACCTTGATTTTGTCGTTATATTCGGGACGATCTGAGGCCATGGCAAACATACTGGTAGTGCCTTGAGAATGTCCAACGTAGTGCAAATTTTTCTCACCTGTTCTCTGCAGGATATAATCTATTGAGGCAGGTGTGTCGTATACCCCTATTTCATGCCATCTGAAAAAAAAAACATAATTTCAGAATATAAATATTGACTTGGCAACAACTCTCGAATGGGGATCCAATAACTTGATAGTTTCCAATGCAAACAAACCAGAAGCATGCCTTTTTCTCTAGAAAAGCCGATCTCACTGTGCCCAATATAAGCATGTCAGGAATAACCATACCTTTGAAGACATCCTTTTCGATGCTTGGTATTTTTTTTATCAGCAATAACCTTTCTTGAGAAAATGACGTGACATCAATTATTGCTTAAAGTGCATCCCAAAAACTTGGTTTCCTGTTTCGGGCAAGGAGCTATTTCTCTTCCAGTCAGCTACTTATGATCTATACGGCACAGATCCGACCTGTCCTGGAATACTATTCCCATATTTGGGGTGCAGCACCCAAACATACCCTGAAACTCTTGGATTCTGACCAAAAAAGGGCAATTCGTCCCGTGGGTGATGCCTCGCTCACAAACTCACTGGAACACTGTAGAAAAGTTGGCGATCTGGCTCAATTTTATAGATATTTCCATGGACGATGCTCTTCTGAAATATCAACAATTGTTCCTCCCTTGACTGTCCCCGCGAGATTAACCCGTCAAGTTGAGGCTTCGCACCCCTTCGTGCTCACTTTGGAGACCTGATGCAGAACATCTGTTTTCAAAGACTCGTTCATCCAACGGATAGCGAGGCTCTGGAACAATTTACCAAGGAAAGTGTTCCCCGATGCACATAACCTCCAGAAATTTAAGAAGAACATCAATTCCTACCTGATTTCTTTTGGTTCTCACGATGTTGTCTAAACATCACAGGATATCCCTTTTCGTGAGAACCGGAATATAGAAAAAAGAGTGTGTCAAATAGATTTGAACTTACGTGAACTGCCAATAAGCTAGGTCCTTATCTGGCTTGAGCGTCTTATGTTTCGTTGAGTGCCAAGTACCTCGGGAGCACAGCATCCATACGTCATAACCGTCGTCTGCTAAGAGGAGAGCTATCGACCTAGAGGAACCTATCCAAACGAAATTCTCAGCAGAACCTCCCAAACCATGGTTAAGCAGGACAGGAGAGCGATTCGCTGTACGATTCTGTGAGGGATATCTGCCGTGTGGTATGCGATATAAGTTCAGGAGGTAACCGTCTTCTGTTTCAATTTCGTGAACTTCTAAAGGATATCCATTACCTCTGATGAGTTTAGTCTGAAATGAGATTGAAGGTAAATTACCCCGAAATGTAGAGATTAGGGCAGAAGAATGAGGAAGGAAAATAATAGGAGAATCTAGACTGATATAGTGAATCTACCATTGCACGAAATTTCTTTTTTCCATTCTGGAGATTCATAATTCGTTTTGCCATGAAGACATTTTGTAATTTCTTCCGTTTTTTCATTCTGACTTAACTGCTCAGTCTCTTGAACAGATTTAGTATCCTCTTCATGATGGGAGTGTTTCTCCCAAGAGAACAACATAAATATGGACATGGCAACAATTCTCGAATGGGGATCCAATAACTTGGTAGATTTCAATGCAAACAAAACACTAGCATGCCTTTTCTCTGGAAAAGCCGATCTCACTGTGCCCAATATAAGCTTGTCAGAGGTAACCATACCTTTTAAGATATCAAACAGTGGTCGAATTTGCGTTTAGCATGTGCGGGCAACTCGACGAACGAATTCACATTTAGCTGAAACGGTCAAAGTCAAATTCTGTCTTCATACAATAGTTCTCAAGTAAGCTGGTGGCACAGTGGGCTGTGTGTCCAAATGCTACGTGTCGATTCATACGATGGTCGGCGTTTTTTATTTTGTTTTCTCAACTGATTTTCCGAAAAATATCCTTTCTGGGTAGAAGGCTACTCTAGGCCGAGTATGGTTAGATCGTTTGAGAAAAGGAGTTTCTTTTTCTTCCTCTTGTGCAGAAAGTAATCTTTCCTTCCTTATAGCATCTGTATATAAGGCTGAGTTAGGTTAGATTGTATGGAAAAAGTAGTCTCCTTTCTTTTGCAAATCAAAAAATGTTCTTCATCATATTAGAGAACATTCAACATACAGAATCTGCTGTAGACTTGTCTCGTTCGGATGTTCGGGTATTCCCGTTCCTGAAGATCTCATGACCGGGAGACCCTTGTGTGTTTTCCTGGTAACCAAATAATGGATATTTCCGACCCTTTCTTGCTCATCTGCCTTTTCACACTCTATTCCTCCATGTGAGAGAATGCCAGAAAGGAAGTCCTTTCTTTACAAATTTCGAGTGTAGCTGCTCCGCAAGATATGGATGGAGTTCATATGAAAATGAGTTTGAAAATTCATCGTTTCACAGGTATGAGGCATTAAATTAGGTGAACTGGACTAACAGAAATCATTTGACATTTCAATCACAATGCTTATATGTCTCCTGGTAGTAAATTGCATTTGAAAGTTCAGATTGAATACGAATGTGATTTACAGTGCTTTTCTCTAATGCCCCTTCCTCTCTTTTATTTTTGAACGGGTCGACTGGAAAAATTGAAACTTGGGACAATGAAATTGATGCATGAATACTATATTTTGGAGTAAAATTGACACATGAAAATTTCAAGATGGCGAGTGGGTGCCATCTGGGAAAAAATGGAATGGATGGTCTTGCGATACATCCTTTTGAAGCTCCTGACAAATACTTCGTAACCCTAGAACGACCGGAAAACGTATTATCCAAATGTTTCTTGTCTGTAGTAAGGTGGTGGTTCCCCATCTTGTTGGGATACAATATTGAATCTTCCGTCATTTTGTAGTAGGTGAAGATTGACCTTATATTCTAGGGTTGTTGAATATTCGTCAGGAGCTTCACACAGATCCACAGATGTATCATGAGCCTCATCTTTTTCAGTTGACCCATTAATAAACCAAAGGGGGAAGGCATCAAAGAAAAGCTCTGTAGATGAAACAACAAATAGGTAAATTGTTACCAACAAAGCATGTTTGAGCAAATTCATTTCATCTAATACAGGAGGCAATAATAATTATTTTCCTAGTGCTGACAGTTTTTTACCTGAATGATAATCGCATACTTCCGTTTCAGTGAGTAGATAATATTTTGTCAATACTCACTAATAAATCATCACTCTCTTTCACCCCAAATGAATAAGAATAAGTTGTGAAAAGCAACACTAACAAACTAATACGCATTTTTTTGAACATGTAAATTTTGTTCCACTCTTTTCAAACAGCTGAAACTTATATAGTTATATATAACATAATTTGTAATCTAGATATGTCATTCACTCAATATGATAACTAGTTTGTTCATTGCCATTATGATTATTAAGAAACTAGTCAATTATTGAATACAGGGAGATGATGAAAAGCAGCTCGTGTCCAATGTTATTTTTTCACAGGCGAAACGAAAATTATTAACACGTGTACGTGGACTTCATCATCATTATGAATGACATGGTAGCTAATAACCGGATATGTTTTTCTCCATCAAATTAACGTATATATTCACTTTTTATTGAATATGTTATCGACTGTATCATATTATGATATAATATATGGTATATTAAACATTTAGTTACACTTCGATATAACAAAAACAAGAACTTACTTGCAATGTGAGTTAAATGGTATAATTTGGAAAAATAATGAGTATGAAAAATATAGATGATGTATACATAAAATTGATAGGACAGTGTCAAAAATCATTTTATTTATATACAGGAGGTATTGCAATTATAAAATTAGATTGTTGTTGAATATATTATAAGGTAGAGTCATTTTGGATAGCATCATAAACAAAAGCTAATAATTAAGATTAGATCTGACTGAGATTATCAATATATGTTTTCTTATTCATAGTATATTTCTCATTATTCATTTCAACCATCTCTAAAAACAGTCATTTTGTTAATTTTTTTTTCAATGCAAAATTTTGGTTTCCTCGAATTTCATATGATGATCATTAGTGATGACGTGTTCAGCGAGTCCACAATTACTTTTGAGAAGTCTGCAATCACTTTTTTGGCCAGATATCCTAGATTTGAGATTCTGAAAAACATATTTTGAGAAAGGTGTAGTTGGTAGAATGGAGTAAGTTCGATTTCTAACCAAGTGATAGCGAAGGACCTCGGTTCGAATCTCGTGGCGGTCGTCTGTTTTTTTATTTGAATGTAGCGGCAGAGATGTACTGGCCCTGATGAAGGGCAGAGTCTCCTATTGATACTGGTCCATCAATTCTTGCCTGTATATTTGGTGCCAGAATATGGCCGACCAAAATTGTTGGCTGGGGTTTAATATGAAATGATCTACCTTATTTGAGCTATACCCTCAATATGTTCCGATAGTTTCATGCCAAAAGGACGATTACGATCGTAATAGTATTTTCAACATATATATGATAACTTGAGGTAACAAGGTTGGATGATTAATTACCGTTCACCAATATTTTTCTTCGAATTTTATCAACTGTAGCAACCTAATAGTTATGTTAAATTCCGACATGATAACGATAACGATATCTGAGTTGATTTCGCGTATTTGACAAGTAGATAACTCTATTTATCAGGCTAGTAATAATTGCCTATTTTTTCATGTATAATTAGATCCTTTCCTTTTCTTATGACTTGCTATGATATGAAGTATATGCACCATTTCATTTGAAAAGCTATTAACAAAATATGAATAACACACCTGCAGGTCTTCATATACAGGGTGAGTCATAATAAGACGGGCAAACTTCGTTTACAGATTCCTTATATCTCATTTTGAAGGGAAAGTTCCTATATCATGATTTCAATTATTGTTCCTTGAAGGTATCGAACATTGGTTCACTATTCTAGGTTTTTGAGATACGTATATCCCTATTTATAATTTTTCAGGAAAATATTTCAAAGATTCTTTCAACCTTCGAGCATATCATTATTATTATTGTCATTATTTATTGAGTTTAAAGGAAAAGTAAGATAATTTTCACTAAATTTCAAAAATCTACGAAAATAGTCCAGATGCTTTTGGTTCCATTTCTCTTGAATGTATTCTTATACGTCCCAATGAATATCAATTATGGACGAAATCAACAAATCGAATTACTTTCCATGGTCTACATACTCCGTTGACTTGATTCTCAACATCTTGCAACGTTGACTTAGACAGCAACTGCAGGTTCTAACATTGAAAGTTTGACAAAAAAAAAACATCTCTGTCAGTATGATTTTATAGAGATGGCTAATTGTAACATGGCTCTGAATATACATTGAGGTGTTATATCTCGGATTATAACATTTTTGGGTCAAGTCATTCCCTGATATGTACGGCTATATTTATTATATTAGCGAAAAACTGAATGAAATGAACAATAAATTCACTTGAGATCTTTGATTTGTGGAATTTTTCTGAACCATCTGAAACATTTTGGATATTCCGAGAATTGAGAGGATCACCCTGTAGGTATCTCTGGCATTTCGAAATTCAGGAACTTCTGTTTTCAATTGTCGATTTCAACAGATTATCACTACTTCAAATGAAACAACATTTCAGAAGTATTTACAGATTTAATGTTTTTTTGGCACAAGACAATGTTCCTTCACTCAAAGAAATTTACCAGGATATACAACAGGAATTCGCCTATTTCTACAGGAAATTCCCCCTATATAAGCGACAGCAGGAATATTTGTTAATTGTACGTGACAATTCCGGTCTATCAATTCCTTTAGAAATAACAAGTTTTAGATCCGTTAGTGCAACCAAACTGCAGTTTGTTATTTTAACAGGAAAATAATAATGTAACGAGAACCGGAATTGGCTTTGTTATTTACAGAATCGCTACATTGATTCAACTGGAACTTTCCAGTTATTTTGAAGAGCTACCTCAGTTTCACCGGAGCTGTAATTTCGATTTAACAGGAATTTCCTGTTTGATAATCAAACTAGATAGTTGTATTCGGAGCTTCAAACTTCAATTTTCACAAGAATTTCCAGTAATCAACACTAAACTTAAACAGGAATTACTTTGCTTATACCGGAACTTTGGTTTCGATTTAACAGGAATTTTCTGTTCAATTAAAGGACTTTTGTTCACACATCACAGTACTAGTTAGTTGTATTTGAAGTTTATCACCTGAGATTTTACAGGAATTTCCTGTAGTTACCTAGTATTCAACTGGAATTTCTTGTATTTCCTATTCAATTATCTGCATAGTTCTGACAGTAATTTCCATCTGAAGTCGACATTTTTTTCCATGGAATTTTACTGGAAGTTTCCTGTTAGTACTATCGTGGAGTATTGTTGTAATTTAGGGTACTTCCTGTCAGTATTCAAGTGCTATTTCGTCCTGTCTGTAGGTTAATCGAGGAGGTGGTACATTCATTATTCCAGATTTTTTCAGGATTTCCTCTCCTCGTTTCTATAAAATAAAAATATGAATATTATTCCAATATACGTGTAGTAAGGACAAATCAGATGATTTGCCCCAAAATGTGACTGTGTTTAAAACATTTTCCTATCAGAGAGCCTAAAAGAAAAATTCACTAGCTTGTCAGTGACAATTTGTATTGAAGAAAAATTTTAGAAGAGAAATAGAGGTATAAATCAAATTTTCACTTAGCTTTGGACGTTTCGGGAACGAATCTGCTGCCGTTTTCAACATAAAATATGACTAATATTTGTGTAGAAAATTCGTATTTGTCTTGACACTTCTCAGTTCTCAGTGACAATTGGTGACGTTGGCAATTAAATGATAGTTACAGGAATTAATCTTGAATTTTCCATTTTCATTTTCAGATTTCAGAAGTGAATACCATGTTCTATCTACATCAATTGAGTGGAATAATATAAAAAATCATTAGAAAAGGAGATAACCGTAAGAGAAGAATCAAGGAATCCGCTTGCATTCTTCTGAACGGAGACAATAGCATTGCTTCATGTTCAGTTGATATAGATAGAACATGGTATTCACTACTGAAATCTGAAAATGAAAGTGGTGAATTCAAGATTAATTAATGAAAACATCCTGTAACTCATTTGATTTCCAACGTCACCAATTGTCACTGAGAACTGAGAAGTGTCAAGACAAATACGAATTTGCTAGACGAATATTATCAATTTTTGATGGTGAAAACGGAAGCAGATTCGTTCCCGAAACGTCCAAAGCTAAGTGAAAATTTGATATATTTTCTTCATACCTTTATTGCTCTTCTCCAAACTTTTTTCAATACAAATTGTCAGTGACGAGCTAGTGAATTCTTTCTTTTAGGCTCTCTGATAGGAAAATTCTTCAAACGCAGTGATATTTTGGGGCAAATCATCTGATTTGTCCTTACTATTCATATATTGGAATAAAATTCATATTTCTATTTCATAGAAACGAGGAGAGAAAATCCCAAAAAAATCTGGAATAACGAATGCAGTTTTGTTATTTTTATAACGCATTTCTGTCTGTGACTTCGCGAATATGTGTCTAAAATCGGGGGAGAATCATCATTTGTAATACCACTAGAGTTCAAATTATTTTGGGAAATATTCATGACCATGAAAAATTCCCGGAAAGTAATTTGACCTCGTGTGGTATTCGGTAAGAATATTTCACACCAGATTTAAGCCTATGAATTGTTGATACTGACTTGTTAAAGTTGCATGGAAATATAATTTTAAGACTGATCATAGTTCATTTTTCAATTTCACCTACGTTTTAAGTAACTTCAAGTGGTAGAAAATTGATTTTCTGCGTTTCAATTGAAAACCAGTATTGTCAAGAAATATAATATCATGGTTATTAGAAACGTGAAAAAAAAAATTACGATTTTATATACGCTGGAGAAAAAAATGTCCACCAAAATACATACGTTGCTATGGTAATTTGTAATAAAAAACCCAATTTGAGTGTATGAAAATCACTGGTGTGGAATTTTCCATATAATATAAATCATAGAATATCTCAACATTATTCGAACGAGTTAGATACATTCGTTGAGAGACTAAATAATAAATATATATTTCCATAGTTCAATACACATTGAACAGAGTATTCACTCCTAATATAGGTTGGGTATAAAAATATGATATTCGAGATGTCCCAAGATAAAATTTGTTTATTGAAAAAACATTGAATAATTTGTTTAGAATGAATGTGATGAAAGAAAAACATAAAATAATGATTTCTGGCGTACACCGTAATTCCACTATTTTAACCACGATAGGTATTTGTGGCCAGAAGTCTGTCCCCGATATTCTTTCCGTTGGGTTACCTTGCAGTTCTCTTCTTATAATAAGCTTGCACAAAGTGGATCGCCCCTTTGAGGAGAGACAGCCCCTAGTCTTTTCCTCGGCCAGCAATGCTTCACCATCATTTGTTTCGTTCAATAATTTGAGGAGAACCTATACAAAAAAAAATGGTTAATAGGCCAATTTTATTGGTGTGAGCTTGTGGCGTTCTTCTACGACTGTGCGTTTTTGCCTACTTTTCCGCACGCATTTTGGTTTGGGAAGTCTTTTCCGCACTAGTGCGGGTAAGAGTGCGGGAAAGTTCCTAAAATTCTGCCTATAAAATTTGAGCTCATTTTGCATTATTTTGATTGTATTTCATGAACTATCTCTCATATGTGGATGCTGAATATCATATTCATAGATATAAAGTGAAAATTCATGAAGCGGTATTTTGGTCAAATTCGATCATCAACAGCTCAACTATTTTCCATCCATATATGCGACTCATATATATTTTTGAAATCATAAGAAAAGGCTCTATCGACATCTCGGAAGATATATAGGGTGTTCCATTGAAAAAATCAAAATTAATGTCCTTTCCGGAAAAACGAATGACCCTGTATATGGAACAATAGCAACACAAAATAGGAGTTTGAGTCATTTCAAACAACTTTTTATTAAAAATTTTTTCACATCTCTGAAAACAAATGAGTTAAGTGGGTTCCATTTTAACACATTGATTGCCAAGCCCATATCTGGAGTTTATCCCACGGGGCCAAAGGTACATTTTAGTTCCATTCATGAATTTTCACTTCCAAAAATCAAGTTTGACCCTTAAAAGTCATTATTGATTTTTTTTTCATCCATTTTGTTTGTTTTTCGATGTCATTCATATATGAATGACGTGGCCTCGAGGGGTAAGTACATGGGGCAATCCGGTGTACAAGTTAGGGGCATTGCAGGGTAATGCGAGGCAGTGTGGGGCATTGCGGGGCAATGCGAGGCATTGTCGGGCACTGCAGGGTATTAATGGGCATTGCAAGGTATTGTGAGGCATTGTTAGGCAATGCGGGGTATTGAAAGAGCACTAAAAGGGCAATGTGGTGCAATGTTTTGGCTGAATTTGTTGCGCGCGCATCCATTTTTAATCGAGGTCACTATATTCAGTTCTATGGTTCGAGGTGATGCCCTGATGCCGCCGCCTCCATTTTGATTGCGCCATTCAAGTGTTTCGCATCGCGTCATCATGCTGTCATCAACTCTGGCTACAGCCAGCTTTGGATTGGATTGGAATTGGATTTAACCGAGTATAAAAACTACGATATAGATGAGAAATGTCCATATGTGAAAGTCACTTTGGAAAATGATAAAACGATTATAATGAAAAATCATCATTATGCTCGCTTCTGAATGAGGGGAAGGGACGGATCAGTAACGATCGCTTACAGGGTTTCAATTCTAGATCTGTCCAAAAAAGAAAGTCGAAAATACCTGCTGACATTGCTGACAATTCAAAAACAAAGAAAAAGAAACAAACTGAATGTATCGGAGATTCTTCAGAAGAAGAAAATTAACCCTATATCGTTATAGCCGATTCCACAGATGTGTAGTCACTCTCCTCTTTGAAAGAAGATCGAGAAGAAGATAGGATGATGGAAAAACTTAGAATTAGGGTTTTTTAAAAACATTCCACAAAAACCAGATAATGAAAATTATATACCAAAAGAATGTAATTTTTACGAACCACTTGTACTTGGGGAAATTTCCAAGCTTTATTTGGAATCGAAAAAAATTTTGAATTTTAAAAGTTGACTAATGTGATATCCATTGTGATGTGCTTCGTTGTTTTTGGTTCAAGAAAACCATGCATAACTTCACTATGTTTCAGTTTAAAGAAAAAATTCGCAGTTTGCGTTTTTTTCTCATGACTATAAACTTAAAAAAATGTTCAATTTTGGTCAAGATTTTAGTACTCACTATTACTTATGATATTTGGACATATATATGCTCAGTGTTCATGTTACCAAACTATGATCTCTGAATTAATGTGATACGGTCTAAACAAGTACCTCCAGGAATAACTTCATACTTATTCGTTCATTGTTTATGTTCCTATGTTTGTTTTATGTGTGATTGTGATACCACGATACGGTCTAAACAAGTACCTCCAGGAATAACTACTCAGTTATTGAGTTTAGGAAAGAACTGTTCGTCTTATTGTTTTTGCGAATAGGCGTTTATTGTTTATGTTCTTATGTTTGTTTTATGTTCAACTTCTTCTTATATGTGGTATCTTGTTGAAATATATACAATTATTGATTGTTTATCGTCCCATTAGATAATTCATTATGACAATAGAATGAAATTGAACTATATAGAAGACATATAAGGAAGTTTCCATATTTTAATATAATCTGTCTCTCTCCAACACATGGAATGAAAAGAGATAGCTATATAGTGCATTAGGGGCATTGTTGGGCATTGGAGGGCATTGTTGGGCATTGGAGGGCATTGTTGGGCATTGGAGGGCAATTTTGGGCATTGGGGGGCAATGTTGGGCACTGCGGGGTATTGTTGAGTGAAAAATGGGCATTGCAGGGCAATTTCGGTGAATTGAGGCATTCATTACCCCCTGGTGTACAAAAAATGACCAAGTACTTACCCCTCGCGTGGCCTCCCATGTTAGCCTAAAGAGTTATTTCACCACGCTGGGCCACGTCATTCAAATATGTATGACGTATATGATGATTGTTTTTTTTCTACTAGCGTGCGGAAAAAAAAAACACTTTTCCGCACCCATTTCAGTGTTGAAAGAGTCATTTTTCCGCACTAGTGCGGAAAAAACTCTCCACAGTGAAATGAGTGCGGAAAAGAGGAATTTATTTTTCCGCACGCTAGTAGAAAAAATAGTGTACCTAATACATGCGGAATAGTATCACTTTCCGCACTTGTTAGGTAAACTACTATTTTTCATTATTATGTAATATTAGTTTTACTGTTTTTACGATGAATGAACCTTTTCATATATGATTTTTGTATTTTATTGTCTTGCATCACGATCTATCAAAATTTGCTCTGGCCAAATATGCCTGTGACTTCCTTGGAGGCCACACATTCATATCCCCATCTGAATTGCATTGGCTATCATTCATATTCGTATGACACGGCCTCACAACAAAAATATGTCGTCATACATATATGTATGACGCGGCCTAAACGGAAGTGGTAGTGTCATTCACATATGTATGACGTGGCAATCAATGTGTTAAGAGGCGCACCTTGTACATACATATAAGTACATTTTCAAAAGATTATTATTTTCTTTTATGGTGGAGAAAAATATGTTCCTAACTCATACGGAAAGTTTTTTCCCGCACTCGGCTGCTTGCCACTTTTTATACTTGTAGGGAAATTACTATTTTCAATTAAAAATAATTATCATGGACCCACTTACATTTCTCGTGTCTTGATGAGAAGAGTCGTGGTGCATGAGTTCCGAGGTGCGTTCATCAGTGTTTTCCATACTTTTGGATGGTTCCATGTTCGGTGATGGTAAATATGTAGGAGCACTATGCATTGACGCCTTCCATTTCGCCCAGTGGAACAGAAACTGAGCTCTGTGCCATATAGAGGAAATAAGCTCTTTCACCACATCATCTTTGAGAAATGGAAGGCTGTGCAGGGTAACATCGTTTGCTATAACAAGCAATAGAAACAGGTTTGAATGATACATTTATGAAAATGTTGCTATCTCTTAAACAGAGTTAGATATATAGGGTAGGTTAAATGTAGGAAAACTTACTTCTGAATGTTTCGATGTAATTGGCCAAACCCCATCCTCTTAAATAGCCGGCGACATCATCGTCGCTGGCGGCTACTGCCATCGAATCAGTCGGTTCACCAATCAATGTATATATTCTATCTTCCCCATCTTGGCTTTGATCTAAGGCGGCTGAATCATATATATAGTCAGAATTAGCGGCACTTGAGGTCGACATAATTATTTTTTAAGTAACGCAGTAATTCACAATCACAACCACAGCACTCGCACAGAAAAATGGCGTATTCCACATATTATCCGTATTCAACAACCAACGCGAATGACCGCGTTGGCGCGTGCTTCCCAGAGTAGCGGATTGAATTGTGGGATTCACAGGAATTCTGTCGGAATCAACGTTTTGAGCTGTTAGAACGGTGGCGTGGATGGTAGAGATGACAGGAATATATTATATGGATTGAAATACTGTCAGCCTAACAATATTTATTCCTGTAGAATCATCTGAATTCCTGTGAGAAATACCATACATTCCTGATGGATTTGATGTGTCCATGCTGTGATATTTACAAAATCATTAGGTATATTTCACTAGATATTCCTGTAACATTCACGGAATTTTATTCCGGTTAGAATTATGGTTCCGACCTACGTATGTTTTACAGTCGTGACTCGTAAATATAGCTAAATATCATTTTGTATACACAGGAAATATTCCTTATAAATTAAAAGTACCTTAGAACTGCTATACTCACCGGTTTTCCTGTTCATACGACCCAAGTCACTTCAACCGGAATCGGCATGTTTTATTGCAAGTACAGATTGTTCTCAGAACGGTTTTTTTTCGTTATAATAACAATAGTTTCGTTCAGACAACAGGAATTCATTCAACCGGAAATTCCCGAGATTCGTTTTTTTCAGTGTTATCAAATTTCAATCATTGTAGTCCTTCATCACTCTCATAACTTCTTTATTCAATACAATATCGATGTTATTGGCAATAATGAAATTATTGTGACCAAATTTTTTGTATGGCACTTTGAAAAAATCCACCACGTTGGGTAAAAATCCTCTCAGTAACTTCACATCCTAAAACAAAAAAAAAAGGGGGTCAGAAACAAGTCAGTACCTGTCGCCACAAACTAAAGCATCAAATTCTGTAGATTGGTTCCAATTACACAACTATAGTTACCAAAAAGGATCTCTACATGTGTTTTTATGTGACATATTATTCTTGTTACTAAAGAACAATTTTACAAAAATTTTATTCTTGTTGTCTTACAAATTTCTCGTTCACATTGCCACCGACGGTGACATTGCCCAAAAGTATTCATTGGTAAAGTGATATTTCTCATTCGTTCAAAGAGAAAGCTTCTTGCCAATTAACCAAAAATAATTCAAATCGACGAAATCTTACCTTTTCGTTGACAAGTTCATCAGTTGCTGAATAAATTAAGGCTGTGGGTGAAGTTATTTTACTAAAATCATAAAGCGGAGGTTTCCTAGAATTGTATATTTGTAGATTTTGATCCCATCCAAAATCGTACTTCTCGAAATCCCCTTAAAATACATAAGACAGTTTCACCAAAGGATGATCAGAAAATAATGGGACTTCTGAACTGTGCAATGAATATTTAGATTTTTGTACATGCAGATTAGAAGAAAGGAGAAAATCATTAAATGAAATATATTGAAATGAAGCAAAGGAAAAAAAATTGAATGTGTGTCAATTTTATTCTTCCAGATTCTTGCATCCTGTTTTTTCTTTAGTAAACTCACCTGATTTCAATAGTTGAATATAATGAAGAAGCTGTTTGGTGGAAAATCCAGCAATCGCTATTGATACAAGGTTGCCTATCGCTTCCTGAAATTAAACATAAGACGCATTAAGAAGGTGCGTGATTTGTAAATTTACTATACAGTGTGAGTCAGTTTCATCTCGTTTTCCTCATGGTGTTTTCATCAATGAAACCTTTTTACTTCACACTTCAAATGTGCGTATTGTTATTGAAGGTTAGATATAGATATTACCTCTTTACTTTCGGTTTCATAGGAAGTGACGTAACGTTGTTTCTTTAAATGGAATATATTTTTACATCAGGCATTATCATAAGAAGTTCAACAATGAATACCTGATTCGAGAAAATTGAATAAACGGGGTTATTTTCATATGAGTCTGTATTATTGAGGAAAAATATAAGTCGATGGAAATCATCTGTTGTGGTCATTCTCTCATCTCTGATCGAATTAGACCTAGATTGATTTGCATAGTGTTGGAGAGCATCCTCAACATTGAGTTCATCGAACTTCAAAATTCCAATTGAAATTCCAATGCCTACTACCTCTCTCAGTCCTCTCTATTATTTTTAATGTTCTGGATCCCAAGAAAAAGGAACAGAGAACCAAGGGCAATGAGGTAGGAATTGGTGTTCTTTTGAAATTTCTTGAGATTATATGCCTCGGGGAACACCTCCATTGGCAATGTGTTCCAGAGCCTTGCTGTTCGTTGGATGAACGTATTTTGGAAAGAGATGTTCTGCAGGTCTCCAAAGTGACCACGAAGGGGTACGAAGCCTCAACTCGACGGGTAAATCTCGCGGGGACTGCCAAGGGAAGAACAATTGTTGATATTTCAGAAGAGCATCGTCCATGAAAATATCTATAAAATAGAGCCAGATCGCCAATTTTTCTACGGTGTTCCAGAGAAGTGAGTGAGTTTGTGAGCGAGGCATCACTCATGAGACGAATTGTCATTTTGGGTCAGAATCCAACAGTTTCAGGGTATGTTTGGGTGCTGTACTCCAAATATATGAACAGTATTTCAGGACAAGTCAAATCTGTGCCTCAAAGATCATATAAGCAGCTAACTGGAAGTGAAATAGCTCCTGGCCCGAAACAGGAAAACCAACATATCAGATATTCTCTTTCATGCGCTTCAATAGATAAAATCTGAAATTATCTCTGGAATTACTTACTGAATCTATCAGGCTGATGTCACTACTGATTACGACACTTATTAATCTCTTGCATAGTTTCATAGGGCTGTTCGATTGTGCACAAAGATCCACTGCCCAAAATCTCACCTGTTCTGCCGAAATCAGGCTGGGAGGTGGAAACTCGTCGAGTTTCAAGTATTCTACCAAAGCCTGAAATATACCAATATTATTGTCGCACATCAGGTATTTACTCAAATTTTCTAGATTGTCAACTGTTAGAACCACCAGTCCTATTCAGAGAACTAGATCTCGTAACTAGCAGACCAGAGTCACTGGATTGTATTACTTAGATGAGAGTTCGGACACAGCTGAACTTCTGTCCATTTCTATTTTCTATATTACAATGGTTTGAGTGGAATAGAAGGGGAGGCAAAAAGGCTAAATAGGGATTCACTCGAGCGTCGTATCAGATTGTGAAGATTAGATGCGTAAATGAGAAGAAGTTCATATGATATTGATATATGACCTTTCACTTGGTACCAACGGACCTGTAAGATGGCCGCCTCGATCTCCGGATCTTTCAATTTTGGATTTTTTTTATGGGGTTTCCTGCAAGGCAAAGTTTATAAAACAAGATATCATTATGTAGCAGCGCTTCGTGCAGCGATTGATTTGAGTTTCCAAAATTTGCAAAGAAGTCCTATAATTCTTTACAACGCTATCAGAAGGATAACAAAAATGTGCCAATTTTGTATACGGGAAAATGGTCGTCATTTTGAAAACCACCTATGGAACCTTTTTGCATTTTCAAAATTCTGCTTTCATTTGCTTTTTTCTATGTTGAATCTTAAGTAAAATAGGTTTGGTGTTTGTTGTTATTCATCATAATAATTATGTTTGAATGATGTAATAAATAATTAAGGAAGGAGAAATCAAAAAATATTATTTGAATTGAGTTTGAAAGTATAAGAAGTATAATAATCACTCACATAAATTTTGTTTTCAATTAATTTTAGCCATATCCTTCTACCTAAAAATTTTTTTTTGAAAATCTGAAATTCTGAGCTTGTTTTTGAAAATAATTGTATACAATTATATATTTTTGGAAAGCCCACTTCATGCTCAATGTATATATGAAATAAAATACAGGGTGTTTCATTTAAAAAAACATATGTTTGCTCCATAACTAAAAAACAAAAGATGCTAGCAAAAAAATAACTACGCCACTGGATTCTACGAGAAAAACTCTATGAAAACAAGTTTTAACTTCTTCGATAAGTTCAAAGATAACTGAGACACGGAGGGTGCCTGGAAAGTGATATTTTTCAATTCCACCCTGTATCTCGACAACCGGAAGAGCTATCACAATTCGGCTTGCGCCATTATTAATTTCATAAAAAAGTAGCACACTGTCGCGAAAACCGCAATGCTCTATCTTTACTGATAAGGGAAATACCCCGCAAAAGTGACCAAATTGGGATACCCTGTACAGGTGTTCGAAAATGTAAAAAAAAAAACAGTCAAATAAAAATACTCGAGTGCATCAACCTGACGGTTGGATTTTTTGTTAGCTGAATGTTATAACTAAAATATAAAATATACAGTCAGTTTTTTGTAGCACGACTTCGACAGCTTGAAGAATGCACAATTTTGAGATGGTAGGCTCATGTAGACCAACAGTGTGGCAAAGTGAGTTAACGGCTTTGATGTTTGAGAGAGATGAACAAAAATTCATGAGATGGTTTAGTCTCATGAAAAGTACATTTCTGAGATATTTTGCATTATTCAGGTTCACTCAAAACTGAGTGGCGTATCAAAGTAACTTTCTGTACTAGCACACCTTGTATTTTATTGCATTTTCAGATTCCTCCTTATGAGCTGATTGATAATAATATTCGAAGTGATACTTTTTTTTCAGTTTCCTCTACGTTACCACAATTACATACATAAGTCCTAGTGCCGGCAAGCACCACACTAATTGATGATTTCATCTCTATGAAGAAAAAATGCACTCAATAAAACCCAGGAGACCTGTGAAAACATATCAATGATGCTGATTACTATGGTTCGAAAAAATTCTATTTTGTTCTAACCTTCAATAAATCCACAAGAGGAGCAACAAGGAAGAGCAACGGATTTTTCTTATTCTTGAACAATGCTGACGGTGCTAGAGCTACTGCAACTTTGACCTTGGCGTTGTATTCCGGTCTCTCAGACCCCATCACGAACATTGCTGTCGCACCTTGGGAATGTCCGATATAATGTAAACTGCGTTTCTGGGTAACTCCCAAGATATAATCTATGATGGCTGGAATATCGTAGACGCCGATTTCATGCCAACTGGAATCAGTATAGGATCAGTTATTACTTTATTATTCTTTTTTCCGTTATTATACAATGTAGAGAGAAAAATATGACCATTTACTAGTAGAGTTTAAACGCGAGTGTATGAGGAATAGCAAAGAAAAGGCAAACTGATAGAGGAATCAATCAACGCTCTATCAATCTATCAATATCAATTGTCGAGTATCAAGTTGAAATTCTGAGACATTCAAGGTAAGTATTGTTACTATTGTTAGGGCTTTCCTGCAAAATTTTCGGTAATTTTTATGCACTCTTGCAATTACAGCCGATAAGTGCCAGATAATAACTGTTGAAGAATCGAGTCATCATGGTAATGACATAGTTTTACTTGCCCCAATCAAATTTTTCAAATGTCAGTACCTTCTAGTGGATATAAAAATATCTAAAATGAGTCGATTCCAATTCTATGAAGAAAATTTACTCACTGAATATTCCTCGACTATTGAAAAATTCTCATGATTTATCCTAACTTTCCCCAAGCGAGTTGCTTTCAGAATCAATAGCCTTGGGATATTATAAGTGAATCAATCCCTCTGGTTTCATATATGATGTTTATGCCAAAGGAATATCATATTCTGCCACTGAAATGATGAATATTCAGAAAATTCAAGCAAGGTTCAGAAGCATTTCTAGATATTCGATACGTATAAAACATTATATCAGCATTCTTCATCCTTCTATCATCAGAATGTCTCTGACAATAGTTATTCTCTGGCTCTAGTTTTTTTTTGAAGAGTGCATTGAATTTGATCACCTGTTGATACAGACACATTTATTTGGAAAATTTATCTACCAGACATATCAACAATTTGCCCTCAATCTCACGAAAAATCATCCCCAGATGAAAAGTGCATTGATCGAAATTGAAAAAAATTAAGTTTTAGGCACCTACCTGAATTGCCAGTAAGCCCTGTCTTTATCTGGATCTAACGTCTTGTGCTTTCTTGAGTGCCATGAACCTCTTGCATTCTCTAACCACACATCATATCCGTTATCAGCTAGAACGAATCCCAAAGATTTCTCTGGCCCTAATATAACGAAGCATTCAGACGATCCCATCATGCCATGGTTGATTAGAACCGGATATTCATTTGTTCGATTACTGGTGGATCCTCGACCATGGCGGATCCTGTGCAAACCCAGGATATATCCGTCTTCTGTCAAGACTTCGTGTGTTTCCACTGGATATCCGAAATTTTCTATCGATTCTATCTGAAACCATAATGGCAATCAATCAAAATCGAATAATCAATGAACACCAGAAGAGTTTCTCTGATAATAGGGTTTCGCGAGACCAAGACCAATACCAAGACTGGTCAGTCAGTTTCTATGCATATAATAGGTATCGGAATCCCAAGGATTGTCCTCAAGAAATGTACTCCCGAACTAACACCTGGTCTCTGCAAGTTGTTCAACCAACTACTCTTACAAATTGGGGATAATCCCGTCCAACTGGGAAATTGCAAGTTTACAACCAGTTCTTAAAGAAGGCAAAACGACGAAGGCAACTACAGACCGATCGCACTGCTATCTATTATTTTAAAGATCATGGAGAAAGCTATCAACATCGAGCGCATGAAATACCTGGAACATTCAGGTATCATCAACGATAGGCAATATGGCTTCCGTCATCAGAGATCAACTGGTGACATATATGGCAGCAATCTATTGAAAAATATGGTGAAACCTTAGTCGTGGCACTTGATATCTCCAAGGCATTGACACCACGGACTCCTCGCTAAGCATCCATCTTATGGCTTGCTCCAGCTATGCTCTCCCTCCATACTGCCTTCTCTTCCAGGGCTCCAATAGCAGCCAGGCAAATCAGAAACGATCGAGGGAGAAATGTTGACAACATAAATATGGGCTTGGTAGATATCAATGCGAATGAAACATAAGCATGCCTTTTCTCTGAAAAAGCCGATCTCACTGTGCCCAACATAAGCTGGTCAGAAGTAACCATACCTTCAAAGATATCCATTGCGATGCTTGGTATCACTATCAGTAATAACCTTTATTGGGAAAATCACGTGAGATCAATTGCTAAAAGTGCATCCCAAAAACTTGGTTTTCTGTTTCGGGCCAGGAGCTATCTCACTTCCAGTCAGCTACTTATGATCTATAACACAGATCAGATCTGTCCTGGAATACTGTTCCCATATTTGGAGTGCAGCACCCGAACATACCCTGAAACTGTTGGATTCTGTCCAAAAAAGGGCAATTCGTCTCGTGGGTGATGCCTCGCTCACAAACTCACTCACTTCTCTGGAACACCGTCGAAAAGTTGGCAATCTGGCTCTATTTTATAGATATTTTCATGGACGATGCTCTTCTGAAATATCAAAAATTGTTTCTCCCTTGGCAGTCCCCGCGAGATTAACCCGTCGAGTTGTCGAGTTGAGGCTTTGCCCCCTTTCGTGGTCACTTTGGAGACCTTCAGATCATCTCTTTCCAAAGACTCGTTCATCCAACAGCGAGGCTCTGGAACACATTGCCGAGAAAGGTGTTCCCCGTGGCATATTACCTCCAGAAATTTAAGAAGAACACCAATTCCTACCTCATTTTCCTTGGTTCCCAAGATGGTCTCTGAACATCACAGGATATTCTTTTTTGTGAGAACCAGAACAAAAAACATTTCGTATTTCTCAGTCTTAAAAATTGACAATTTTTGCGTATGAAGTGAGCAAAATGAATTTCTCCTTTCATTATAAGAATATAATTTTTAAAAATCCTTGAATAAACATCAAATGAGTCCCAAACAGCAAACAGGTCGACTCCCGACAGACCAAAAAAATGGTTCGAAAGGGTCGAAACTGACAACAACGCATTATCAAAATATTTCACAAAAAATTTCAAATTCAAACCAAATAACTTTTGTACCAAATTTGTTTCTATCTTCAATGGGAGGAGATATGGACCACTGTGACCTTGCAACATATGCCTATTTGTTGTAAACTTCAAAACTGCAATACTGAATTTGAAAAGTGTATTTCGGATTTTGAGTGAACAAAAATTGAAAACCTCTCATATGACAAATGAATAACTGAAATAAAATGCCATTACATTTTCCATCAGATTCATTTCGAGATTGAGTAGATTTGAGTTCATTATTCATCTTTCGAGACCAAGACTCTTTGGAGAGATTCTTGGTCTCGAAAGTCAAGTCTTGGTCCTGGTCTTGGGAAGATTCATTAAGTCTTGGTATTGGTCTTGTATCAAGACCAAGACAAGACCAAGACTGGACTCTTGGTCTTCTGAAACCCTACATACACGGATCCTTGTTACTGCCATATCAATTCAGATTATCTTGAGGCTTGCTATCTTTCAGCCTCTTGAACCGCGACCTCAATATATCTATTATTTTCACCCTCGAAATCGTTCGGAAATATGCGTCTTTTCTGTACTTCAGGTTGGGTTAGATTTCATGTGAATAGGGTGAATATTTCCTTCATCGCGACCTTAGATGGGTGTACTCTGGCTCAGTCATAGTAATACCAATTCACTATATTCTAGTGAGATCTTCCTGGAATCGGTAGGTGGGACCGAATATGTTAGATCGTTGTCTCTTTGAATGAGAGCATGGATGGAACATTTGCCCAGCTATTTTATCCTCCACATAGCAGAACCAACCGACAAATTGGCTCACAGTCATCTTTTCTAGTGTATAAAGCATGAGCAGTCCTTTCGAAATTCGCAGGGTATAATTTCTTCATTCTATAGGACCTGATTGGGTTATGTTTTCGATCGTTTCGACAGGAATCGATGCTGGTAGATAGGAAGATCATTATCATCCGAACGGAAATATGTGTTTTGGCCGCAGTTTCTTTGGTACGGGTCCTATCAACACAGATTGGGTGCTATTTTTGACAAGGATGTCGACTCTGTCGTTGCCATTCCCAAGGTGATCTAGGGATTTAACACATTTCCATAAAATCTTTAATCACATCTTGCTGTTAGAATATAATGCTTCATAGTAACTTCATGTATCTGGGAGTTTCTTCAGAAAGTATTCGGAACCTTAGTCTCTTGACAAGGCCTCACATAGGCAGGGTTGTGAGTAATATTGTTTTCTCCTTTCGAAACAGAACATGAACAGAAGTAATATTGCTATGTTTCTTGAGCCTGCGATAGCATTTGAGAAGTTTCACTCTCACTATAGTTCTGATTTTACTCCTCTGCTGGCTAAGTAGACCTTCTTTGGATGTTGATGACGGTTATTCCTACCATTCATGTGAATTCCTTCGCATCCATCTCTTGTTGTCCGTTTCCTGTTTGGGTCTTTGCTATACCAGAGAAACGATATACTGACACTAATATTACCTAACAGAACACAAAACGTACCTATAGGTATACTTAATAGCAACAAATAAATCGTAATAGGAATAAGTTCATGATGTAAACGAAGCACCTGATTGAATAAGGTATCTTAGCCATACCGCAGAATGGTTCTGCATTCTGACCCGCTCTTGCTTCCCGAGTTAGTATCCCTTGCACTCATTACCTGTATGTGGTAATCTGTATATTATACCATTATACCCTGTCTGAAGTACATAACTCTGTTCTTGAACATTCCAAGACAAGTTTTGAACTGACTAACCTAACCTGACTTTGTGGCATTGTGTATTCAGAAGACTCCAATGTTCGTAGAGCTGGAAGCAAATGTTTCAACTGTCCTATATGAATAAAAATCTGTTTTTTTCAATGAAGATTATGTAGACAGTATAGATGGGCTCAGACTATAACAGTCACTCAATCATTATACCTATGAGATCTATATCTATATTGAGGCTTGTAGTTCTGGAGTTGTGATGAAGCGAAGCTTATACTCATTACCATATTAACACTCCTGGTCGCAGATCGTACATATGCACTATTGCAAGGCAGTTCCTGATAACTAATAACCAAAGAATATGTAGCACATTCTCAATCACAATTTGAATATTGATTAGTCGTTACAAGACTAGAGATTCTACATTTTCTTATTTTCATTCAAGTTGAATAGGTACTCACTATATCATATCCATGTACTCTTGCTGAAAATCGGTCTATTATTATGAATACCAAAAATTTCATTAATATTTTCATCTTCAAACTTTCCAAAATATATATTTTTTATGATTATGCTTCTACTTGGAAACTTCCCCATGAATACTTAATTTTCTTATAAATCAATTCAAAGTCCTCCATAGTAATAGTCATTATAATTACAGTGAATTCGTGCATGGTATACATACTATACTACTTTGATATAATAGATACTGAGCAGTGGCGTCCTACAAGAATTTGGCTCGTATTATCAGAGTGGAATGTGATATCTACACACACCGGCACAATCAGGGGAACGGGCAAACTTTACTCCAAGTTTGACAAGGATTTTCTCACATTACATTACAAAGGTATATTACGCCATGTACAGTTGACGGCATTTGAACAAAAGTCAATTCGACACTTCTGTCATCATAAATTAATTGATTTGCGTTTTGATAACAAGTTCGTTCGGAATATGAAAAAGTATATTAGTCTAAGATCCGAACCTAAGTCGACCTTCACCGAGCTGATAATAGAACGAAATATATTTTATCATGAATTTAGTATATTAGAAAACATATTAAAAACATCAGGATAATAACAAAATTTTGTCCTTACTGAAAGTATAAAACGTATAGAATGTGCAGCCGTTGGGTTGTCTACTATTTACCTGGGCGAACTACTGGGTTGTCAGGTAACACAGGTATATCGATGCCAGTTACTTTCACTGGATTGGATAATTAAAAAAAATGTATATCATCATAAGCGCTGTTTAATTGCGAACACGTTGATATAGGGTTGTCTGCGAAAATTCCTTAAAGATTTCAATTTCAACGCGCGTGGAAGTGTGTGACAGAGAGATCCGAGGTAAGTATACTGTGTAATAATAAAGGACCCAACATCGCAGTCGCTTGTGATGGGACCCTGAATAGTAGAAAGTGCGCATGCTCGGTGTGTAAACTATGGAGGGTAGAGGTACCTCTACTACCCTTCTTATAGTGAACAGTGCGTGTTATTTTGGAGCAACTGATATTTCAGTTGCAAAAAAAAAATAATTAATTAATTAAATAATAATTAAATATATTTCAATATATTGCGTTATAACCATAATAATATATCTATAATCTATAATAGACAATAAAAATATCAATTACTTACTTTGAATTTTTTTTGCTCTTTCTGGAAATAGAAACAAAGTGGACCGGAAGGATAGTAGAGGTACCTCTACCCTCCATAGTTTACACACCGAGCATGCGCACTTTCTACTATTCAGGGTCCCATCACAAGCGACTGCGATGTTGGGTCCTTTATTATTACACAGTATACTTACCTCGGATCTCTCTGTCACACACTTCCACGCGCGTTGAAATTAAAATCCCCAAACCCCTAATAGGACCGGAATTTTCGCAGACAACCCTATATCAACGTGTTCGCAATTAAACAGCGCTTATGATGATATAATTTTTTTTTAATTATCCAATCTAGTGAAAGTAACTGGCATCGATATACCTGTGTTTATATACCTGACAACCCAGTAGTTCGCCCAGGTAAATAGTAGACAACCCAACGGCTGCACATTCTATACGTTTTATAATTTCAGTCAGGACAAATTTTTTTTATTATCCTGATGTTGCACATTTAATTAAAAATCATTTTTCGAAAAATAATTAAAAATAGTCTGCCCAGGATTTTTTTAGCGAACCCATTTTTAATATGTTTTCTAATATACTAAATTCATGATAAAATAATTATATTTCGTTCTATTATCAGCTCGGTGAAGGTCGATCTAGGTTCGGATCTTCTACTATATGATATCATTGGAATTCAAGAAGGATATTATTCTTATTTTTTTATAATAGTGATAGAGACACTGATTACTTGAATTGCACAGATCTAATAGGTATATTGACGCCAAAGGATGCATACTGAAGCCAATTTATTTTCATGGGAGTTGATATTTTTCCTCCCGTCGGAGTAAATTGATAACTTTTTTCCTCAAATGAGGGAGCAAACGCCTACTCTTGATTCAGTGAGTAGATAAAATATCATTATCATATTTTTTCGTTTTCTCGTGGAGCAGTGTTGCAGTTCGCTTGCATATTTGGTAATGAATTTTTGTCTGTAAACATGACATATGTTTTAATTTTATCAATTTTTTTAAACCCACGATTTCGTAGGAATATGCAAATAAATCCATTGAAAAATGTAATTTCCATAGCTACGCCTATGTTATAAATGAATATATGAAAAAGCACTAAGATGTTTAATCGTTAGGAATTTTTCGCTACTATCACTGAAACCATCAAAAAACGAACATATTGCTATATCAATCAAAGCTCTAATTTCCTTAATTACCAACATACTTTTATACATAGTTTTCAATCGTCACACTAGCACGAACTTCTCGCACACTGAATGTTTCTTGTCCTTATCCATGATTGTTTAATCATTCAAGGGTAGATATACACACTGAGTGCATAATAATTTCAATCCAGTGGAAAATGGTAGATATAGTATTTCCATGACAAGTGAATGCTTTTGGTCTGGTAAATTCAACGGAATATTCCAATCATAATGTAACAGTCCAGTTTCAATCGCTAATTGTTATTTATGTATCAAGGGCGTAAAGTAGGCTTTTATGGACTGCAGCGGGTAAGTAACACGACAAAGTCCATAAAAGCAAGCTAACTCCGAAAAACATACATTTTACGCATACACACGACCGCTTTAGACATTCATTTACTGCCCTAGGGCACTGAATTGCTACTTCACGCCCGTTCGTGCATAAAATAATGATATTTGCATAAACGAACCAATTCTTGATTGATTAATCCCAGTGGGCATCAACTTAAACGTCGAGAAAATGTTGAGTCTCCATCCGTAAAATATCGGTGAAAATTTCTAAAGAAATAACGTTCTTTTCAATCCAAGAAATATAGAAAAGAATTGAAAAATATGTTTTTAGTACAAATCTATCAACGAATCGAATCACGTTGAATTTATGTTCTGGAAACGTATCCATACAATGTATAACATGGTATAACGTTATTTTCATAACGAAATCGACAACGTTGAAAAACCAACGAGCACCTGTGCCCATTGGGATATTTTGTAGAACGAAATTATTTATTCAAATTATATATCTTTACCGATGATGTTTCGATTAGTTGCAACTATGAGAGTAGGAATTTGCATTATCATTTTCAGCATTGAAATAAAACTGTCAATAAAATAATACAAAAGTTTCCTTATCCCAGCTCAAATTTCAATCTTCAATTAAATGTAGTATCTCAGATGGAAACTTTGAATTATTATGAATGATAGAACGATTATTGCACTCTAATATTATTAAAATTAGTACATCATGTTTCACTCAGCGGCTTTTTTACGTGAACATAAAAAAAATAAGTCGATCTCTCACTTAGAGATGGCGCAACTAGAGCTTAAGTATCAAACTGTCAAATTACTTCTGTATACAAATTTCAACACCACAAGGATGAGAAAAGTTAGAAAATTCTAGCACGAGTCGTGGACTCAAAGATGTACATTTCGTATGCACTATACCCAGTCATCAGTCTTTCCTGTTCGCACATAATCTTTGCCAACCCGTACAATCGTCTTCAAATGTTTCCACGTCATCTGAAGTCAGGCACTGATATGGCTCCATCATCCCAGTATGAAGATGATATTCCTTGCTCCCAGCTGATTCCGCACCACGAAATATTGAGATACTTTCTGTACAAAATATTCACAGGTAATTCGCAACCTGACCGTAACAGCTTACAATAAAAATTGTTTGCGTAAGAAACGAAGTTGAAATGATTGTTGGAACAATGTATTTAATTGAAATTGTTTATTTTTTTATCACAACAAAAAAAACTGTCTGGGTTTGGCGAGTACGTCTGAATGGTGTTGCTAGTGATGGAATGGTAGCAGAAATTTCTGGTGAGCATTCTACGTGGAAGTATATATCTACTGCATTACAGTCAGACTGTGTCTATCGCTATCGCTTGGTAGAGAAGCATTTTTTGACTGAAACAAATATTCCATCGGAGGTGTCCTTGACTAATTATTGGAAGGCGCATTGTATGTTCATTGTTCTACATAAGGAACGATGAAAAACTCTAACAATTGACCACTATTCACGCTTTGGAACATTGGGGAACATTTGGTTCACAAAGGAGAAGAGTTATTTATGCAGTAAATTGAGCTTGTAACTGTTGAATGAAATATCTCATGGTTCCCATTGCCGATTCCAAGAAAATGCTGATTGCGACTGGTGTCAGTTGTATTCTCGGGAAGTTATAGTCTGAATCTAGTTTTGTATCATGTTAGAATTAAGTCAGTTGTAGAGAAACGATAAAAAATCTTCTTAAAAAAGGACTTGGGTATTTCGAAAAGTATTTCAACGTGTTTAGAAACAACTCGCTTGCTGAATGACAAATTATGATGACGCTGCTGTTTCTATCTCTAATAAAATGGCGCCATATATTAGTTTTGAGTACAGTGAGCATAGACTTCCGGCCAGGAACAGTGCTATTTAAAAAAAACTGGAAGATCCAAAATATATTCAATATTATTCTTTATTGACTTGAAATTTCAATAGTGAGTTAGTCCATCAGCTGACTTCAGAGCGACATGATATTGGTTCTTGCAACTTACTCTTATGTTGATTTTAATTCCTCTCCCTACCCTCCGCTCTCTAGGTACTATATCGAAATATATAATATTGTGAAGATCTTTGTACATAACTCACTATCACCCTAGATGTGTATGAACTGAGTGGCTTGTGCTTACTTTGCTGAAATGGGATTAAAGGATTGAAATATGTTGTTATAGACGATGATTTCCTGATAGTATAAACAAATTCCATGTTTTCAAATAAACAGTTTATTATGCGATGTTCCATATATAACTAATTATCCATATCTCTTCAAGCTTTGCATTACCCATTTATATGATAACGGTATTATGTTGCGAGCGAAAAGAAAATTCGTATGTGCCCATCTGTGGTCAGCAACTGCATCGAATTCTAACACGTTTGGCAGGGATGAAATTAGCCTTTCCACATCCTGAAAAACACTGTTATCAATATCTGAGGTGGAAAACAAAAGTGCCATGTCTTTTCTAGGATTGAATGTATGAAATCCAAAAGAAGAATGCCATTAATGGGGAATAATTAGTAATTTTCAACATATTGAAATTGATAATCTCTGACATTAATACCAAAATCACTGCTATGAATTGTTTCATTACTGTCTAGACTATAAGTTATCAATTGACTGAAGCTCATTGGGCTAAATTGGACAATATCTATCTTATGTAATGAACTCCAAACCTATGAATATACAGAGTGTTTCCTAATTGAATGTCAATATAATATAAGGAGACGATTCTTGTGCCAATTTTGGGAAGAAAATTCCATATAAACGTATGACCTAAACGTCCTAACTTTTGAGATACAGGGTGGTAAAGTTTCCAAAAATGAATATATTTTTATTAATCTCTGTAATACTCATTCAGATACTTTGATGAAATTCAGCATACGTATGGATGGATTTCACATACCTATTTTGGCAGACATTGAAAGTACGCTATGATTAATATCGAAATTAAAATCATTCTTGAAATTTTCAACCATTTCTAAGCAAATTTGATCTTCATATTTTGTTCAATCTGATGCACGGTATTCGCTTAAAAAAATAGAAACCCTCACTGCATGATGATCATAACAATATCGTTAATAATATGACAATATCACATTGTAGAGAAATAGATTTCATTTTTTAGGTAAAAACCGTGATTCGGACTGAAACAATTCAAGAGACCGAATCAAGTGGTATTATATATAAATAAGATATTTTTGAGAACTTCACCATCCTGTATCTGGAAAGTTATGACGTTCAGGTCATACGATCATATGGAATGTTCTTCTCAAAATGGCCCAAGAATAGCCTCCTCAAATATTGACATTCAATTAGGAAACACCCTGTACACCATCATTATTATAATTGTTTGGTACTCTCTAATATCTAATCTTAAACTCAAGTTTTCATTGATATAAATATGATGATTCTGCTGTGAGCATGATTCGGGCTTCTTGTTTTTATATCATATCGATGTTCTGATATATTCGCAAGAAAAATGTCTGACAGTGATCTAGGAAGCACTACATCAGAACTATACGTTGTTATGTTATGTTACTGAAGGCACATTTCCAGGAAGACTGACCAACATACTCCAAATGCATCAGGTTGATGATTTTGAACTGGAAAAGTGAAGCAATAAGTAATGAGTTGCCTGTCAAAATCGTTTCGAATATGATTGATCGATAACTGATGTTGACTTATGACTGATGTCAGAATGCCAAGTTAGAATTTCAGACTGCAGTCATTGAGTTGTATTCGTATAATTTTTTGTTGGCTTCGTGGAATAAATCGTTAATTTAATCAAGGCTCAACGGCTTTTTTCCATCGGAAAAGTATCTTGTGAATGTTGTAGGTCATGGCCGTTTATTGTTTGAATGGTTATAAATAAACGATTTGGAATTGAAAAGGATATTTTTTGTTTTTTCTGCTAATGAGGGATAGGGAAAATTCATTCCAAAGTAGCTATTCATGAAAATTTCATGGAAGGCAATATGAAAATCGCCCGACAACCAGATAATATAAATAAAATCACCCTATAATTCACTAATGCATCATTCATTCCGAAATATATCACCATCGGAGCGGTGACTTGACTCAAATTGTACACCTTAGGAGTTTCTGATTGGTATTTCTCAAGATTGGTTTCTCTACCCCAGTCGTACTGTGCAAAAGAACCTGAAAAAGAAAACGGTTAGTTATAGGTTGAAATAGTATCTTTCGAGCACTTGTACCTGTTCCATAACTCTGGAAGTAATGAAATATTTGATATAGGCTCAATCCGGCAGGCATAGTATCGGATATGAAAGGCAGCCAGTTCTAGAAAATATGTAAAATGGATGGAAAATTAATCGGAAATCAGTGCTGAGTTTTTCAGATGAACATATGTCTTTTGAGTTATTGATTTTGGAATGTTAAGTCCGTTATTGATCACAGTTTTATTTATTTAATTTGTAAAAATATTTAACGGATAGCTTTGCATGAAAGTAAGTCAAGAACCGTGGCAGCTAATATATGAGTAGATAAGAAAGTATGTAGAGTTCATCATGGAGTATATTGAAGCGGTAGCAAAGACAATAATTGCAAACCTAGATACGAAGAATGCTTCTCGTGAATCGCTCAATATAGTGATTGTACCATGAACTCAAAAATTTAAAAAACAAGAGTCTGATGATTATGTAGACTCCACATTTTATGTTTAATAAGTCAACATATAGGTTTTATGAATCGTGCCACATAGCTGAAGAAGAGAGACCTAAATAGAATCAATATTGAGAAAATCCTCAGAGATGAGGAAACCCATTTTAGAAGCTAGAGCATCTCATGAACACGTACGATTTTTTGAAATATCAATCAAATACCATTGGAAAACATTTAAGTGAGCGTTGACAGATCTAACGCCACCATAAGAAAGTTGAGCTTCAAAGCTTGTTTCCGACTATCAGGTTTCAATTTTTCAGTGTTGTTGAACAATATAGTAGTTTTTGAATAACAAATGATGGCACAACGCTCCACCTAGCGCAAGGTTGGTAGAACTAATGGTTATTTGTAGGCGAAAGTTACCACGATCAGGAAAGGCAGTGAGAAAAAGTGTTAGTTTGTGACGTGATCATATACGAAATTCCATTAACCCCGAAATGAAATTTCCGATTTAATGAAATCTTCTTCTTCTTCTTCTTCTCTTTAGGTTTATTGGATTTGTGTCTCCGTTTCGGTAACAATTTCTCCAGATCAGGTAATTGATTTTTTTCAATAATAAATATTTGGTTATGTAATAACTAGACTCGCCACATAAGACACCGGTTGTCTATCACAATGGCCTGGAGCCGAGTCATCAGTGTTCATAAGATTCGAACGTATGTACTCCTCTAATCCTGCAAATCCGTTGCTGATCCGGCCTGGTTACCGGCGTAGAGATAAAATAGCCTGATATTTCTCCTGACTTTTAGCCTGGAGACGTTTCTACTATACAGTGGCCAAAAGTCGAATCCCCTTAATGACATCATGATTGACTATACGTCTCTTCACCGCATTTTCCAATCAAGGCAATCTCCTCTATGCAAAAATCATCATTTGTACCAACCTTGGCGTAGTATATTATACTGAATGTGAAAAATTTCGCAGCCGATTACTGATTTCCACAAAATTCTCAATCACACGACATGTTTCGCGAACACGGTAGCTTCTTCAGGATGAAATACTGTTACAATGAACTGTCAGCATTTGCTTGTTTCATGGTAGAAATGCACCAGAACATTATTGATCCTCACATCGTCCATCAAATCATTCCCAAAAGGATCCGATAATGCAACCAGTAGGCCTTTACATATTCTTCGAAGATTCAAGTTGTTGTTGACACAAATGGTTTTGGCAAAAGTGTAAAGTAAGCGCAATCGAAAGATGGCCTTTATCTCGTAAATCCCAGTCAAGCTTGGTACATCCTGAAAAAAAATGAGACATTTCTCAAGTTCCTATAGAGATGATATGTAGGTCAGGTCATAGTTTATGATACAGGCTCTTGAATGATTTTCTGCACTGTATGGAACTTTTATACTGTACACGGAAAAAAAGAATTTGTTGCATCATCAAATTATTTATGCTGCTTGAATTATTTTTGTTGGACTGAGCAATTTTTTGTTGAATCAACCAGATACATGGTTATTTCATGAAAGCAGCTTGTTCAAATCAAGAATGTAGTCTAATCGAATCAAAAGTATAATATCAATTCCATCAACAAAATATATGGTTTTCTCAAAAACAAAGTATGTCGATCCAAAATATTCGATGTTGATTTAACTATAAACATTTTGTCGATTTGATCAAATAATGATCATTTTGATGAGAATATATCTTTGAAACAACATACAAATTTTCTTATTCCCATGTAGCAATGAACTCGTTTCGACCGGATCATTCGCTTGAATAGAGCAACGAAATATGTGATATCAATGGAATATTCTGTTAATTCTACATCAAGTTAAATTTTCACCTCTAGATGGCGATCATTTCGCCTCGTCTATGCCTACCTCGAATTCATTATATACGTGAAGCCTGATTCTTCGTGTTTGAAATATCAGCTGGATAAATCGAGCTTAGGATGATTAGCAATCCCAAATAGTTTTGCATCAGCTGAAGAGAAGTTGAGACTGGAGATCTATGCTAGAAGTCGACTACTTTCCTAGTTTAGTTCATTCTATTGATGTGAAATTTCAGAAAATTCCTTAATTAATACTGAATTTGTTTTAATAAATTGATTTGTCGAATGGAAATACAGTTTTTCTTGAATCAACAAAATCATTGAATCAACAAAATATTTCATTGAAATAACCAAATATTTCATCGAATCAACCAAATAATTCATTGAATCAACCGAATATTTCTTTGAATCAACCAAATATTCCATTGAATCTACTAAATATTTGATTGGATCAATATCTTGTTATTTTGAATCAAACAAATAGATTGTTTGAGCCAATTCGATATCTTGTCATGTACAATTCATGGATGTGCTTGATTGACTAAGATCCAGAGTTCATGCAAGACATATTCACTCAATTCAAACTTCGAATTCGCTCTGAAACAGGATATAGATTTACTCAAGTCAAGATTATATTTTGTCGTGCATATATGACACTCTTATTTGCTTCATTCAATTAAATTTCGCTTGATTCAACAATTCCTTTTTTCCGTGTATATTTTGTTATTTGGAATACCCGAAAAACTCTGTAGTATGGCGCTAGCAAATTCAGCCCTGGATGCACGTTATTGTTGAAAAAACTTGCTGGTGCTAAGCTGATTTGCACTTTGATTTTCTCGTTGTACCCAGGTCGTTCCGAACACATCACAAGGAATGAGGTCGCTCCTTGAGAATGAGCCACATAGTTGAGCTGTTGTTTTCCAGTTACTTTCAGAATGTAATCAATCATAGCGGGAACATCGTAAACGCCAAATTCATGCCACCTGAAAAAAATATATTGTTCCCAACCATTTGAAAAAAATCCAACCATCTTAGAAGCACAGCTACCGTCAAAGGGAGAAATATATAGAATTGCATTAGCAAAAATTTGGTGGTATCCTTCTTGCCGTTAATTTTTATATCCATCTTGGAAATCATCTGTGAATCAAGTTGAGCACGGAAAATCATGATGATAGAGAAGAAGGATCAAATAACTGACAAAAATTTCAATATATATATATATTAGGTAGTTGTTTCATGAATTCCGCCAGACTCATGGAACAACTAAGGTTTCTTGATGATGATTCGCTTGAAACTGTATCCTTTTATTTCCAATGATTGGCAATGATGATAAATTAACAAATTGTCATGTTTTTTTCCGCTTTTTATGTAGAGACAGATATCCACCAACTTTTTCTGGTGCTTTGTGGGGCGGCTGAGGTATATTTAATTAAAAAATGTGGCACTATTTCAAGGAGATGTTGTTCATCTTTTAATGCTAGATGTTGCACAAGAGGTAATTTTTTGTTTTTTTTTTTGTTCTGCAATTGCATTACCTCGTTGGTCCCAGCACTGGGACCAAACGCCCCATAAGTCGAAACTTGTGCGGGGTTAGGTGAGCATACAAACATCCATGGCCTAACTAGGATTCGAACCTATGTCTCGGAGTCCCCATACGAACTCAGCGCATTCACGCTCTCGACCACCGAGCCGCAAGAAAGTATGAAATAGCTATCTTATCATTTGTGAAAACAAAAAAATTACCTATTTCACTAGGAGGATAGTATCAAACAATTAAATTTTTAGGGATAAAAAGAATTAAAAGGACAAGTGGCATAAGGAAAAAAAAATTGACTTTTGACGTGTAACATCTGCCTTTTGTTCTTCTTGGCCGTCAGGTGACTTCCGTCAACTATCTGATGAGATGGAGTCGGTCATTTATATTTTGCTCTGGACTCACATTCTTTCCTGCGGTCATATTTTAGAAGCGTTTACTCTGAGATATCACCCTGTTTGTGAAGGTACATAATAGATATATACTTACGTAAACTTCCAGAAAGCCTCGTCCTTGTCGGGATCAAGGACTCTGTGTTTTCTAGAATGCCAAGTACCTCTCACATTGCCAAGCCAGACGTCGTAACCTGCATTGGTGAGAATGAAGGCTAAAGATTCATTGCCCATCAAAGCGTAGTTTTCAGCAGATCCGAATAAACCATGTAAAAGGAATACAGGGAAGTGATGTTTCTTAATTTCACTGATTCGAGTGCGTTTCGGAATTATTCGAAAAATATCCAAGAGGTAGCCATCATCTGTTTCAACCTCGTGTTTTTCAGTGGCATAACCATTTCTTGAAGATAGCTCTTCCTGAAAGGCCATTTCAAATGAAGCACAAAAATGTTAAAAGGCCGACTTCCTTAATTCAGAGTTTTTATTCCTATTCGATTACGAATTCTAGAGTTTTTTCTCAACGATTACTATCGATGTCTATAATCCAGCAAATTTCAGGATCCTTACCCAACGATTACGTAAGGTACAGCGGTGTGTCCATTAGAAGTGGGTCACACGGTATATCTAAATATATATATGTTCTATTTCTTTAACACGAGGTGTTTGATACCCGTCTTTGACGTACTTCTTTTATTTATTTATGTTGATATGTACAGAGTGACCCATTTGAAAGCGGGCAACCCTCATACATTTTTTATTTATGCGGAGCGGTTTTCACGATATTTTTTAATGTAGAGGGAGGAATGGTCTATTTTGGAGCTGAGCTGAGTATTTTTGGTTTTTTCTTTCAAAATGAAAAAAATGAAGCCAATCATGTTTATTTAGAATGAGGTGATTTTTCGCATATGGAGGTTTGGAAGCATGAGGAACAATAATATAAAGTTATGTTTCTTGCGAAACATTTCACTGTCCAAAATGATGATGATGGTTTTTCTTAATGGTCCATATTTGGTACGGATCGTACGATTAATATCTGAGATATAGATGGGGGGGCCGTTTGAAATGAAACACGCTGTAGAATCGTTAATGTTCAATATTTTACCATGAAACTTTGTACAGACCTATTTCATAGGACTCCAATTTCAGTGGCGTAAGCGGAGTTCTCCTAAGAAATCACTTATATGAATTTTCCAGCTTCTGAATGTGTTCTAGTATAGGTAGGCCATGGTTTTTAAAAAAGTGAACGACGCTCAGTTCCAAAAGTCACCTTCTCTCGCTCTACATTAAAATAAAATGGTGAAAATAGCTACATCAATGACAAATTTTTAAGGGTGCCCCACTTTCAGATGGGTCACTGTATATATTTTATCTCAATAGGTATGACAATTCCTCCCGTTTGCTGATATTGCTTGTTACATTTTCATATTGAATTTCATTCAAAATTCCAGGGGACCCACATCTGGAGGGTAATAGCTAAAAACGATTTGTCAATTCATAAGTCATTATTTTTTTACCTATTTTCATCCATATAGAAGCCGATGTAAAAATATTATCGCATAATTTCGGGACACCTTGTATATCTGCTCGCCTCAATTATCTCCTTGAGATATGAATGAATAATACTCACTATTTCAATTGGTGGTTCACCTGTGAATTGACATGTCACTATAAATGCATAGAGACATATATTCAACATGTTAATTTTAAACATTTTTTGATAACTGTTGGAAGTTTGACCTGGAACTTGCTCATATTACATCTAATTGGTTGTAATGAATAAAAAAAACTAATAGCATATTCTAATACCTACAATCGTTACATTGTCTTATTCAATACAAAGTGAAATAACAAGAATTTTCCACTCAATTATCTCAGGCAAAAAAATTCGAAACCATTTGAACAACTCGGTACTAAATATGAATATAGATTTTGCAGATTGTTTTTTCATCCCTTGTAACCAGCTTGTAACGTAACTCTCAACTGAGAGTATGACCATCTTTCAACTTTCAAATAGATAGAACACAAGTATATTATTCAACAATAATAGAGACAATTGATCAGAGAATATTAACAGTGATATGACGATGTTCTGAATATTGGAGATAATTCCGTAGCTTTCTTCAAGCCTTAACGCCTTTGCTAATGTCTAACGACATCAAGCTATTGATGATAACAGCCATCAACTCTATCAAGAGAATTTCAATGAAAACAAAAATGGGTTTAATCAAATTATCAATTTATTAATCATCATATCAACAATGTTCACAATGAAATAGTTTACTACAAATGTTCAATATTGTTGCAGACCTATTGATATTTTCAACAGTGTATACTACCACCTCCCACTGATTAGAAATTCATAGTTTGCAACGAAATAAGTAAAAAACGAACATTTCCTCATCTCAAACTTACTTCAAACAATGCAGCATATGTTCAGAACTCCTGCAGTTCTTCTTAAGATTGTTAGGCAATCAGCATTCTTTGGAGCAAAGTGTTCGGCTTCACAAGCAGAGGCTAGTAATCAATGAGGATAATTGAGTTGACAGTTGCAAGGGCCCAAGGGGCTGTAGTCGGTCGATCCTTCCAAACTTTACTGTTTACTGTTTCGAAATCACTGCCCACAATTCGATGTATACCATTAATTCCCACCTCCCTGGACAATCGTTCTTTAATAGACGAATTGATCGTTAATAGGGTTCATTAACGATCAATTTTGTGTACATAAAGCAAACAAATATATTCCTGCAACATAAGTGATAATAAAGAAGATATTCCAGTAGCCCATATGCTCATCATTTGTGAATGTATTCATCTAAGGTTCTGACTACTCGTTCGTATACCAAAAAGACTGCACCTCGTCCCCAAAGGAAGTCGATATGTGACCATTTCGCGTTTGGAACCTCAAAGAAGTCCACCAGATTTGGAACCAATGATGCTAAAATTTTCACGTCCTGAAAACTGGTATAGTTAGTAAACATGAATCATAACAAATAGGAGGTGACCAAAAATATTAGTAAACCAATATTTTGTATGAATTGAACTCTTTACAGATTAGATTTCTGAATTAAGCATTACCTTCGGAACTACTACACAATCATTTGGACCGTAATACAAAGCCACAGGAGTTGTAATCTTGCTCAAGTTATACGTTGTTGGATATTCCGAATTGTATTTTTTCAAGTTGATATCCCTTCCCCAATCGTATTGCCCAAAACCACCTGTAATAGGAATGGACCAGGAAAAATTAATCTTAGGGAAAATGTTATATAAGTTTTAGTGTATTGAAATACTAATCCGAATTTGTTCAGTCACAAACTATTTTTCCATTAGGGCTTCGTAAATTTTTCAAATATTTCTTGAAATACATTATATTTTATAACATGGATACTACTTTGTTGCTTCAAACTCTGTATCATAAATCCACCTTCATTTCCAAATACTGTCTATTGTCTTTGGTCAAGATTCTCTAAAATTGTTCTTTTACTGATAGATCTTTTTTTGAGCAGGTGTATTCGATGTTACATATAACATATTATTTAATTTTCAGTATTCACAAAAATTCTGGAACATATCGTTTTTGATATTGTGGACTTTTCTCTATCTTCAAATATACTTTATTCTTCGAACAAGTCACTTATAGTATTCAATTCATAAATGCATTAAACAAAAACAATCGTTACACTTCTTCGTTTCAAATAGGTAGAGAGTGCAAACGAAAAAAGTGCCAAAACTTGACTAATACAATTCGGCCAATTCGTCAGTCTTACCAGTAACGATGCTTTGCAGGTAATGCAGAAATTGAAATATGGAAGATCCTCCTGGCGTGACTTCAGTCAAATATGGTATGAAATACTAAAACAAAAATGAGGAACTAGATGAATAAGTACCTCATTTAGATATTGTTTATCGAATCGTTAACGGAGAGAGGCTGAATCAGTATATCCGAAGAGCAATAGGATGGAACTATAGTTTGTCCTTGTGTAAACTACTTTGTTGGTTAATATTTTGTGAGGAAGGAACATACACCTCTATGAGTAGATCATTCGGAACAAGTCAAGCTGATTGATAAAAAATTCAATGACTACGTTCCCGAATGATCTACTCATAGAGGTGTATGTTCCTTCCTCACAAAATATTGACAAACTAGTTCATCCCATCGCTCTTCGAATATACTGATACTGAGAGAGGCTGTCTCTTTTATATATAGGATATTCATCCTATAAGATCTTCCCTAACGTCTTGAAAATAATAAACCGATTCTCCAAATGCAAGAGAAAATTTCTTTTTAGTTTGTATCTGAGGTTTCTGTTCACTCTTCCTCTATCATGTATAAATGTTCCTATACTAAAGGGTTTTCACGCTGGGTTGATAGTGACGTCAATATGTCAACACATACAGTGTTGCCAGTTGAGAGGCAATGACTGAATGACCAACCGCCCGAATATGGATATGTCTAGTGCTACGATCGTCGGACGTTATAATGTTTCTTGGAACCAACTCGGAAGCCGTCCATTTATGTTTCAAAATCAGCACTCGAAGTTGATAAATTAACATTCGTATTTAATAAACCATGCACCTAAACAGTATACTGAATATGAAATATAATGATATTGAAATTTTTATAAAGAATAATAACTTGAAGAATGATTTATTATTTAAAGTGACATTGTGAACATTTTATATAAAGCATTCCCTGGAGGAAATCGTTCTCTCGATTCAAAAATAAGGCCCCTGAGGTCGAACTAGCAGGCCATCAGGTCGTGGGTTCGATTCCTGTGCTTGATACTTCTTAGATTGGGGTTAAATGATGCTCTGTGCATGGTAGATCATATGGAATGGAGCCTAAATAGTAAATATCAATATGTCACAGTGGTATGGATTCCACTTCTTCAAACTGGAGATCTCCTCACCTTGAGAAACTTCTGAGGGTTACTTCAGTAACCAAGGTTAAAGTGAGAAAAATGAAATAAATGAGTGATTGAAAATGAATAAGAATTGTCTTCTCCTGCTCCGAGTTGACCCCCCCCCAAATAATTATGTAGCGATCTGTAAAGTTCTTTTGGAAGCTAAACCCCGTATGTGGAAACAGTATTCTAAAACAAACCAGAGTTATGTTTCGTATGAAAATTTGTTTGGAAATTTTCCAATCTTGTTTATACAATGCTTGAACGTTTGCCTCAAAATGTGAGTCCTTATTGTTTCAATATATCAGAGTGGGTTTGTTTCCCACCTGTATAAATAGGCGATATCATGATGATCCTTGAGCAATCAATTAGTCATATACGAGTGGGTGGTAGTTGATATCCATTCTTTTTGAAAATTAACAAAACCAAATCCGATTATCTGAATTGCAGCTCATTTAAATAGCGAATATCAGTTCATATATTCGGTTTTCAACAATCATGAACAAGTTCTGACATTTTGAAAATAGTTTTCCAATTTTGACATTTTAATATGACCCTCAAAACTGACGGGAGTTTTCAAACGTCTTACATAACGCAACTAGTTGCGTGAAGTAAAATATTACATAACCGGTGATGAAATGTTCATCAGAACACCAGTTACGTAATAAAAATATATCTATATCTGCCCAATATACATCCAGTCAATTTGATATAAAACCTGGGTTTCAGACCTATAGGACTATGAAGTGACGTGTGTTTTGCTGTTGATAACGATTTGATAATTAAAAAATTATATAACTAATTCACTTACTTTATCAATATTATTGCCGTTATTGTCCACTAGAATATCGAAAACATATTGGCAAATATCAAGTAGAATTTGATTATTGCTAACGCAAAATGTTTTGACTATCGTGTAAAATAAGGGATTTCTGAAGATGGCCTCCACTTCGATAAAACCAATTTGCTCAGGAAGAACCTAAAAATGAGAGTTTGTTCTGAATAAGCTCCGCAGAATAGTATAGGAGGGCATATAGACTCAAGATTTTGAGGGCCTAAAATGAAAAAAAATTCCAGTCATATTTCCTATACCATAGTTATTTATTATACAAGGGAAAAATAAAGTATCAGATTTCGGTTCGGAGTTGTGTGGCGAGAGGAGACAAAAAACCAAGAACTAAAATCTGATAACATTCCCATGTATAATGCACATTTTTTTCTGTAACAGAAAAAACAACCATTCAATATTCCATGTAATGTTTCATTATTCTTTTGTACATATAATATGGAACATTTGTGTCAACTTGGTCATTAACATAGATCCAGAATAAGAAAACTTGTATGTTGTTTCAAAGATTTATTCCTATCAAAGTGATCATTATTTCATCAAATCAACAACATGTTTATATTTGAATCAACATCGACATTATTTTGGATCGACAAAATTTGTTTTTGAGATAACCATATATTTTGTTGATGGAATTGTTATTGTACTGTTGATTCAATTAGATTATATTCTTGATTCGAACAAGCTGCTTCCTTGAAATAATCATGTATCTATTCGATCCAACAAAACATTGCTCAGTCCAACAAAAATAATTCAAGCATAAACAATTTTTCGATGCAACAAATCTTTTTTTCCGTGTAGAAGAATATATGGGCTTTAAATTAATCTCTTTCAGACGTTCTTCTAAACAGGTCATTCGAATCACTTAATATTCGGAGAAGAGGAACTGATGATGATCCTCAAAATGATAGATGTTAATATCGAAAATATTGGCACTCTTCTAAACAGGTCATTCGCATCACTTAATATTTGGAGAAGGGGAACTGATGATGATCCTCAAGATGATAGATGTTATCGAAAATATTTGGATTCTTGTCACAGTCTCATGTATAACTCACCTTCAAGTTTTGGAAATACGGTGGAAAGATATTCATAACTATATTCTCTACATGGCTCAAGAAAGTTCCTGGTGACAAAGAAATGTGGATTTTCAGTTTTTCGTTGTATGCTGGTCTTTCGGAACACAACACATAAAAAATCGTGGATCCTTGTGAGTGGCCAACAAATGACATCTTTTGCCTTCTAGTTGTAGTTAGGATGTGATCTATCATCGCTGATAGATCATATATGCCTATCTCATGCCATCTATTTGAAAATTAACATAGTTTATTACACGATATTGTTAAATACTGGTCTGTAGGTTAATAGAGGAGGTGCTACATCCATTATTCCAGGTTTATAGGGATTTTTTCTCGTCGTTTCTATGAATTATAGTTGTTTATTATTCAAGGGAAAAAAGTTGTAGATTTTAGCTCCAGGTTGTGTTGTCTCCTGACGCGTAGCGGGGGGAGACAAACAAGCGCCGTGAGCTAAAATCTTATATTTTTCCCGTGTATAATACACTATTTTTTCTGTGACAGAAGGAAAAACGAATCAGTATTGAGAATATGTTACATCATCTTGAAATCTGCGTTGTAGGCATCTAATTCTGTGATTTGATTTAAAAAAATTGCGAATTTGGTGGTTGTTTAGTAATTTAGGTAATCGCGAAGTCGAATGGAAGATAAAAGGACTTGCTGTTCTTTCTCGGAGACCGTATACGGTATTATTGACTTATTTTTCGGAACTATAGCACAATAAAAGCCATCAACAGTGTGTATATATACCGGGTGACACAGGAGACATGTAGCAGCCTGTAGTTTTTTTATTTGAATTTGAGATAAAATTTTGAAATTCACAGGGGGTATATAATAAATGGTAGCGCACTTTACGAACTAAACGACTTTTTCAACCAACTGTTTGACCGGGAGTGACCCCAACTTATTTTTTCATAGTCACTCTGTACATTTCTCCAGTCTATCTTTTTCGCCTTGAATTTCTATATCCAACCATGTATCACAAAGTGGCATTCATTCCTCAATTCGCTGTTGAATTACTTTTCATTCAAAAAGAATAATTTGGCAGTGACATGAATTCGATGATATATCGACACTTGGTAGGTAGGCTTTGAAATTTAAATATCATTAGTAAGCCGATATTATTCAAAATGTTTTGATATTCTGATCAATGTCTGCAGGTTGTCAATAGCTTGTTTGAGTCAAAGATGAAAACCTTCGAAAATAACTCATGATATGGAGGAATCTAGGATAGGAACATATTTTTTCGAATTCAGCAATAGCTACTCGTACAGAAACTATCTGTCTTTAATTTTCGCCATGTACCTATCACATGATCTTCCCATTTGGAATTATGAAACTAAAATTGTTCCTCTTATACGATGATCCACAGTCTTTTTTTTCATAATTATTTCACTTAGTAGGCGGTGTACCTACACAAAATGTTTTATGTGTTCGACAGTAAATCGATTGCATCAATAATTTTTCTTCTTAATTTGTATGTTGATTAAAATTGCATATTAGCAATGGAGACGAAAAATGTATGCAAGAAACGAAAAAGTCGATATGTTGTTATTTTGATGAGTACCTGCATATCATTTTATAATAGAATATGGAACACAAATCGAAAACAACCAGACGACAAAATAAGACGAAACCAAAATCGTTAAAAATATTTTTGAGAGCGTTCGTAAGAAATAGGTAACTATGATAAAAACTTGAGTACCTTCATTCCTCTGAGTTTCCGGTACCTTCTCTATAAAATATGAATATCATGTAAATAATATACTGACACCAGATAATTCGATTATTCCTATGACATACGCTTCAATTTCTGTCGTGACCATTTGGAGAAAATGTGAAGTTGAATGTCACATATCTCGAAATCTGTGGAAGTTTCAACATCCAATACAAATAATATATTCGAAATTCAAAAAACTATACTTTACCTAATAGTTACAAGTAACATAGGGTGTTCCATTCAAAAATTAATGAGTAACCTATATTTTTTTTGAGATGTTCAACTGCTGGAAATCCACGGAAAAAATATGAAGGACCGCACTTTGAAAAATCTTCAGGTGAGATACAGGTATTACCCAGATAAAAAGGATGTCTTCAATCAAATGAATCCATTTTCTTGAAATTAAATTGTGAATTACTTTTCAGCCGCTACTCTGTTTGCCGGAGGGTTTTGGAAGGAAAATATCCTTTCTGCATATGCAAAAGATTTTTACGCCTAAATGAACCTTCTTCCTAGAAAGTATATTTTTCAGAAAATTACTTGAGAGAACAGAAGAGACTACTGCTTCTGAACAACCTAAGCTGACTCGGCCTAAATGCACCTTCGTTTCGTCATTACAGGGAATGCCTGAAATTAGGCAAACGGTGTACGAAACTTAGAGTAACGCTGTTACATACATACATGAAGACTCTTTTCTTACGTGAATTCCCAGAATTCTTTGTCTTTATCGGGATCCAGGGTTCTATGTCTTCTGGAATGAAAGGTACCTCTGGCATTACCCAACCAGACATCGTAACCTCTATCGTTGAGGAAAAACCCCATCGAATCCCTTCCATTTATCACAAAATTCTCACTAGTGCCAAGTAATCCATGCATAAGTAACACTGGCTCATTTATATCACTCCCATTGCAGCTTTTAGTACCCAAACATCTCGGTGGTAGTCTGAAAATGTCCAAGAAGTAGCCGTCTTCTGTCAGGAGTTCGTGTTTTTCTATTTGATAGCCAGATCTGGTTACCAACTCCACCTGAAAATGTTCAAAACCTACAAATCAACTGTCTTTTTCCTACGAGCGTGCGCAAAGTAGTACTTTTATGCACTAATTTGCGTGCGTAAAGTGATACTTTCCCGCACTCAGTGTGGATATGGGTGTTATCCGCACGGCGCTCGGATAAGTAAAACTACCAAAATATCTCACTGGTATGGAACATTTATATTCATTTTAGTTGCTGTAGACTATTGTATGCACCATAAGAAGCAGTTATCCCTTTTGCTTTTCAACCGTTCTTCCCGATATTTGTATTTCACCTCAATATAAATATTAGGAACGAATGATTTAATTCTTCATTATTATATTTTATTGATATGTAGTTGTTTGTTGTTCAGCTATTTCTATCAAGTTTAACTAAAAAGTATTCAATAAATTGTGATTTGAAATGATTTTTTTTAAATTTTGTTGTTATCAGATATGAAGCTCGTAGGAAAAACGTTGTTCCTAACACGTGCGCAAAGTGTCTTTTCCGCACGCAAATACAGTTAGGCGAACGACGCGGAGCGGAGTAACACTTTGCGCACTTGTTAGGAAAATAACTATATCCTGCAAAAATACCCAAATTGATGCGGAAAACTCCGAATAAGAATATTTGGTTAACTTTCAACAGTGCAGGTGATATTCCGATTATTATGAACCTATACATGGAGTGATATCAGTACATTATACACCTAGGGAATAAAGTGGTATTTTAAATCCCGACCAACGGGAGGGTTATCAATTTATCGAGGGATTTAAAAACACTTCAGACTCGAGGTGTATAAACTATTTTATGCCCTTCAGGATACGTAAAACGTTAAAGAAAAAATAACGAAAAAGAATGTAAATGCTACTTAACGGTAGTTACTCTATTCCTGAAACAACATCGAAGGAGCTGATTGTTACCATATCAACGATTAGGTCGTAATTCATTGGAAAAGAAGATAACAACCAGAGGAGAAAAATCAAGGAATCTGCTTGCATTCTCCTGAACGGAGACAATAGCATTGCTTCTTGTTCAGTTGATGTAGACAGAACATGGTATAAACTACTAAAATCTGAACATGATACGACTTTGCTATCAAAATAATCATTTCTAATGTTGAAAACGGGAGCAGATTCGGTCCCGAAACGTCCAAAGATAAGTGAAAATCTGATATCTTTTCTATATACCTTTATTTATCTACTCCAAACTTTTTTCAATACAAATTGTCACTGACAAGCTAGTAAATTTTTCTTTTAGGCTCTCTGATAGAAAAATTCTTTGAACGCAGTGACATTTTGGAGCAAATCATCTGATTTGTCCTTACTACACGTATATTGAAATAATATTCATATTTTTATTTTATAGAAACTAGGAGAGAAATTCCCAAAAAAATTTCAATAATGCATGAAGGCCAATTATTACCAAGAATATCTGGAGAACAATATGAAAAACAGTTACCTATCTGAGTTTATCAAATGGTGCAAAGAACGGTACGTACAGAAGAAAAGGTACTGCTAGCATAAAAAGCTCAAAGCATCGTCATTGTGGCGCGTATATTCGATGATTGAAGGAACAATTGCAACATACATTTTGAAAATACATTTCTAAATTCAGCTTTCATTACAAAGAAATTTACTTTAGGATTCAAAGTACCACTTTTTTTTCAGAAAATAAGGAATAAAGGTACCCTTTACCTGAAGTGCATAAAGGCATTTTATCAAGATTTCCATAAGGACATAATAGTTATTTGGGTATATCAAGGGCAAAAAGTAGGCTTTTATGGAACGCAGCGATCGCTCGGGCTTTTCACACTTATTACGTCTAGGTCGCTTTAGGTCCATAATAGATATTTACGTTACTAGTCCGGTAAGTACACTTTTACAGTACGAGTGAGATGTTTACACGAGGCGCAAGCCGAGTCCGGAATTTCGAAACGAGTACTGTAAAAGTTTACCGGACGTGTGACGTATAACATTTTATTTCATACTGCTAAAAAACAAAAATGAACAGTGAAAAATTAATCTATTTATCTGCGTCCAGTAATTTCAGAATTTTACATTCACTCCCAAGATAGCTGGCAGGTAAGTTTCCTTAGAAACATAATTTTTGTTTCAAATAATACTGTCAGTGATTGTCATTATGCGTTTTTCACGAAATGGCTCAGGACATAGCTCAAGATCAATTATTCATTCCTGAGGATATTTTGCGCAAATCACATGAAGCTACGGGGCATCTGATACCCAACAAATCGTCACTCCGTTATGACAAAGAATTCAAGCTTTTTTGTCAATGGAAAATGGACAGCAACGTGAATTTTGTGAATGAAGATGTAATGATGGCTCATTTTTTGGACTTGGTGAGTTTTCATCTAACTTTTAAGGCAGTTTGAGTTTTATAATAAAAAATATAGTTCAAGTTTTGTTTATTATAGTATTTACATTTTTGTAGTCAAACAATTTCAAAAGCTGGTCACTCTGGTCAAAGTATTCAATGGTTAAGTCGATGCTGCTAGTCCACGATATATCCGGTAAAATTTCATTACGGGATAGTAGCACGTAATGAAATATTACGTGCGCCTATCCTGTAAAAGTCAATTTTCCGGATTGAAATCAGGCACGTAAAGGTATGTTCTATGATGCAGTATGAAATAAAAGCAAGTTACGCCTGAAATACATACAACTTTTTATGCCCGACCGTTTTGGACATTTATTCACTGTCAATATGGAATTCATCAATGATTATGAATTCATTCGGCCAAAAAATGTATGCCCACTGACGAAGAAAGATCTAATGCTAGTCTACTCGAAATTACTAAAAGAGCAATAATTACATTATCGCTCGATCACCTACTTTACCGCCCGCTGTACTCTTTTATCGCCTTAGGGTGCTGAAGTGCTACTTTACCTTCGCGAATCTGGGCGGTAGAGTATCACTTCAGGCCTGGTCGTGTATAAGGTACTTCAATTTTATCAAGGGATGTCAAGGGTCTTGGAGAGGTCTAAAAAAACTATAGTTATTTAAGCGAACTCAGATGCCATCTAGTGACGGAACAAAGTAAATTGCTGAATGTGAATATATGAGAAGTTTCGTCTAAACTATCTATTTTTATTTCAGGAATCTGTAATTCCTTCATTCTCAATAGGTTTCTTGTACAAAAATTTTACTTTTTTAACTGATGAGTATCATGAAACTATCAAAAAGAATAAGCTACTTACAATATCAATTGTCGGCTGGCCAGCAGACTGACAAAAAACTTGACTAATTATTGATATCAACGACAGGGGAAGTGCTATAGTGATGAACATCTTTGTAAATAACTTCCATGAAAAAGTGCAGTATGTTAGCGTTGATCAAGTTCAATAGGAAAATGTTGTTGAATGTTCACCTTTGGAGTAATCAGGAAATAATTAATTCCTGAACATGATTGACATTATAATTGATTGAATGAAATTTATAACATAATCTCAGTCATACATTTCAAGGTATCTCAATTAATACCCTCGGAAACTGATACTTCATTGGTTCGAGAGAAACATTTTCTGGCGTACAGTCCTATGAATGGAAATTCAAAGGACTTTGGTTCTTTAGAGTGCCTATATACCTTCGATCATACAACAGATACATTACTATACCTTTACAACTTAAATTTCGGAATCGGTTGGTTACATTTCGGAGAAGAGAACTAAATTTCCTAATTGGTAAGTTCATCAGTTCCAGAAAATAAATCCTTATATTTGATTGAAAATGAATAGATATATAAAGAAATACATTGAGATTGGACATGTTTACAATATTTAAATTTTTTAAAACCATTTAATAACATATAATTAATGATAGTAGCGTTGCGGATGCTTATAAAGGTGGATTCATGCAACATCAACGGAATTATAATGAATTGAAGATTTAAACGAATTTTGAATTGAAAATATATGGGTGTTCTTGCAATAACCTTTCATCAGCTGTTTCATAGTTGAATGTTGGCCACCTTTCTTAGTTTTAATTTTAGTTTCACTTCTTTAGTTTCTTGCATGAGCACCTACATTACATTTCATAGTTTTATATTATTGGTTTAAGTTTAAAATTCATTTGAGTTTCAAATTTTGCCTGCATGAATCCACCATGAGAATGAAAACACTTTTGAGGTATTTATCACATCACTGTCTGAATTCCATTTGGTTGAGCAATCTGTTTGGATCCTCGGCTATGATCCTTTGGCGATGCTCTTGCAAGAAACTCTTCACTTCTGATGACCATAATTGGGTTCAACATTAGGGAACATTTGGGGTTGTGAGGTATCAATCTACAAATAAGAACATCTAGAAATTCTTCCTCGATGCATATCACCTATATTCTTGAATGTGCACCAGGTGCATTATCCAGAACTACCTCTATGGAATCTGCAGAATAGCCATTTTGAACGAACGCTCTCAAACACCATTAGAACACCTCATCATCCTATGAACTAAGATTTATAAACAGACGATCGTGAATATGAGACCATGATTATTCATTTCAAATTGAGCTCTCCTTTCTGAAATGGAACTGACTAATTCGATGATACAACTCACCATTTCTGAAATTGAATTGACTTTTTCTCAATATTCAACTCACCGATTCTGAAATTGAGTTTATGATTCCTGAAATCGGACTAACCAATTTTGAAATCGAGTTTACCTTTTCCGAAATATAGCTTGAAATTGAGGTTGAAAATGTATAGTCGAAAATGTCCGTAAAAGGTATTCTGTTGTGAAATTTTTGTGAAGTATCATAGCTAAAATGGATATTTAGAAACATATTATTTAAGAAAAACATTTCATATTCAAGTGAAACACTTCTTCAATGAAACCATATGAAACGAAACTGTTCGATATTCGACAGCTGTTTTGTCAAAAGATAATATTGAGCAATCATAAAGACAAAATCAGATTAGCCCCTCCGTCACACAAATATGAAACAAGAAGAAAAAATAGGCATTTCATCAATACATTAAGCAATAAAACAATCGGACAACGCTCGGTAGAATACATGTCGCCAAGGCTCTGGAATAGACTCCCAGATGATATTAAGTACATTCGAAATTATAACGGATTCAAATGCAAACTGAAGAAATGGATGAAGTTTTAATCTTCTCCTGAAGATGCTAACATAGTTAGCGAAACACGTGTCGGTTTGGTTAGTGGTAAAACAGTGTAGTGAAATGGATGAATGCAACTGGAAGAAAAATGTTCAGTGATTTGGTCGATCTGAAATACCCTAAGTAAGCTCATTTGATACTATACTTCATCACAACTATCAATTTGTCATACATCATCCAAACACCCTTGATTTATTCAGGTTTTCGCCTATGATATTATATGTAGACCTGATTTGTCTGAACCTATCTAGCATGTAATTGCTTAGGTAGATATACCTGATTTTGTCTATATATCCCCGATATTGTCTATAGTTACTCGAATATGTCGATATACCCACCCACTCGAATTTTTGTGCACGTCGTACTATATTTTTTGTTATTTTTATATATTATTTTTGAAACCCATACAGTCAATTATTATTTATAACATAATATTACCAGTGTATTATTACACATGGTTTTGTTAAGCAACAACTGAATCACGAACAAGCATTATTTTGCTTCTGTGATGTACATGTTTATTTACTATTACTTATCACTATTTATTTATACTCATTTACTTTGTGAATAAACTCTATTATTATTATTATAATTATTATAATATATTTGTAGTGACAAAGAATCAGACGACTTTTCCCAAAATATCATTGCGTTTGAAATTCCACTACTAAAAACCTAAGCGAGAAATTGATTCGACAATAACAGTGACTCATTGTTTGGGAAATATTTGAAGAAAGAGAGGCAGAAAATATCAATAAAAATCGACGATTTTGAGTATTTTTCCAAAAACTATTCACTCAATTTTGAATGAATTCAGACATTACCTCTAGAACACACACTGTACATTGAAACGAGAAGAGGAAATCTTGAGGTGGGTACCTTTACATTGTCCAGAGAGGTAGAATGTTTAACCACCACATTTGTTTTCGTAAATGAGATTTTTAAGCAGAAAAAACTAATTCAACATGCGTTAAGATATAAAAAACGTTGGAATCAACCAAATTTATAAAATACAGAAAGTGTAGCCTTATTCTCCAAACACCTTGATCTTTGGTACACTGGTCTGATTTTTCACGTTTCATTTTTTCAATAAATAAGAACCATCTGACCTTGGGAGTATATGAATGTACCTAGAATCTACCTATATTGCGAATATGAAAAATTTATTGTATACAACTTTATATAGAAACATTATTGCTAATAGGTTTCTTCATTGTTCTAAGGCTAAGATTTAAAATTCCTTTCTCAGTTGTACCGAGATAGATAGATATTTTTGTAAATAAGTCCTGCCAAAACTGCACTACGATATACCATATTCGTGTGGAAAATTGATCATGTAAGATGTAAGCTGTTGTATAAATCAATGAATAAAGCTTTTTCACATGCAGTTATTGCAGTTGTACCTAGCTGACTTAGCTACAGAAAAATCCAGGAAGTAACCAGAATGAGTATAGAAATCAATATAGCAATCCAACCAAATAAAACGCTTTGTGAAGATGTAAGTATGTATATTTTGAATATAATTGGGTGCAATTTGATCAAATTCAGCTTATCCAAATCGTTTCCTTCCATATTTCATGATCTTCTATGAATACCTCTCACTTATACAACCATCTACGAATCGGCATTGTATTGATGGTTGCAACGTTTTCAGTTTCAAGATTCGGTGTTCGGTAAGCACGGCAACTGAAATCAAATTCTAAGGATCGAAAATAGCTTTCTCTGGTAATAAAAGGAATGTAAAGAGTGAAATATCGAGAGATAGTGCACTATACTTACTTTACGAGTACACTCATTTCTAGATTTCAGTATTTCATAGGCTGCATTATAATAAACAGGTGTATCTAAATAATACAGAACAAATTAATGAATAAAGTTGTCCTAACTTGCGTCGTTTTCGGGGTACAGGTTATTAATATTTCCATGAAAAATCTTTTATCTATTCATTTCTCAATTGTGTTTTCATCGCTTTCAATAAACCATTGTGGTTTTGTTAATCTGTCCGAAAAGAATTATGAATCTTTTAGTGTGATTAGATTCGAAATAATATTTCCAGTGGCGTCACAGAGTGGGTGAATTTATCGATATTCATGGTGAATGTCATTGTACGCCACCGGTTTTTCTGAGTTTCATATTTTGATTAGATTGAACTATTGAAATAACAACTTTTTCATCCTTTGTGTGATTTTTGTATCTTGGTTAGTTTTTGAGGAAAAAATTAAAATTTGATTTAACTCTAAATTTTAATGTAGAGGTGTCTTCAAGACTTCCATTGAGATTACGCAATGACCCCAATCAGAATCATTTCGAAATGTTGGGGCTTTCACAGTCTCCATTCATTCTGCTGCATTTTGGCACCATGAGAGCTTTAACAGGGGGGTTATAAATAAAAATAATTGATACTTCCATCAACTTCAACATCCTGTATCTCAAAAAGGGAGCAAGGTAGGATACATGTTTGTATAAACTTTATTCGCTAGAATATCACAAGGAAATACCCCTCGAATTTTTTCGGTGTTATTTAGATACACCCTGTAGAGGGGACCGTTTGAAATGACACACGCTGTAGATTCGTTGATGTTGAATACTTTCTTATGAAACTTGATGGTACTGATCTCATTCAGATGACACCGATCCCAGTGATCTACGCGTATTTCTTCTAAAACAATCGCTAATATGGATTTTGGATTTTTCAGTCTCTAAATGTGATGTTTGTGATCTCTGGTTTTTGAAGAAAATGGACGTTCGCTCAGCTCCAAACTACACTTTTCCCCCTATACATTAAAAAAAAAATGATAATCCCTCCATAAATAAAGAAATTATGAGGGTGACTCGCTTTCAAATGGGTCACTCTAAAGATGGATTTCTATATGATATATATTTTGTTAAGAAGTCACATTTCTTTCCCTCATTTAAGTTGAAGTTATTTCACACCTTGATGTCTCATCGATTAGATAAATGGAAGAAGACTTATATTTTGACCTATATTCGGATGAAGCTGTATATTATAATGAGATTACGAGTCGAATAGTGGAACAGTGTTCGTTCTCCATCAATAACAGTGTACAATACGTCGAATCTCAATAAAAACTATCCACCCTGAATACCATACCATCCAAACCATTTATTTTCTTAAAAACATGCGAATAACACCGAAAAAACTCAAGGAGTGTTTCCTTGTGGCATTCTAGCAAATAAAGTTCACATAAATATGTGTCCTAACTTTCTCCGTTTTTGAGATACACGATGTTGAAGTTGGAAGTATTAATTGTTTTTATTTATATCCCCCCTGTATAAGCTTTCATGGTGTCAAAATCTCGGCCAAAATGCAATATGGATGGAGACTGAGGAAGCCCCAAAATTTCAAAATGATTCTAAGTGGGGTTATTAAGTTATCTCAATGGAAGTCTTTGAAACACCTACATTTAAATTTGGAGTCAAATCGAATTTTTATTGTTTCCTCAAAAACTAAGTTCGATACAAAAATCACACAAAGGCTGAATAAGTTGTTATTTCAATAGTTCAATCCAATAAAAATATGAAAATCAGAAAAACCGGAGGTGT